CCCCTTTTTTTCAAAAACCTTTCTTTAGAAAATTCATGATCGAGGCATTTGGCTTTAGTATCCTCGATTTCGTGGTTTTGCCAAAGTCTGCATACAAGCCTATATATATATATATAAATAAATTCATCATATATACCAGGATTAAAATTGTGTACATTGTTGAGCATTTGAATTCGTTGTTCACCTATAACTATGAAATCAACGTAAATTGATATTCTACGAATAATAATAAATACACAGCAGTTTAAATCGTGTACTAGTTACACGCAGTCGATAGGCAAAGTAGACTTTGAGTGGATTAAGTGTAGATAAAAATATGACGTCACAGTGTGCATCTATTATGAAAATAGGCAGGGGGATTCGTTAGATGTTTTTTAGAGACTAAACAATTCGTGAAAAAATAAAACAAAACATAAGATATTCGATTTTTACTTGTCTGTTTAGTAAAGCATGCAGTTTAGGAACTCCTCATTACGGAATCTTGATTCGTTAGTAGGTCGGTTCCAACCAAGTTTTCTATGATTTAGCACGGATTGAAAAAAAAAATAGTTGTAGAACTGTATAGGTAATGAGGATACATCTACAAAATAAACACAATATGGAAATGTTTCTTGAATAAAGGAAGGTGAAAAATATATGCAATTTGGGTACACTCATGTTAGGACTGGTATTCGGAAAGTGTATTTTATTATGAATGTTTTTGGAAGACACATCTAATAAATAAAAATGATTATAATAATGTCATGAAATAGTAACTACAAATTGATATTTTTGGCCATGTTTCTATACTTGCAAAAACTGCAACGGGATAGGTTTCGCAAACATAAAACACGTTCTAATTTATAGATTTTGATAGTATTATTTTAATGCCGCATATCTTGAAATCGCAATCAATATTTTCCCATTTGTGTCCATCTTTGAACAATTGCAACTATTCACGCCAACATTTCTGAATTTACCGATTTATAAGTCAAAAACTTACTAATTCTTCGTTAGAAAAAAAAAAACGGTTAACCCAAATTCGAACCCAAATTTGGATTCCAAGTCTTCTCGAATGATTGTTGTCGCTGATTGCTTGATTGTTTTTTTTATGCCCAGTGGCATTTATTTCGTGCTTCTTCAGTACAAGAAACAAGCAATATATTTTGATGGGTCTGTTAGGTAGGCCGACCGGGATGAAAGGTCAGCTACATGAATGAGGGTATATTGGAAAGCCGCGAATAGGACAGTTGTTTTCCATTCATTTGATGTGTTTGAGCTTTTGATTTTGCCATTTGATAAAGGACTTTCCGTTTTGAATTTCCTTGGAGCTCGGTATTTTTGTTATTTTACTTTTTTTTTTGATAAAACAAAAATAAAACAGGAGTTGCTGGAAGGCTTGTGTGACGTGATGTTTCTACACCACGAGCTATCGAAATTAACGTCCACATCCTGATCAGACGTGGCTGCGTATATATACATCCTAACAACCAAACGGACGCCCTAATTTGGCGAGTGTTTTATTACCGGTTGGATTAGACCTTTCAATACATGTATACTTCATTATTGAAGGACAGGCAGTCACGTCATGCTTTGCAACGTCATAAAGATCACAGATACCATTATATGTTGTGGTAGAATCCGTAGTTATTGTCTCTACATATTAGCATTTAAAAATGAAATTATAATGGAGGAAAATTAAGTTGTTTAAACTGCAATCGTAAGCTGAAAAATAGAAACATATATAACAGTTCTAAAAATGATAATTACCAGGAGCGAACAACCAGAATAACCAGATCAGCAGCAGATATATTGCTGGATTTAGGAAATGTTTGCATCATATCGAATAGAGAAGGAGGGATGAAACTTGACATAAAGATCGATTAAACGTCCAAAGAAGTGAAAGACATGAAACCACGGAGACTATCTGCTTTATCTAGACCACAGACAAACACATGAGGTATTTGTTTACGAAAGACAAAACAGATGAAGAATGCATTTTTGCTGATTTGGCATATGAGGTCGGTGATTGAATTACATGACCGCTTTGATTTGACCGAAGACCCATTTCTTTATAAAGTAATGCATGAAAGCTTGATTTTGATAATGAACCCATTAGTAGTTAAACAAGTATTTACGTATGTTTTAGATGCGTATCATTAAACAACATTTATCATAATTCAGTCATTTGATAATTATAATGAACTTGGCTATTCTGTTCGGTCCTTTTCAAACATGTAGCTCCTAACGTTGCAGTGTTTTTACGCATTCATGGCTTTCAAATGTTTAGGTTTGAGCGTTACTGATGAAAGCAGAACCCAGAAAAGCGCTTCCGACGTACGAAATTTTAATTTTATAACATTCTAATAGTTTCGACTGACTTTGAAAACGGTAACATGTACATATACAATAAATGTACATTGTCGGAAAATATAAAATTTATTTGTATGAGCTTTAGAAACAGGACGAAAAGCGAGGCTCGCTGAGCTTTTCTCCTGTTTCGTAGCGAGTACAAATAAATTTTATATTTTCTGACAATGTACATAGATTGTTTTTATCCTGAAATTTACACCCAACACTTGAAACTTTAGTTGTTAAAATCTAAATTATTGTCTCAAATTTTCAAAGAAATCGACATAGTTTAAACGCGGACCGCGAAGAGGACCCCAAAATGAGCTGGTTCGCATAAAGAAATATCCACATTACCGCTTGCTCAACATGGAAGCGGGGTAACTTATCATATCACCAGGCTTACAATTTTGTACGCCAGATATGCGTTTTGTCTTTAAGACTCATCAGTGACGCTCGAATCAAAAGAGTTAAAAAGGCCGACTCGAAATTCTGAAAGGTTTTGCCTAAAACAGCTAAGGTAATATTTCCCCGGGGTAGAAAATCCTTAGTATTTTGAAAGGATAAAAATATTGTAAACATTTAATTTATAATTTTGACCATACCAATGATAAGCCATGTGCTGACTACTGGGCTGATATTTATTATATTTAATAATACAGTGTAATATATTTATATATTCAGATTTAGCTTTAGGATAATGGCAAAAAATTCAGAGCGAAGAAAGGGGACAGCAAGTTTTAGATGTAAGAATGAAAAACAACTGAAAATAAAATAGAAAAGACAAATTTAAACTTAACAATGACATCGTAGAAAGCAAGAAGTCTATTTATGAAGAAGAAAAAAGCAGAAACTTTTAGAAAGGTGGAAACAAATTGAAACAAAAAAAATGATTTTTTCTTGAAAGACAGAAATAAATACACGGAGTACTGGCCTACATACGTTTCGATTTGACTGTATAATGCATGCAATCTTGTTATAAATTATATCAATAGTGTGTCTCATTACAATATTCGGTCATTCACCAACAGTCTAATAGGAAACTCTCTGCCTGAACACACATTTTATATTGAGTGATCTGTAAAAATCTAACTCGAAAAATACCCTCAGCAGACGTCATGATTGTCTGAACTTAATTTTTAGTTGTATAAAGAAATTATTCATAAAACATATTTTTAAACATTGATAATTTTTTAATGTACAAGATTAGTACCAGGAGGGGGAGACAATGATGCAGCTTCAGATGACTTAAACGTTCGCCCAAGAATAATCCCAACATTTTCCAGACTGACCTTTTCATGATTTTCTGTGAAAGTTTTAGGCGGTTCAACATAGTTATTTCCTTTGTGTTATGAACACTGGCTTAAATGAACGAAGCAAATATAGTAGTTTTATAGCATGGTTTTCAACTTAACGCCTAAGATGAAATGATAAACTGGACGCTTTAAAAGACTTGTAAGCCAATCTTCCAGAGGCAAAATTACTAAATGCACCTTTTACTAAAAATGAATATACAATTGATTAAATGCATTTAGGTGAGAATAAAAAAGAGCAGGACGATACCTGGGACACATTCAAAACTGACAATGCCATGGCAAAAAACGAAAGACTACGAAATTACAAACAAGTTCACAAAACACTACTTAGAAAACTAAAGACTTAGCAACACAAACTTCATCAAAAACTGAAAGGGGGCGATGCTCTCAGATGCTCCAGAAGGTTAAACAGATCATGCCCCATTAGTGACATCCGTCGTGTTACTCCTATACAATACGTTTATGAAGGTGAAACCAACATTTATTATACTCACTAGTGTTCTTTTTACTTCAAAACAATATATTGTACATACAAAAAAAAATACTGGCTCTCTGAATTATATCGGGTTCTTTGTGAATACCGCATATTAACAAAAATTTATCCGTGGATTTATATAAAAAAATCTTGGTTCTTTTATCTACTCATTGGGTGAACTTCAATTGATCTCACCAGGTTGAACATTGCACAATGAAATCTTTAATATAATTTATTCAGTGTTTATGCATTCATTTCACTCCACAACTGTTGGTAAAACATTTACGAAAAGGAATTATATGCAAAAATTAAAATATTTAAATGCTTATTATTTAACTTGCATTCTTTAATGAGTAAAATAATAAATAAATTATTTTCTTACATTGTCACTATTACAATACCTATACATACGCAATGTCATAAAAAGCTAACATTAAATGAAAGGATGCAAGCTGGAGTTCAATGATTGGTACAGTGGGTATCGCGTTGGGATATCCCTGGTATCGTTTGCCTAATTGTCTTATCAAATATTTTCCATTTTTCTATGTATAATGAAAACTGGAACTAATTTCTATTACTTTTGCACCCTCTCCCCCCAAAAAAAGTTTCTGGTAGTTACTGGTTATAAACAGTATGTCATTTTATTTTTTTCTCTGGTAGAATTTTTCAATATCAACCATAATTCTTGATTTAATCGCCAAAGTTTGGCAGCAATTGTTCTTTTTTAATTTTTTTAACCACAAAAAGTTACGTTTCAGACTTGAAACACACTTATATACATTTGCTCTACGTGAAGTAAAGGTAAAAAATATTATCAATGACACATTTAAATGCTCAACTTCTATATTAAGATTATAAATATGCTACGTATATATATCTTTGTCAGTTCAAGGCCAATTCAAGTCGATATCTTTGAGAATTATGTCTTTAGTTTTATCATCATTAAATGTCCAGACAGTTCTTGTAGGAATAGTAGTTATACTTTTAGTGTATAAACTCTGTCAAAGATGGAAGTATAAGCTACCACCAGGACCATTTGCTTGGCCAGTCATTGGGAATTATGAAGGTACATATAATGAGTAAACATTATAAACAACATCAAACGTTGAGAACAATTAACAATATTATCAGTTTGAAACTGACAATGCTTCAAACAGCAATATTTTGTTCTGATAAAAATGTTTGAAAGCAAGTTTTAGACAAAAGACAATGGTTTATTTATTGATATGATAGTATGCGTGTACAAATTAACTACAAAGATAAAAGGAAGTTATATGTCTAGTCAATCTTAATTGTTTTCTGATCCATACGAAAATCTTCAAAATTCGTAAATTTTCTAAGTTGTCGTTGACTTGTTATTGAGTCACTTTTATTAGCTCACCGGGGCCCGAAGGGCCCCATTCGAGCTTATGCCATCACTTGGCGTCCGTCGTCGTCCGTCGTCTGTCGTCGTCGTCGTCTGTCGTCGTAAACTATTTCAAAAATCTTCTCCTCTGAAACTACTGGGCCAAATACCTTCAAACTTTAACTTAATGTTCCTAAGGGTATCTTGTTTATAAATTTTATAAAAGTTTATAAAGTTTTGATCAATCGACAAACATGGCCGCCATGGCTAAAAATAGAACATAGGGGTCAAATGCAGTTTTTGACTTATATCTCAAAAACTAAATCTTTTAGAGCAAATCTGACATGGGGGGTAAAATAGTTCAATTGGTCAAGATCTATCAGCTCTGAAATTTTCAGACGATTCGAACAACCCATTGTTGGGTTGCTGCGACCGAATTGGTAGTTTTAACAAAATTTTGCAGTTTTTTGTTATTATTTTGAATATTATTATAGATATATATAAACTGTAAGCAGCAATAATGTTCAGCAAAGTAAGATCTACAAAAAAGTTAAATGACCATAATTGTCAATTGTCCCCTTGAGGAGTTATTGCCCTTTAAAGACAATTTTACACAATTTGTTCATCAAGTTTGCTAACATTTAAAAATCCTCTCCTCTGAAACTACTAGGCCAAATACCTTCAAACTTTAACTAAATGTATCTTAGGGTATTTAGTTTATAAATTGTATCCGAAGTTTTGATCCATCGACAAACATGGCCACCATGGCTAAAAATAGAAAATAGGGGTCAAATGCAGTTTTTGGCTTATATCTCAAAAACTAAATCTTTAAGAGCAAATGTGACGGGAGTAAAATTGTTCAATTGGTCAAGATCTATCAGCTCTGAAATTTTCAGACGAATTGAACAACCCATTGTTGGGTTGCTGCCACCGAATTGGTAGTTTTAACAAAATTTTGCAGTTTTTTGTTATTATTTTGAATATTATTATAGATATATATAAACTGTAAGCAGCAATAATGTTCAGCAAAGTAAGATCTACAAAAAAGTTAATATGATTATAATTGTCAATTGACCCCTTAAGGAGTTATTGCCCTTTAAAGACAATTTTACACAATTCGTTCATCAAGTTTGCTAACATTTAAAAATCTTCTCCTCTGAAACTACTGGGCCAATTACCTTCAAATTTAAATTAATGTTCCTTAGGGTATCTTGTTTATAAATTGTATCCGAAGTTTGTATCCATCGACAAACATGGCCGCCATGGCTAAAAATAGAACATAAGGGTCAAATGCAGTTTTTGGCTTATATCTCAAAAACTAAATCTTTTAGAGCAAATGTGACGGGAGTAAAATTGTTCAATTGGTCAAGATCTATCAGCTCTGAAATTTTCAGACGAATTGAACAACCCATTGTTGGGTTGCTGCCACCGAATTGGTAGTTTTAACAAAATTTTGCAGTTTTTTGTTATTATTTTGAATATTATTATAGATATATATAAACTGTAAGCAGCAATAATGTTCAGCAAAGTAAGATCTACAAAAATGTTAATATGATCATAATTGTCAATTGACCCCTTAAGGAGTTATTGCCCTTTAAAGACAATTTTACACAATTCGTTCATCAAGTTTGCTAACATTTAAAAATCTTCTCCTCTGAAACTACTGGGCCAATTACCTTCAAATTTTAACTTAATGTTCCTTAGGGTATCTTGTTTATAAATCGTATCCGAAGTTTGTATCCATCGACAAACATGGCCGCCATGGCTAAAAATAGAACATAAGTGTCAAATGCAGTTTTTGGCTTATATCTCAAAAACTAAATCTTTAAGAGCAAATGTGACAGGAGTAAATTTGTTTAATTGGTCAAGATCTATCGGCCCTGAAATTTTCAGACGAATCGAACAACCCATTGTTGGGTTGCTGCCACCGAATTGGTAGTTTTAACAAAATTTTGCAGTTTTTTGTTATTATTTTGAATATTATTATAGATATATATAAACTGTAAGCAGCAATAATGTTCAACAAAGTAAGATCTACAAAAAAGTTAATATGACCATAATTGTCAATTGACCCCTTAAGGAGTTATTGCCCTTTAGAGACAATTTTACACAATTTGTTTATCAAGTTTACTAGCATTTAAAAATCTTCTCCTCTGAAACTACTGGGCCAATAACCTTCAAATTTTAACTAAATTTTTCTTAGGGTATTTAGTTTATAAATTGTATCCGAAGTTTGTATCCATCGACAAACATGGCCACCATGGCTAAAAATAGAGCATAAGGGTCAAATGCAGTTTTTGGCTTATATCTCAAAAACTAAATCTTTTAGAGCAAATGTGACGGGGTAAAATTGTTTAATTGGTCAAGATCTATCGGCCCTGAAATTATCAGACGAATCGAACAATCCATTGTTGGGTTGCTGCCACCGAATTGGTAGTTTTAACAAAATTTTGCAATTTTTTGTTATTATTTTGAATATTATTACAGATATATATAAACTGTAAGCAGCAATTATGTTCAGCAAAGTAAGATCTATAAAAAAGTTAATATGACCAAAATTGTCAATTGACCCCTTAAGGAGTTATTGCCCTTTAAAGACAATTATACACAATTTGTTCATCAAGTTTGCTAACATTTAAAAATCTTCTCCTCTGAAATACAGGTGAGCGATTCAGGCTCTTGAGAGCCTCTTGTTTGCAAGGAAAAATAGATTTTCATCTTGTTCAAAATATTGTCTCCTTCAGGAAAATTTAAAACATATATCATGTTATGATGTCATTTTGAATGTTAAGGTTCATGAGAACCTTTTCGCTAATATGGCCGTTATTACACAACAAATTTTACACGGAGTACAGACAAACCAGTGCACCTGGAAAAGTTTAAAGGTATGGCAGGAACTAGATAATTAAATTTTAAATGCATTTTATGTTCTAGAAAATTATAAACTTTTCTGGATTTTGCCGTTCATTTTTTTTTTCATTCCTGCAGAAGGTGCTAAAATAAACTAAGTTGGGAAAAGGGTTGAGAAGCTCCCCTCATAATAAATGTTGTGAATAGTATTGATTTAAAGAGACAATAGACGGATAATTGACATCTGCAAACAACAGGTGATTTTTTACTGTGTAACTGAGTGGACCGTATCAAATGAAACTCATGTGTTTGTTTATTTTGCTATCTTCTGCAGACTGGAAAAAGATGCACATCAAAATCCATGTAAGTTTTTAATTTTCTGAAACATTGACTACATATAACTTTTTTTTTGGTTGTGCAGGATGTATCAATACGCTACCACGTCCAATATGAATGATGTTGCCACGCACAACTCTCTTCAGGATTCGTATGTGGTCTGTTACAAGACCAAAAAAAGTCTGCCCATATCCAAAATACTCTCTTTTCGAGCAGTAGTCTAAATTTTAAACCCTTCATCTCGGTCGATCGACTTATTATAACCTACCTATAGGATTTTTTTTTTTGTTTATTTGTATTCGTCCTGAATATGCTTGAAATATTTGTCATTAGACGTTAAGCGAACAACAATTGAAATACATACAAATGAAAAATAGACATAAGAGAAAATAGAAATCAAATATATAGATAAAAGAAGTGTGTTTAGAAGACTGAAAACTTAAAAAAATACATCAAAATGAGTACTTTATGCTCTTAGGATCCTAACGTTTTATTTCGTAATAACGTTTCATGAAAAAAAGTAATCAGCATTTATTTATTTATTAAATAAATTCACATCTATACCCCGAGGGGTTGAAGGCATATGAACTATACATATAGATATATATAACAAAATGCAAAAAAAAAAAAAAAATATTACAGTATTATCATATACTGGTAGTAAAGAAAGTACTAATACTTGTGCAGGTGTAGTGTCCATTCTCATCAGTGCAAACGACTTTCTTAATGAATTAAACACTAAGCTGCATAATTTTAAATAAGAAGTAATTACAAGATATCATTTTTTATGGATGATTCCGTAAATCCTCAAGCTATATTACGTAAAGATTTATAAATTTCACGTGTTAAGAAAAAAAAAACGGGGGTTTCATCTTCAATACTGTGTCAATATTACAATGTTGACAGATCATATTTTCTCTGATTTCTTTTATATTTCTAAGAAATGTGTTAGTAATTTCCAAGGAAAAAAATATTTATAGAATAACTAATCGAAGAATTCAAATAGAGAAAAATATTCAACGAGTGACCGAACAACACATTAATTCACGAATGCGCGTAGCGCATGAGTTAATTATCAGTGTTGTTCGGTCACGAGTTGAATATTTTTCGATATTTGAATTCTTTGATTAGTTATTCTTTTTATTACATTGGCAAATGGCTTTTTTTATGAAATTAAAGTAGAAAATGTAAGGAACTATATCTTTTTCTACGCATTCACAATTTGTTTTGATCCGACGTAATCGACGTCTTGACAACGCCTATTGTTGTATGACGTCAGAGGAGTGAAATAACCACGTTTATTTCACATGTGAAATTATCGGTTTTTATTTCACTGGGAAATCAATGTAATTCATTGCAACCAATGTAATAATTCCCTATATTACTGGCTAGTATCTATCTATTGATATATATACAACTTATACATAAATGTATACCTCATATATTTAGACAATGAAAATGGTATCATTTTTTTAAAATTAAAATTTGAATGCACTTAAATTTATCATTTTATTAAAGCGTTACCCTTGTCCGTCCGTCCGTCCCAAAAAATCCGTTCTCCAACTATACTTTGCCTCAACCAAATGTTATGAAACACATATCAAGTTCGACTTTAGGTGGCGTCACTATTACCGTTCTCGAGTTACGCCCCTTTATAACGTTATATGCAAGCGGTGCATCAACTGTGCCCCATGGACACATTCACTATTTATTTTCCAGAATAATTTGAGAAAAAATCTATATATTGTTGTTTCCTATCTCAGTGTCTATCCTCCTACAAATTCTCCTGGTTTAACTATTGTTGTTTAACTAAATTTATTTTCTTTATCTTTCAGTTATTAGAGCAAAGTTTCTACACGAAATATTTGCAACGTATATAAAGACTTATGGACCTGTCTTTACCGTTCAATTAGGTAAAGTACTTTCTCTCTTTATCATATTTTGGCAACCACCAAAATTTGTATTCGTTTGTAAGAATGCACGCCTGATGAATAAAAAAATGGCATCATTGAAGGTTATGGTGGTACATAACACTACAGGGAGATAACTCTGTAAAAATCAGCCGAACATTTTAATCACGCTCTTTTGTTAAGGAAATATTAAGCTTCTCAATGATCAAAATTAGTGTGTCAAACTGCTATATATCCAAGGAAATTTTTCCGATAAAGTGCGTGGTTCAAGTTTTCTGAGATTTTTATAATTTTGTCAAAGGATCAAAATAAATATTTTGTCAAAATTTTATGAAAATTAAACGAGTCAAATTAATTTTAGTCAAGGTGTTGGGTACCACCTTAATCGGGATTCTCGGAGTCCAGTAGTTTGTAACAAATTATGATAAGTGTATATCAATGTTCTTATAGGTGGCACGGTAGTATTTCCTGGCCCATAGGGATAATGATAGCCTTTTTAGAATTTTCATCACTTTCTAAACACTGTCCAAAATTCGACATACAAAGTAAACTGAAGTACTTTCATTATAATATTCAGAAATGAATTTGAATATGTATCATGACCGTTTACTGTTTTTGCTATTTTCATAAACCTAAGGCCACTAGTGCTTTTAGGTTTTTTTTTATCATGCAATGAATACAAAATTAAAAAAAATTCTCAAAAATTCATTTTCACCTGTATGTAAAATTATTTCATATTTTTCTACACCGCCTTCATCCCTCAGTTTGGGAAAGAATGTTCAGTAGATACTGTATTTTTTGTCCAATCACACTGTTCAGATACATTGACTTAAGTAGGGTACACAAAAGAGCAACCTAAATTCCGGAATGTAAATACTACCGTGCCACCTTAACAAAGACATCACAAACTTGAAACCAGTCATGACTCCTATGATGCATAGTCGTCTTACTAGGAAACATACTATAATAAAGAATACTAGTCTGCATTTACTTCTTACCCAAAAAAAATAAATAAAAAATTATACCCCTACCCCAGCTAGCAGATTTTCACTTTTTTTTCATCTTACCACTTTTACTTAAGGAGTGAACAAAAACCAAATATATAATGTTTCAAGTCAACACAGAAGTAAAACATGGTGATTCAGGTGGAATTATTGAATTGCCAACTCTATTTCTAGTTAATCTGACTGAAAGAAACAGTATAAGTACTAAATCATGAAAAAATGTAGTAAAGTCCATTCCACATTTTACAGCATGCCTTACATTCCTTTAAGCATTGACAGATTATGTAGGCAACATAGCAAGATTCTTTAGATGGCAGTTAACTATTATTCTAAGATCTTTTGAAAATACATGTACTAGAATATATCTCTAAGTTGGCTGTTTGTCTCTTTCTCATATATACATTAAGTTAAGTTATGCCCTCTTACATAATCAGTTTACCTTGTTTGTGCTTTTCAGGATCAGAAAGTTAAAACAATTGATGACATTTGCATAAAAAATCAATAAACTATTCAATCTATCTAACAAACAATCATAATCACATTCTTTGTCCAAAAAAAATGTCTTATCAATGCAAAGAAACCCCTAATGCTAACTCTATTTCATCTAAATATGAGGACTAATTGAATGAGTAAGGACCCCTTAACCACTTACTGGTCTTTAAAAAGCTCATTCTGGTGTCATGTTACCACAGAACTACAAATCAAACCTAAAGAAAACTAGTATAGCTGTACTTGTGTGGAAAAAAATAAAACATTATGCACTTTATTTAATTCGGTGAAAACTATAGGACGTACAGGCAACTAAAATATGTCGCTTCTCAAATTCCAGTGGTTACACATGTGTCAAACACTGCAAAAAGTTAAAGCGAGCATTTATAATTAAAAATATATTGCAAGTTACATTAAAATTATAAAATTCTACCTTCTAGGTAAACTTTGACATTATTACCCACAGATCAGGCAAAATTTGCTGAATCAGCAATTTTCACTTCAAGGGGTGGAATTTAAGGGCTGTTCTTATTCTAGTTGTCCTTAATCAGCTGTTTATTAATAAACTTACAAATTCAAACGGTAAAAGAAATACCTTTATTAATTTAGTGTACATCATATATATCCCAATTAAGGTGGCCCGGTAGTATTTTCTGACCCAAAGTGATAGTGATAGCCTTTTTAGAATTTTCACCACTTTCTAACACTGTCCAAAATTCTACATACAAAGTAAACTGAAGTACTTTGATTATAATATTCAGAAATGAATTTGAATATGTATCATGACCGTTTACTGTTTTTGCTATTTTCATAAACCTAAGGCCTTTAGTGTTTTTAGGTTTTTTATCATGCAGTGAATACAAAATTAAAAAAAAAAATCTAAAAAATTCATTTTCACCTGTATGTAAAATTATTTCATATTATTCTACACCGGCTTCATCCCTCAGTTTGGGAAAGAATGTTCGGTAGATACTGTATTTTTTGTCCAATCACACTGTTCAGATACATTGACTTAAGTAGGGTACACAAAAGAGCAACCTAAAATCCGGAATGTAAATACTACCGTGCCACCTTAACAAAGACATCACAAACTTGAAACCAGTCATGACTCCTATGATGCATAGTCGTCTTACTAGGAAACATACTATAATAAAGAATACTAGTCTGCATTTACTTCTTACCCCAAAAAATAATAAATAAAAAATTATACCCTACCCCAGCTGGCAGATTTTCACTTTTTTTTCATCTTACCACTTTTACTTAAGGAGTGAACAAAAACCAAATATATAATTTTTCAAGTCAACACAGAAGTAAAACATGGTGATTCAGGTGGAATTATTGGATTGTCAACTCTATTTCTAGTTAATCTGACTGAAAGAAACAGTATAAGGACTAAATCATGAAAAAATGTAGTAAAGTCCATTCCACATTTTACAGCATGCCTTACATTCGATTAAGCATCGACAGATTATGTAGGCAACATAGCAAGATTCTTTAGATGGCAGTTAACTATTATATTAAGATCTTTTGAAAATACATGTACTAGAATATATCTCTAAGTTGGCTGTTTGTCTCTTTCTCATATATACATTAAGTTAAGTTATGCCCACTTACATAATCAGTTTACCATGTTTGTGCTTTTCAGGATCAGAAAGTTAAAACAATTGATGACATTTGCATAAAAAATCAATAAACTATTTAATCTATCTAACAAACAATCATAATCACATTCTTCGTCCAAATAAATTGTCTTATCAATGCAAAGAAACCCCTAATGCTAACTCTGTTTCATCTAAATATGAGGACTAATTGAATAAGTAAGGACCCCTTAACCACTTACTGGTCTTTAAAAAGCTCATTCTGGTGTCATGTTACCACAGAACTACAAATCAAACCTAAAGAAAACTAGTATAGCTGTACTTGTGTAGAAAAAAATAAAACATTATGCACTTTATTTAATTCGGTGAAAACTATAGGACGTACAGGCAACTAAAATATGTCGCTTCTCAAATTCCAGTGGTTACACATGTGTCAAACACTGCAAAAAGTTAAAGCGAGCATTTATAATTAAAAATATATTGCAAGTTACATTAAAATTATTAAATTCTACCTTCTAGGTAAGCTTTGACATTATTACCCACAGATCAGGCAAAATTTGCTGAATCAGCAATTTTTCACTCCAAGGGGTGGAATTTAAGGGCTGTTCTTATTCTAGTTGTCCTTAATCAGCTTTTTATTAATAAACTTACAAATTCAAACGGTAAAAGAAATACCTTTATTAATTTAGTGTACATCATATATATCCCAGTTAAGGTGGCACGGTAGTATTTTCTGACCCATAGGGATAGTGATAGCCTTTTTAGAATTTTCACCACTTTCTAACACTGTCCAAAATTCTACATACAAAGTAAACTGAAGTACTTTGATTATAATATTCAGAAATGAATTTGAATATGTATCATGACCGTTTACTTTTTTTGCTATTTTCATAAACCTAAGGCCACTAGTGCTTTTAGGTTTTTTTTTATCATGCAATGAATACAAAATTAAAAAAAATTCTCAAAAATTCATTTTCACCTGTATGTAAAATTATTTCATATTTTTCTACACCGGCTTCATCCCTCAGTTTGGGAAAGTATGTTCAGTAGATACTGTATTTTTTGTCCAATCACACTGTTCAGATACATTGACTTAAGTAGGGTACACAAAAGAGCAACCTAAATTCCGGAATGTAAATACTACCGTGCCACCTTAACAAAGACATCATAAAATTGAAACCAGTCATGACTCCTATGATGCATAGTCGTCTTACTAGGAAACATACTATAATAAAGAATACTAGTCTGCATTTACTTCTTACCAAAAAAAAAATAAATAAAAATTATACCCCTACCCCAGCTGGCAGATTTTCACTTTTTTTTCATCTTACCACTTTTACTTAAGGAGTGAACAAAAACCAAATATATAATGTTTCAAGTCAACACAGAAGTAAAACATGGTGATTCAGGTGGAATTATTGAATTGTCAACTCTATTTCTAGTTAATCTGACTGAAAGAAACAGTATAAGTACTAAATCATGAAAAAATGTAGTAAAGTCCATTCCACATTTTACAGCATGCCTTACATTCCTTTAAGCATTGACAGATTATGTAGGCAACATAGCAAGATTCTTTAGATGGCAGTTAACTATTATTCTAAGATCTTTTGAAAATACATGTACTAGAATATATCTCTAAGTTGGCTGTTTGTCTCTTTCTCATATATACATTAAGTTAAGTTATGCCGTCTTACATAATCAGTTTACCTTGTTTGTGCTTTTCAGGATCAGAAAGTTAAAACAATTGATGACATTTGCATTAAAAATCAATAAACTATTTAATCTATCTAACAAACAATCATAATCACATTCTTTGTCCAAATAAATTGTCTTATCAATGCAAAGAAACCCCTAATGCTAACTCTATTTCATCTAAATATGAGGACTAATTGAATGAGTAAGGACCCCTTAACCACTTACTGGTCTTTAAAAAGCTCATTCTGGTGTCATGTTACCACAGAACTACAAATCAAACCTAAAGAAAACTAGTATAGCTGTACTTGTGGGGAAAAAAATAAAACATTATGCACTTAATTTAATTCGGTGAAAACTATAGGACGTACAGGCAACTAAAATATGTCGCTTCTCAAATTCCAGTGGTTACACATGTGTCAAACACTGCAAAAAGTTAAAGCAAGCATTTATAATTAAAAATATATTGCAAGTTACATTAAAATTATAAAATTCTACCTTCTAGGTAAACTTTGACATTATTACCCACAGATCAGGCAAAATTTGCTGAATCAGCAATTTTCACTCCAAGGGGTGGAATTTAAGGGCTGTTCTTATTCTAGTTGTCCTTAATCAGCTTTTTATTAATAAACTTACAAATTCAAACGGTAAAAGAAATACCTTTATTAATTTAGTGTACATCATATATATCCCAGTTAAGGTGGCACGGTAGTATTTTCTGACCCATAGGGATAGTGATAGCCTTTTTAGAATTTTCATCACTTTCTAACACTGTCCAAAATTCTACATACAAAGTAAACTGAAGTACTTTCATTATAATATTCAGAAATGAATTTGAATATGTATCATGACCGTTTACTGTTTTTGCTATTTTCATAAACGTAAGGCCACTAGTACTTTTAGGTCTTTTATCTTGCAGTGAATACAAAATTAAAAAAAATTCTAAAAAATTAATTTTCACCTGTATGTAAAATTATTTCATATTTTTCTACACCGGCTTCATCCCTCAGTTTGGGAAAGAATGTTCAGTAGATACTGTATTTTTTGTCCAATCACACTGTTTAGATACATTGACTTAAGTAGGGTACACAAAAGAGCAACCTAAAATCCGGAATGTAAATACTACCGTGCCACCTTAACAAAGACATCACAAACTTGAAACCAGTCATGACTCCTATGATGCATAGTCGTCTTACTAGGAAACATATTATAATAAAGAATACTAGTCTGCATTTTCTTCTTACCAAAAAAAAAAATAAATAAAAAATTATACCCCTACCCCAGCTGGCAGATTTTCACTTTTTTTTCATCTTACCACTTTTACTTAAGGAGTGAACAAAAACCAAATATATAATGTTTCAAGTCAACACAGAAGTAAAACATGGTGATTCAGGTGGAATTATTGGATTGTCAACTCTATTTCTAGTTAATTTGACTGAAAGAAACAGTATAAGGACTAAATCATGAAAAAATGTAGTAAAGTCCATTCCACATTTTACAGCATGCCTTACATTCCTTTAAGCATCGACAGATTATGTAAGCAATAGCAAGATTCTTTAGATGGCAGTTAACTATTATTCTAAGATCTTTTGAAAATACATGTACTAGAATATATCTCTAAGTTGGCTGTTTGTCTCTTTCTCATATATACATTAAGTTAAGTTATGCCCACTTACATAATCAGTTTACCTTGTTTGTGCTTTTCAGGATCATAAAGTTAAAACAATTGATGACATTTGCATAAAAAATCAATAAACTATTTAATCTATCTAACAAACAATCATAATCACATTATTTGTCCAAATAAATTGTCTTATCAATGCAAAGAAACCCCTAATGCTAACTCTGTTTCATCTAAATATGAGGACTAATTGAACAAGTAAGGACCCCTTAACCACTTACTGGTCTTTAAAAAGCTCATTCTGGTGTCATGTTACCACAGAACTACAAATCAAACCTAAAGAAAACTAGTATAACTGTACTTGTGTAGAAAAAAATAAAACATTATGCACTTTATTTAATTCGGTGAAAACTATAGGACGTACAGGCAACTAAAATATGTCGCTTCTCAAATTCCAGTGGTTACACATGTGTCAAACACTGCAAAAAGTTAAAGCGAGCATTTATAATTAAAAATATATTGCAAGTTACATTAAAATTATTAAATTCTACCTTCTAGGTAAGCTTTGACATTATTACCCACAGATCAGGCAAAATTTGCTGAATCAGCAATTTTCACTCCAAGGGGTGGAATTTAAGGGCTGTTCTTATTCTAGTTGTCCTTAATCAGCTTTTTATTAATAAACTTACAAATTCAAACGGTAAAAGAAATACCTTTATTAATTTAGTGTACATCATATATATCCCAGTTAAGGTGGCACGGTAGTATTTTCTGACCCATAGGGATAGTGATAGCCTTTTTAGAATTTTCACCACTTTCTAACACTGTCCAAAATTCTACATACAAAGTAAACTAAAGTACTTTCATTATAATATTCAGAAATGAATTTGAATATGTATCATGACCGTTTACTGTTTTTGCTATTTTCATAAACCTAAGGCCACTAGTGCTTTTTGGTCTTTTATCATGCAGTGAATACAAAATTAAAAGAAAATCTCAAAAATTCATTTTCACCTGTATGTAAAATTATTTCATATTTTTCTACACCGGCATCATCCCTCAGTTTGGGAAAGTATGTTCAGTAGATACCGTATTTTTTGTCCAATCACACTGTTTAGATACATTGACTTAAGTAGGGTACACAAAAGAGCAACCTTAATTCCGGAATGTAAATACTACCGTGCAACCTATAAGTAACCTGCGCGATTTGTTTCAGTCTGAAAAATTTCATCTTTTCCTGAACATGCGGCAATTATGATCGGACATTTTAGATAAAACATCACACGTCTTCTTTTCCTATTAGTCTGTCTTTGTGTTTACAAGTTATAATTTTCGGTCTGTAAACGGAAAACGATTGTACATGTACAAAAACAAACAAATTTCATATGTCCTGTCATTGATCATGAAACTATAATTTTTCTTTTTTGTTTATGTTTTGCATATGTTTAGTTTAGGTTTAGCTGAAACTTGGAACCTTTTGTTTATTGTTTTTCTTTTTGTAGCTGAAATATCAGTTAGTGTTATTGGTAAATGATTATTTTCGTGCAACCTGCTACATGCGTTTTAGTGCTTGAAGCCTATTATTCACCGTTTTCGTGCAAATTGGTAAAAATTCAACGTGTTAGTTAATTTTTAAATTTTTTTTGGTAAATAGTAAAATGGTCATTTTATTACCCATTCATCCATGGACATACTGTTGCCCCCTTTACGACCCTCATTGTTGTAAAATACTTTTTATTATTTTATAGGACCATTCCAGATGGTTGTCTTAAATGACATTGAGTCAGTAACAGAGGCCTTGGTAAAAAGAAAAGCTGACTTTGCTAACAGACCTTATCTACCATCACGTGAGTGTGTTAAAAAGTGCATTTCTTGGGAGTCCAAAAAATTATGACGTTTTGGAAGGGGATTTACATTTTTGCATGTAAGCCTTCATTTAACGATCTGTAAAAATCTAGATCGAAAAATAATCTCAGCAGACGTCATGATCATTTGGACTTAATTTTTAGTTGAATGATTGACGAGAAATATGAATATTCAATATATGATATTTAGCTAATGTTGGTGCGGCCTCACTCGTCTAAACTCAGTAGATCTTATTCCTGCATCTAGGGATAAAGGAAAGTAGCGAATGCCGATTGGGTATTGCCTGCTTGAGTACCCTTGTTGCCAACATTTTGTACGTATTCTCAAACTTACAACTTAAATTATTGTTAAATTATATTGTGACTTCAATGTAGAGATATAAAAAATACAGACAATGATGACAACTTTTAATGAGCGTATATTTAGTGTTAACACTTTTTGAAATGATTTGGAAATAAATCATATTATTAAAACACCACGTGGATTGGTGTTGTCTGCCAATCAAAATAGTGAAATCCTTATTTTAAAATATCTATATAATATATTATAAAATTAAATATTTTTTTTCATATTTTCACTATGTTACTGTCCACAGTCGTCAAGTTCTCAAATGGTAGAAAAAATATTGTTTTCGCAAATTATACACCAACATGGAAATTACACAGGAAAATTGCAGGAAAAGCTTTCAGGTAATGAAGTAAACGACTACGAAGTTAAATTATAGAAAAGTCTGTTTAGTTCTTACATAGCTTTTTAATTTAGTGAAATTGCAGAAAGAACTCATTTCAAGTGCATATTCCATTGAACAACAAAGGTTTATCTTATCAATTTCAGCCTTCTATAACACCTGATATTTATGTTTGTTGTAATTGCAATTGATATTGCAGCGATGAGAAACGATATTGGGAAAAATTACAATATGTAATTTGTTTAAAAAATATTACAGTAAGAATTGTTTAAAGGCGACACGATTTTCTAGTCACAAGAGGATTTATTGCGAATAAATGTGATGTATAAATAACGATTTTTTATGCCAAAAGCCTTAGATTGCAGTTAACTCTTTTTTCGCTCAGCATTGTTTTCCTTTCTTTATACTTGATAAAAAGATAAACGATAATTCAATACACATCCAACGACTTATTTTGGCACATTGTTATGGCTTTCATTTTAATCCAGATCAAGTTTTGTATTCAAGATAAAACTTTTTTGACAGACAGTATTTGGCAGGTAAACACTTAGAAGAAGTTCTTCACACCTCAATGCATAAATGTCTACCCCTGATGGCTGAAGAAAAAGAGGAATTGACCTATTATTGATTTGATGGTGTTTCATATACTAAATAGTGTCTGCTTCGGAAAAAGGTTTGGAAAAAGGGTGGCATATTTAAGTGTCACAATAAAGATTAAATATCTATTTCAAGTGTGAAGAAAGACAATATAAGTGCGTTTCAAGTTGAACATGGTGTCCGTTAGGTTAAAACATTTTATGTAATAACTCGTTTCCGGATTTATGTTCAGACTGTTGTCAAAGTACTCTTTTATATTACAAAAACAACCTTAAACTAAATACCTTGAAATTATGTCGTACTTTCGACGATGTATGACCGGTCGATTATTTCATCAGTGATTTTTTTGTTGTGTCTAGAAAACACCGGTTCCTTGAGATAAACTGCGAGTACTCTAAGATCGGTACTTATTGTATTTTTGTTTGTTTTATGCTTCTTACAGATCTGATGAGGCAAACCATTTCCAATTGTTTTTTGTAGTTTGTTTTAATGGTGTGCTGTTATCACTGTCCAAGGTAATGCGAGGGTTGAGTGCTCACACACATGTTTAACCCCGCCAAATTCTTTATGTACTTAGCTCTAGACAGGAGCCTGCAACTCAGAGGTTGTCATTTTTTGTTTATTGTTTTGTCAGAAATCATGCCTTTGGTGTTCTCGTTTGAATTGTTTCACACTTTGACGTATCGTGTCCTTTCAAAACTGACTATAGGGTATGGGTTTTGTACATGTTTGAAGACCCTATTGTGACCAATTTATAGTTTCGTACATTTATTTGATTTGGACTAATTGTCTCATTGGCAATCATTCTACATCTCCTTATATTTATGAAGCTTTGTTTTGTTTCTGTCCTTTTGGCTTTGATTCTCTGTATTGTTTTACGTAGAACTTGCGCTTTTTGCCTAGAACGTAACTAACGAGTGTTATTTCAGAAACACGTATCGGACACAATTGTATGTTATATCCAGTACTCATGTCTCCTAACTCAAATAAAGTTTGAACTTTGAATGCCCCTCGAAGGCATGGGACTACAACCCTTTTTTTCCTTTTGATACGATTTTCAATGGTTAAAGCTGGATCTCCATTTCCCAGGTATTATCCTCCTCGAATCGATCAACTGATGCACCCGCCCCCATCTCCCCAAAGAAAAAGATTTTCTTTCGTTTAAGTGAATAAGTTGAAAACCTCATACAACACGTCAATCTATATAAAAACGAGAAACGAGGAACACCTATGAACCACACCGACAAACGACAACCACTGAACAACAGGCTCCTGACTTAGGATGTCTTTTTAAGAAGATTTTGCGGTCTTTTTCGATATTTAATTTTAAAGTCAGATAATGATTTCGAACTTCGATTTTAAATCTGTATACGATAAATTGATTTTCAATTTCGATATCGTAATTCAACTTAAAGAAAGGGAATATTTTCAAATTGGGGTCTCGAATGATCCTTTCAGTCATTTGCTCTTGTGGTGCGTGCAAGGGAATAAATCTGTATATGAAAAAAGGTTTATACACATGGATATGTAAATTCTGAAAATAAATAAAAAGACATCATTTTAGTACAGAGTTAGATGACCCGGAATTCCAACACCTCATGAAAATAGACAGGGAATTTACTGAAATGATCGGAAAGGGTTTTGTGGAAGACATGTTTCCAATTATGCTTAAAATCTGGACAACCCAAAAATACAGAAAAATCACGGAAATATTTGAAGAAACCACAGAGATTTTTAGACAGAAACTTAAAGAGCACGAGAAATCGTTTAATCGAGGTAAGTATAGGAGCAAAGAGGGTATGATTCAAAACCATTAAACACAAAGACTTATTCTCCTGCAACCAAAGTAAAATAAATATTACGTTTTTTTGTCATTTTGTAAACAGACTGTTGTGACATCTATTTCAATGCAAAAGGGGTGAAATGTAGATCACAGATTGGTGAGGCAGGTATGAAACCTCCGATAAACAATGAAACCTCCACGTGTAATGGAAGATTAAAATTCACCTCAGAAGTAAACCCAAGTCCCTGTTGCATGAATTAAACACGAGAGTTAGCCAATTTTGTAGAAGATGCTACACCCTTATGAGTCCACAAATTGAATTATATAAATTTGGAATCGTAGTTGAGTTTGAAGGTAAATTTTATATCTACTTCGAGCCAGAAGTCTTGGTTCGGCGAGATATGAAAATGCTGATGTCCCTCATCCATGTCACTACTCTGTAAGAAATGTCACGAAAACAACACTTGGTCTTATTGGATATTGAGTAAAGTTACTTTCAAAAATCAATATAAATTGATTACTGTTTGGGAGTTATACCCCCTTGGAAAAGATAATGATATGGAAATTGACATTAGCGCTCTGATTGTAACATTTCTCATAAAGGTTTTATGAAATGTATGTGAGAGGTTTATATCGGCAATATCTATAACTAGTTTAAATAATAGCTGATGGAGTAATTGTTGGGACTTATACTCCTTGGATGCGTGAATTATCTTGTTAATCAATTTTGCAGAGCAAGACCAGTTGGAAGTCGGCATGGTTCGAAATGATTTTGGAAGTTACGCTTTTTGAAATGTAAATAGAATTAAAAACCAGCTTTGCAAGCGCTCTTGTACCTGAATTTCTCATTGTAGTTTAATGGGTCTATTGTTTTAACGGAGCTTCACACCTTTGAAATGTAATTGATTTTGAAATTTCTTGTATACGGTCTTGGGACATTGGGTACTCTGGTCCAATTTGATATGTCCTTTGCATCTCGGTTTAAACGTTACATTTCCTGTTTATTTTTAAGTAATATTGCAAATTAAGTTTCACTGGATTATTTGTAGATAACATCCGAGATTTTACTGACTCACTGATTTTAGCAAGACAAGAAGCAGAAGATGAGGAAGACAAAGAAGTTATATCACAGTTAACGGACACACATCTCGTACAGACCTTATCAGATATATTTGGCGGTAGGTTTTTAATGAGAAATGACAGTCTTTTTCCTGTTTTAAATTAAGGCAATAGTATTTTACCGGTGTTTTAAATTTAGGCAACAATATTTCACCAATGTTTTCAATTCAAGCAACAATATTTACTGATGTTTTTAATTTAGGCAACAGTAATAAACGATGTTTAAACTCTGATAACTTATAAATTTATTTTTAATATACCAACCAAGAGGAAGTCGCCTGAACTTTAAACCTTACAGCATGAATAATCCCCTCATTATATTTTGGTCGCTATCGGTCGCTTCATTCAAATAGACTGTGATCCTGGCTGACTGCTCGACAGTAACCCATAGCTGGGATCGGGACTAAGTTGAATGAAAATGATTATTGGCTCATATGTGTCACAGAATCATTCGAGTAAAGCAAAACTGGATGTACCAGGTCAGATTGGATTGACATGGGCAATAGGGTTAGGCATATGGCGTTTAAATAGAAAATTTAATATAGAGCTGAACCAATGGCAAATGCAAATCGATATATTGCACTTAAGCACATGAGGTCTTTGTATATGTATACCAAGGGGATATTGAATAAGCCATAAATTAAAGAAAGGGTCAAAACCATGGTCAAATGAAATAAAGACAATCAAGATTGCTACGCTGTATCGAAATGCTGCATAATGAGGATTTAAATTGTGTGTTATTGTGATACGATAGTCAAAATATGGTTAAAGTCCCATTACTCAAATAAAAATGGTCAAAACAAAATGACGGTTTAATGTGGTCAACTACACATGATGGCAAAAAACCTTAACAAGTATGAAGGCTTTATGCCAAATGGTATCCGAGAAGTTGCATTCACAAGGTGACACTATCATATCCAGAAATCAACGCCACTTTGCTTATTTGAATATTATACTAAAGAAATCGGATACGGGTCACGGAAATTATATTGAAATGATAGGGAATTTGGAAAAAAATGTCTTTTTTAACTTTAAATTTAAGTGATAGACATCTTGTTGGGACAGAAAATAAATATGCACAACAATATACACCATTTAAACGAAACATAATGACTGTCGTTGAAAAAATCAAGGTTCCTGAGCTATTTTAAAAATCGAAGCGAGAGGCTTTTAACATTGCAGTATAAAATACAGGCTAAAATGGCTGAAACGTCATATTTGCAAACTTCGTGTTGAAAATTGGCTAACAAGGTCATTACAAAAACAGGTTGCGGGGATGAAACTTGAAACTTGAATGTCCAAAGAATAAGCAAGTCCAAACCTTGTATGTGTAGTCGTTGAACTCTAGGTTCCCACGTAAAGTTAAAATGCCCCTATTTCAAGAAGAATAAACTCACGAAAACACGAAAAATTCACTAAATTCGCGTTCATCGTTTTGATTTTATCCGCCTGACAACTTTACGGAAATATCAGAGTGATTATAAACAAGGACTCTGTGACGGGCAACTTATAATACCTGTGTTTTAAAGATTTTAATAATATCAAGCCAGTCCAGTTCAAACTATTATCACGTGATACAATTCTCATTTACATATTATGAATATTAATTAGCAAAAGTACTACTAATATCTGGCCATGTTACAATGCTAAAGATATTGTCATAATCCCCTACCTTGCATAAAAATGTTCAGATTAAAATGACAGTCTAATATGGCGAATTACACATGATTGCAAACAATCCTAAAAAGAAGCCGGGCTATAGTGTCAGAGGAGTTCCATTCACAAGGTGTTGTTACAATAACAAACAAACAAAAATAGTCCCAAGTCCCATAACCCCCGTCCAAATGGTCGAATCAATACGACGGTGTAATATTGGCGCCTACACATAAAGGCAAACAATAGTACCAAGAATAAGAGCCTTTTGACATTTGAGGTCACAAGGTGTTACCGTTACAATGCTTAAAAAAATCGTAAAAAATGAGCTAATTAGAATACAAAATGGTCAACTACACATGATATCAAACAAACCAACCATGTATGCGAGCTTTCTATAAAACAATCTCAGATGAGTTGCGTTTACAAGATATTATTGTTATAATACTTGAAAAAAGGCATAGTCTCCTAACTCTCGTAAAAATTGTTAGATCATGTAATACAAAAACTGCTTACACACTTATAGAACATGAGTTCACTTGTTTGTTTTAGTGGGGTTCAGGTATTTTCAGATATACAGCTTTCATACTTGGTAGGATTATGTCTTGATATTCTCTTGACCATGCTATATTGTCATTTTGATTTAACAATTTTTACAGGAGTTAATTTACCGCCATTTTAATTCGACTATTTTTACAGTATTAATGCGACTTCGACAAGTTTTTTTTAAAAGTATTGTAACAATAACACACATTGAGAACGCAACTCCTCTGACTGCTCTTATATTAAGTAGGATTGTTTGCCCATATGAGTAGTTGACCATATAATATCGTTTTTTAGTGCCGCTTAATTTTTTACTCAATGGTAACTTCACTGATGAGTCTATTGTAGGCGAAACGCGCGTCTGGCGAAAAATATTTCAATCCTGGGATCTATGATGAGTTTATTTGCATTATTTAATTAATTACTTTATTGTAAAAAGTTAAACCCTGACGGGTTAAAATGCAAACATAAAATACACATGTGACAAGAAATATACAATACATGAAAAAAAGTGTAAAACATGTCAAGTTAATCTTAATAATATATATATAAGTATATAGATAATTGACCTATGTGGACCTTATTTTCGCAATTCCATGGATTCCTCTATATAGCTTACAACACTAGACAAAAAATATCTTTATTGGGATCTAAAATAATTTAAAGTTTAGAGTTTGAGTCAATCTGGTTAAAATTAGTATAATGGGTTTCAATTGCATTTATAAGGGTTTTCTAATATTACTGCTGATTTGGCAATGAAGGAAGTTGTTAATATTTTTTCAAAGCTGGTATTGATACTTCAAGAATCACTTTGTATTTTGGTGTATGTTACATGGCTGGATTACCCGAGATACAAGCAAAAGTTCACGAGGAGATAGACAGAGTAGTTGGTTAGTATTTTTGGCTGGATTGAGAAGCCTTATGTAATCATTTGATTTGCTAAAAATAAACTATTCGATTATTTTTTTTAATTTACAACAGAAAACTTGCCATGAAATAGTTCCTTGGTCTTTTGCTATCGTTTGATTTTTACTTCAAATAATGTTTCTTTATGATAGAAACCGTGGAGAAGAAGGAGGAAATTAAGTGTTTAATAATCGTTTCGAAATTGTAAATTATTGCATGAGATTGAGAGTAATATTGTGTTACATCCAGATTTTAAAATTATAAGATATAATTTCATTATTTTCATTATTAAAAATATCGAGTAATGTTGTGTTACATCCAGATTTTATAATTTTAAGATAATAATTTCATTATTCCAGGAGGTAAAAAAATAGTGCACTGCCAATATGTTGTAATCAATATGTACATGAAATTCTGAATTTATGACTGACGAGTCTTATGCAGACGAAATGCGCGTCTGGCGCACCACATTACAACTTGGTACAACTAATTATACATAAATAAAACACAAAATAACAAAACAGGACAGCACATTTTTACACGCCCTGAAGGCAACTGATGCACACTTGTGTGTATTTCCGCTGGTCTACTCGTCTTTCAGCTTCCCTATGACATTCTAGTCGCATTTTATCAATAAATACAAATCAGAGCTTCCTTAAATTTGGTAGCAAGCTTCCTGTGAGCAAGATATAATGTGAACACATTATTAGTCTTAAAATATTACAATGCTATCTTTGTTAAATAGGCAAAAACAGATTACCAGGTGTGAGTGACAGAGAAAATCTAAGTTTCACAGACGCTACGTTACATGAAGTCATGAGGCTTGGAACGGCTGTTCCAGTTGGAATACCACATTCAACGCTATGTGACTCAAAAGTCGGTATGTTTGATTTTTTTGTGACGCAAATGAGTAAATAAATAAATAAACTTAAATTCAAGTCATTTTAATGAAAACGTTGATCTTTTTAAGAACTGATTCTGATGGACAACAATAACTAGGATATATAACAAACGCTAAGATTTCATGTTCCTTTTGTCAACATCTCATTCCATTGTGTAATCAAGTTGATACGATTTACCAGAGCTTCGTCTCGATCAAAATGACATTGTAACACCCCTTTCATATATTAAACATGTCGTAAAATGTCATTCCTAATTTATTACCGGTCAAGTTCCAAGCTTTTACACTGTCTACTAGGTGTTCCGTTTCGCTTTGTTTGACTATTTACCCTGTCTACTCGCCCAAAAAGAATTCAATTTGCTGACGACGTGGTTTATTTAATTAATTATATGTGACATAACTGCATTTGTGTGAAATATAAGGACTTATACACCATGAACACGTATGGTGACACAAATGCAGTAATCAAATATTAAATGTAATTGATGCTGGTCATGGTCATTTGAAAAATCAATCGTTTTTTTCATAGCAATTACTAGACATGGACACATTGATAGGCGAATAGAAAATAACATGTGAATAAAGGTCACTCTAAATTTCACATGAATTTGATTTCTCAAACGTTTGCCGATTAAATGTTGTTTTATTGTAACTACAAGTGAATTACGATGACATAACTATTCAAATTTATTATCTATATATATTTCAGGTGTGGTGTATTTTTTAATAGAAATGTTACTGTGATTAAGGTTCTCTATCTTATAAATATAAACAAGTAAAAATGTTAACATGCTTTTTTTCTCTCATCTGTTTATGTTTATATTAGGTGGATATGATGTCCCTGAGGACACAATCGTAATGATCAACCACTGGGCTTTACACCATGATCCTAACTATTGGAAAGATGTTGATAAATTTGATCCAACAAGATTCCTAGATGAAAAAAACAAACTTGCCAGGAAGCCAGAAAGCTGGCTACCATTCTCAGCAGGAAGACGTGTCTGTTTGGGCGAAAGTGTTGCTAAACCTGAGCTACACATTATGTTTGCTTCAATTATGCAACGTTTTAAGATATCACTGCCGGAAGGTACAACTCCAGAATTAGAGATTGCTGGAGGAGGGACTGTTGCCCAGCCTGCTCCTTTCAAAATCATTGTTGAAGAACGAAAATAAGGATATAATTTTAAAAATCGACATTTGTAAAGTGTGAAGAATACTTTTATATTAAATGCTAATATCTTTTTTTAGTGTTATATTGTACGTTTTCGTTATCAATGAAAACATGAATAACGGGAAATTTGAGGTCTACGCCAATGAGACTGCATCCCAACGACACAAATAACCAAACGATATCTTTCTATTGATTTTCTACTGTCACATTTGATTGATGCATATTATTCGCATTAAAATTCAAATCAAACAAGGGAATGCAGAAAAGGAGATTCTGGAAATAAACCTCAGAATCTTACACGGTACTGCAACGACAATTCACTTATGGTCATATATAATGAGAGGAGGATTTTTTTTATCAATGCTTCCAAGATCAAGGTCATAGTAAATAAAACAAAATGAAATTCGTGCAGAAAAGGATTTTAAAAAAAATACCCGACATTTGATTCGAACTTAACTTGGTATGGTAACATATTTTGAGGATAAGTTCACTATTGATTCTTAAGTAAATACGTCAAGTTCATACTTACTAAAAATAAACCAAAGAACGTGCATGTAGGGGTTTCTTGTTATTGTTTTTGGGTTGGTATATGGGTTTACATAATGGGAAGATCCAATTGTTCGTGCCCTTCGTCGCGCTTCTTATTTCACAAGGAAATCTAATTGCCAAGTTCTTAGTAGTGAAAGTTTTTCCGATTAGTTATTCCATGCAAAGACGGGACGCCAGTTTTGCCTTGTGGGATGTATAAGTACGCAGCCACGGCCAGTCGGAATAGAGACATTAAAAATGTTGGGAGAGAGTATTACTCTGTGTACGTGAAAGATTCCTTACAACAACCCTCATTAAACCTGGATCCATAGTTAACTTAATTGGCGCAAAACTAGTTGTTCGGTCCCTGTCCAACATCCCCTCGTTTGCCAGTGATAATTTTAAAATATTTCCCCTTTCATCCCTATCGACCGATTTTGCAGACACTATTTAAGTACAGGAAAACAGAGTTCTGGCACATGATTATTTCTCAAATCGGGAGGTGCAGTGGCGTCGCACACAAACGGACGACGTGACGGGAAAAGATGCGAATACGGAACAAACTGTACACTGGGAAGGTTAATTCTAATATGCCGGTCGTAAGTAGAAGAGTCAGTGACCATGTATATATAGTAACATCACAAATCAGTTTTCTAGTTGTTAAGGATAATATAAAAATTCACGTGATTTATGCATACATATTTTGATACCCACTCATAGGTCGGATAACCATCCGCACGCTTACTTTAAAAAATCCAGTGTTATTAGAATTGACATATCTCACAACAAGGAAAGGAAACACCAAATTTGAAGAGTATACTGAATGCATAGATCAATTGTTTGAACTTGTCCAAAATACCAACTGACACATGATATAGTTATAGAAAGCGATTTTAACGAGGATGTTTCATAGTTAATAAACCATGAAAAGCACTCGAACTCAATAAATTAATATAAGAATGCAGCAAAAAAACAAATTTTAAAGGACTCTGCGTCATCAACGTCAAAGGAGAGGAAGTCTCTGAATTCAATTATTTCATCTACAAGACAAGAATCTACTATTAGGACTACAAAGCTAGTTGATTTGGCCACACACTTAACTGGCCAATATCTAATGAAGATCGTAGTGCCTTGTGAATTTGTAAAGAACGACTTACTAGGATGTAAAGTTCGACACAGTACACTCGAAGAAACTATGGAAGTGGTTTCAAGAACAGTTAAAAAAATGTTCTGCTCAAGTCAAAGACAGTATAGTAAAAACAAACTGAAGTTAAAAATTTTGAATCCTTAAATCAAACATACGCTTAAACAGAATACAGGAGGATATAAGAACTGGAAATACGCATTTACACCAAATGGTCCTGAACATTCCTGTTTATCCGAAAATAGGAAACTACTAGAAAGCTATTTAGATCAGAATTAAGAACAGAGGAAAACAAATGTAAACAAATTGAAAGGGATAGGATCACAAAATAAGAGATTATTTAACCATCTTTTTAAGAAACAAAGAAACACCTTAAACATCTTTATCAAATAAGACGTACAAAAATGAAGAGGTAATTGCTTGATTCACCAATCCAGAATTCAACATACGATGTTTAACACCAATACCTGTGTGATTTTGACTATCAAACAATCAAATTTCTATGTGATTTAGCTCCACCAAGGACTCTTTCAAGATCCAAACTTGTCGAGGCTCTAAAATAAACGAATACTTGAAAATCTGAACATATTTTGAACACATATTATTTGCAGGAGACGACTTCATTGATTATCTACTTACTTTCGTTAACTAAATATTACATTTAAAATCAATACCTGAAATTATTAGATTAGGATTACTATCGCCTATATTCAAATCAATTTTATTGTCATCAAACATTTACATGTACAGTATGTTTGTGGCAATACAAATTTAAACAAACAATAAACAACAAAATAAAAACAAAACAGTATACAAAAAAAATAAAAGAAAAGAAAAAAAACATAAGTGATAAATTTATAATATTACAATATTCAATAGCCATGTTACAATGAAACCTCTGTCATCAGTTCTTATGACCTTTTACAAAAAAAGCAAATAATTCTAACATGTCTAAAGGAAGCTGGGTTTAATATATAAAATAATTTTTGTTCATCAGGGAAATGAATGAAATGTTCATCATCTAATTGTATATCATTATATAGATTTTGTCTGATATTTCGTTTACCTTGCAATTGAGAATAAAATGAAATTCATCTTGGATGACTTTGCAGGTTTTACACAGTCTTTGTTTTCGAGGAATTTTAATGTAACGACCATTTTCTATTTCAAGACTATGGTCACTTATACGAAGTTTAGTAAAAATATTCCCTATAGAAAAATCATTAAACAAGAAGTTAAAATTTGCTTCAAGTGAAGGTTTTCATTTTTTATACAGAAAAAGTTTGCTACTTTCGTCGTTTTTTTCTATTTTACTTTTATATAAATCTTTATAATAGTCATTTATTTCATTTTTAATTTCTGATTTTAAATGGTTTACATCTGTAAAATTCTTACAATTGGCCACTTTGTCTTTAAGGTTATTGTCTGGTAAGACGTTTTTAGCATATGTATACCAAGAATATACACCTTGCAAATCAAAGGATTTTGAAAGTTCGAAGGCCTCTTTCAATAATGGATTTAAATTATTAATATTTAGTCTAGCAAGATATAAAATAGATTGGGTTGTAATAAAATTTTTAACTGAAAGTCTACCTAGTTCCAATCTCACACCAATATCTGATGAGGTCTTCTTGGTTCCAAGAAGGTATTTACAAAATGTTAGGGGGATTCTTTCAAAAGGTGTTTTATCAAAGTTGAGATGGTCAATGTCACAATTTCTTTGGGCAGCTCTATGCTTTGCCTTATGGTTCACAAGAAAATAATCCATAAAGGATATTTCAGAATTGTAAGTCAAAATGGCTTTGGCCAATTTATCAAAGAGATTTTTTGACACCGAAATAGGTAGAGTGCTCAGAGAGGCTGTCATTGCTCTAAGGGAAATAATGCTTTCATGGCCTTTTTTGCCAGCTCTTTGAGACTATGTTTGAGGTTACCATTACACTTTAATAGGCAACCTAAAAATTTATATTTAGTTACATTCTGTATTATGTTACCTTTTAATTTAAAAAAAAAAGGGGAACTATACTTGTGTGGTTGGATAACCGTAGTTTTTGTTTTTTTAATATTTAAGGTTAGTTGCCAATCATCACAAAACATTGTTAAGTTTATCAAGACTATTTTGTAGGCCTTCTTTACTTTCAGACATAATAAGTAGGTCATCTGCAAATGAAAGTGAACCAACATCAGAGTTTAATAATTTTGCGGGTCTGCACTCTTCAGTGTTAAAGGTCATTAATAAAGATATTAAATAGAGTTGGGCATATGGAATCCACTTGTTTTACCCATCTTAGTATTTTAAAATATTCTGAGTGTTTATGGTCAATCGTTAAAGCTATTTCTGTTTTAGAAAGCATATTTTTAATAGCGTTATATAAATATTTCCCTATACCGATATTATCTAACTTGTAAAGCAAACCATCTCTCCACAATGAGTCGAAAGCTTTTTGGAAATCCACAAAGCATACAAATAGTTTATTTTTATTTTTATGAAGATATTTATTTATTAAGGTTTTTAATATAAATAAACTATCAGATGTTCGGTGGTTTTCACGGAATCCAAATTGTGAATTAGAGTACTTATCTCTCATCAACAAGTTCAACCTGTTGTTTAAGATGGCACTAACAATCTTTGCCGTACAATTTATGAATGAAATCCCTCTGTAATTTGACGGGTCAAGTTTATTACCAGACTTATGTAATAAGATTAAATATGATTTGTTCCACTGCTCTGGATAATAGCCACTTTTTAAAATTGAATTAAACAGTTCAGTTAATGCAGCTTTTAAAGAACCCATTTCATTTCACCGCTAGTTATTGGTTTGTCTGTTTCTGGATTAATAGTATTTTGTTTTCAATGGTAGAAATTTCTTGTTTAATTTAATTTTTTATTTTCACAATCTATGTTTGGACTTTTACACTCTCCTTGTTCTTGAAAATCAATCTGAAATTAACTCTTTTACTTCATCTAACCCCCCCCCCCCCCCCAACTCCCCCCCCCCCCCCCTTGCTGTCAATTGACTTCAGAACTTTCCAAAATTCAGAAGGATTATTAAATAAAGAGTCTGAGAGTTTATCATAAATTAATTTCTTTTAAGCCTGTTTTTTTTTTGTTTAACAGCTTAAATAATTTAAATTGAAAGCAATATTTTTTTGAGTTCATTATTAAAAGGAGTTTTCCTTTTCTGGTCACTAATAAAATTTAAAGATTTTTGTCGGACCATTTTTGTCTAACCAGTTTTCTTTTGGTCTTTCCTTTTTGCACCATTCGGTACGATTAGTCTGCTATCTTAGAAAAACTGAGTTAAATTCTTCTGTGGCTGAATTAATTCCATTTTGGTCCTCTGAAAATATTGCTTGAATTGACTTCAGACCAGTATTACTGAAGAAACAATCATCACTACAGAAGGATTTACTTCCAACACTTCCTCTTTAAATGCAACAATTATATTTGTAGATGTTTATATAGAATGCAGTGACTGTATTAATTGATGAACTGTACAAAAATACAAGCTGTAGTCTTCAACCTCAGAAAAGTGTCATCATCTAATAGAACAATAAAACAAAGAAACCAGGTACAATCATAACTGGATGTTAAAACTGTATAACCAAGAAATGCCAAATGGTAATCTGGTGAGATTGGATCGCCTTCCTCGCTGGATACATCGCTCCGTATAGTACAATTCTATGCTGAGGTTTCAGGACTGAAAATTAGCCAATGCAAATCAAATGTTATATGGATAGGTAGTTAGAAACATAGCCTAGACAACATATGTGTAAAGTGTGGACTGAAATGGGGTTCCAGTACCTTCAAATTATTGGGTATCACTTTTTGTATTGATATAGAGAGAATGCTAAACTTAAATATGCTCCTCGAAACCAAGAAATAAAAAAATTATCACAAAAATGGTTGAAATAGTAACGTGTTCAATTTGGTAAAACATCAATTTTAAAGTCTAATTATTTCATAATTTTTATCCTCTATTGCTGTCGATCCCAGATCCAGATAAAAATATGCAATGTCAACTTAATAGTAAAATTTATTAATTCATTTTGGATGATAAGCCTGACAAGATAAAGCGGAATCTTCTATGTCAAAAATACTACAGAAGGGGCCTAAATATGATTAATTTTCGAGAAATTTTATGCAAGGGTTAACATTGATTTAAGTTAAGTTATTTAGGTCAAATTCAATATGAAGAGTTGTTCACATTTTTTGGGACTAAACACCACTAATTTAATATGGTGTTAATACATTTGATCCAACAAGATTTCTAGATGAAAAGGAAAACTTGCAAATAAGTTAATCAAGGACAAAAAAATTGATTGAAAATTTCTAATATTTGTTGCATTTTAAACAATATTTCCATTAAAACTAAATGGATTGTGAAATACTATTTTTAGTTGGCATCTTTGTATGTTTGTTTGAATTATAGTCTGTTCTGTTGAGTGTCTGTAATGTATGTTTACCTAGTTTTGGCTGCTTGATCCCAACTATTGTCACATTGGCATATTATGTCTGCATGGGTTGCTTACCCAATTTTGTCAATATAACGTAACTATAAACAACTGTCATACAAGTTGGAGGTTTAGCTAGCTATTAAACCAGGTTAAACCTTCCCTTTTCTTTAGAAAATGACTGTATCCAGTCAAGAGTATGACAGCTGTTTTTCAATTGTTCTGTTGTTTAATAACGTTTGATTTTGTCAGTTGTTATGGACTTCCTGTTTTTTTAATTTACCTTGGAGTTCGGTATTTTTGTTATACTTTTTTTCTTACTAAATTCCTGCAAACGGAATTATAATCAATTTATATTACAGACTCTCAATAGAAAACTTTTTTTGAAAACTAGGTCCTTCCTAGTGTTACATAGGAATTAGTCTCTCATCCCTTTATTCTTTTTATTTTCAGTTGATATCATGTTCTCATGAAAAATGTGTATTATAGCACACTTGTTGCTACTGGAATGAAAGACATGTAGGAGCTCCATGGTGTTTGCTTAGATTCAACAAAGAAAGTGCATACATGTGTTAATCAAAAAATTGGCTACTGATTCAACTATTGGGATTTAGTACGATTCAGTAAATATTAAGAGTAATAATGATGCAAGTTGAATAAAACTTTTTTAACACTTTTTAATGTCATAAAATGTAAACATAAGGACACATACATTGTACATATTTTAATAATACTGGTATACAAGGTTATTTTACAGTTCACTCATATAATAAAAAAAAGACAAGTGTCAGTGCACTTGAGCTATCATCCATCAAAATTCATGATACCTAGTATATTATCCTATATGTTGGATATTAAGAATCTAATGAATGCTTTTACAACAACAAAAACACTCACAGGTTTCCCAATTGTCTTGAAACTTGTTCATTAAATTTGAAAATTAATCATGGGCTATTTTAAAATTATAAGGTTCTGAAAGAAATTCAGCTGAGTTCCACAAACAATTTTGATGTAAACATATGATATATGATATAAAATGACTTTGTTAAAAAAAAAACAATTTACCATTTGAACAAATGTTTTGTTTTGGTTGTAAAAGTGTAAGTTTTCAACATAAGACATTGATATTAACTCCTATATTTTGTTAAAGAATATACCAAGTAATTAATATTAGTTTCAAAACTGGGATGATTATCCTAAAACCATTTTTTTTTGGTGTTAAAGATTGCATGAAATGCAATCAAACCCTCTTGGTACTGACTTGATATATATATCTTCCAATGTTTTTCACTTCCTTTTAATATTTCAAACAAAATAGTGCAGTGAAGTGATCATTATTTAGATCCCATCCAGTCAATGTCAGGCAATTTATTTATGATATCTTAAACTAAGATAGTTAAGTTACACCATACTTGTCAAGAATTTTTTTAAAATAGACATTACATAAGTAATGCATGGCGTATAATTATGTTATAAAAATAGGTTCATCAAACAAATATACAATGATGAACAAAAAAAGATAACTCTAACTCAAATTTATAATTTGCCTAGCTAAATACAATTCAATGATTCAAATTAGAAATATGAAAGTAATCTTTACCCTTCAGTGCTTACAAGCACTTTGATTCTCACTTTCATCTCAATAAATATTACAATCTCACCGGTGTAAAAAAATTGCAATCAAAGAATCACTATAATTTATTGTTTTACATTTAATACTGTACAAAATTATTTTTATTCAAAATTATCACACATGCTTTTTAACCATATATTATCATAAAACTTAAAATGATAAATTAATGTTTCCGGGCACATCAAACCTGTTCCTCTTTTGATTTTGGATGACTAATGTTAATATTGAGAGATAATGGGCAAGTGGGTGGAATATTGGTTCAGTTTTTTCTCCTACTATAAATTTTTAAGGAGAAAGTGTATATATGACACAGGATTCAAATTGTCATTTGCTAACTTTTTTTATTTATACACAATATTCATCAATACAAAATAATCCCCCAAAAATGAAAATCTTAAAAAGAAAAAGAAAATTTGGAGTGGCATCATTCAGAAGGGTAAGACATCAGACAAAACAATCTCTAAAAGCCTTAAAAATACGAAGGAATATAAATTTTATAACATCAAACTCCTCTTCTTATCATGGACGGTTTATCTAATTCTGGATTTCTTTATAACTCTCACTTATACATTCATTTAATATAAAATAGAGAACAAACTAAAGCCTTTACCAAAGGGTTTCCATGTATAAAGTATATTTGCAAACAACTAATATGGATTTTTCTTTGTAACCTGGTTATGACCTGCATAAAATTTTAATAAAATAAAAAGTCACAATTTAATCTTCTCCCATACAGTAGATCTGAAATCAGTATTTCATTCCTGTATTTGGAAACAAATTATACATACAAAAATGAAGGGATGTATTTATGAAAGTTTATAAGACCCCCTACAATTTTATTGCAAAATGAAGTAAAACAGCATATATTACATAAGTTTATGTTGCATAGCTAGACTTCATAGCAAATTCCCCTTGAATGCAAGTACACCATCTCCCTAACATTTTTACAACTGTATTTAAAAACAGAAACAACTTCTTACATTAGCATTTTATTTAAGGGTGACACACCATATCAGGGAAAATTCTCAATTAAAGCCATACACAAAACTTAGGTCATTAGTTCAAATATTAGCAATATCAATACCAGATGCTCTATGTGCATATGCAACAAAGGACACTCTGAAATATTGTAGACAAGAATAGAATTCATGACAAAAATCTTTTATTTGCTGATCTTGTATTGCTGACTAGTTTCTCTCTATCTTCTTTAGATTTTGCTCAAAACACAAAAGAGGCTAAAAAAAATCCTCATTTAAGGGTGATCACTCCTTTGAAGAGTGACAGTCTACTAACGATAAAACTTTACTTGTTTGTAGATCTTGCCTTGCTGATCATTTTGTTATTCAAAGTTTCTATTTATCTGTTATAATTGTCTTAATAGTAGATCTTGTCTTGCTGATAATTTTTGCTTATTTAAGTTTCTATCTATGTATTCAAATTTTTAAGATACAATGCAAAAACGCAAAATATTGGTAAAATCATTATCAAAGGGCAATAACTCTAATAAGGAGTCGACTGATGATTTCGATCATGCATATTTATTTGTAGATCTTGTCTTGCTGATCATTTTTGCAACATAAAATTTCTCTATATCTATTATAGTTTCATTCAAGCTAATAGCAATAGAAAGGGCAATAACTTATATAAGAAGTTGCCTAACAGTTTTGACATAAATGGACAATTGGTAGAGCTCAACATTCTAAACATTTTTGCCCTGTCAGATTTTCTCTAAATATAAAGGTCCTGTCATGTAATCTTGTCATTTTAATGTTATATTTAACATTGCCATAAAAGCGGGAGGTTTGGCTATCCACAAAACCAGGTTCAACCCACCATTTTTTCTTAAAATGTCCTGTACCAAGTCAGGAAAATGGCCATTGTTACATTATAGTTAGTTTCTGTGTGTGTTGCATTTTAGTGTTGAGTTTCTGTTGTGTCGTTGTTCTCCTCTTATATTTGATGTGTTTCCCTCAGTTTTAGTTTGTAACCTGGATTTGTTTTTTTCTCAATCGATTTATGAATTTGGAATAGTGGTATACTACTGTTGCCTTTATTTACAAAATAATAGACAAAACTTGCATTTTACCCCTATGTTCTATTTTTAGCCATCTTGGTCAGCAGGCTGGGTCATTGGACACATTTTTTTAAACTAGATACCCTAATGATGATTGTAGCCAAGTTTGATTAAATTTGGTCTAGTTTCAGTGGAGAAGATTTTTGTAAAAGTTAACTGACGACGGAAGACAAAGATGGATGATGGACGCCAAGTGATGAGAAAAGCTCACTTGGCCCTATGGGACAGGTGAGTTCAAAAACTACATGAAAATTACAAAACAAAAAAGTAGTATAAAATACCCAAGGAGTTGTGAAAGGTTTAAAACTCTATAGCACCCTTTTTTTCTTATCATTTAACAGCAAATCAGGTAGATAGCATGTGAATAATATATATGAAGAGACAGCTTTGTAGTAGACAGTCAAATAAGTGGGATTTTCAATATGCTTAGCTCACAAAGTATGCATAAAGACATACTACCCTACCAAGATACATTACTCTCTCTCTGAGTGAAACCTGCTCTAACTCCTTAATGCAGCTTGCTTAATGAAGAAGAAGCTTACAATACTGTTTAGTTTGACCTAGCCAGCAATATAACCACTACATGGAGAACTAGTATATAAAATATTTTGAAACCAAAACACTTTCTTCATAGTAATGAAGAAACTTTTGAAATATATTTTTTTAAATTTTAGGAAATAAATGTCAAGAATTTTTGGTAAATTAAAGAATAAGTTTGTATTACAACATTTGATGTAACGTAAAATCAGAATTTTAATGAATTATTTTTGAGTGGTCTACACACATGATTAACATTTACAGTACCAATTTTTCTGTACCAGATGGGCATTTCAACATTAAATGTCTCTTCAGTGATGTTCGCGGCCAAAATATATGAAAAATCAAAAACTTACTTAAAAAAAATGAAGGGCTTATAAACATTAAAGGACAAAAAGTGTTGCCAAAGTTAGGTAAGGAATTAAAGCTTTGCACAAGGGAGATAATATTCCTTAATTAAAAATAATTTCCAAAATTTTTTAACAGCAAAAGACTATAGTTTCAAAATAATAATAAGTTTGACTGAATACATGCAAGTTGTAAATCCTTGTTTATCTTATATAAAATAGATTAAATGTTGTTTGCTTAAGTGCTAAGTGGTAAATAAATATCATAGACATTTGGGACGAGTACCAATTAACTATCAATAAATAGGTAGGTGTTGCAAAGTCAGTCTACCAAGATGTACAGTAGGATTTTGAACTGCCACCTAATCACATGATTTATGCCATTCCTGATCACTTGATTTATGCCATTCATATGATTTTTGCCATTCCTGATCACCTGATTAATTACTTAAGTACATGTAAGATTTACAAGAAACATTAAATGTAACAATCAGCAGTGTATATCTACTAACTACAATAAAATATGCATTTTCATGTATGTATATGTGATAAAAACTTGAAAACAGATCAAATTAAAAAAAAATAAAGATCTAAACTATGTGAGATTTCAAAATAAAAATATAAAGCACACATATATACATTGTGTTCCATCAGAAACATAGTAAAACATGATATCAAAAATAACATTTTTTCAAATACTAATGACTTAAAATACTGAGAAATATTCATGTGTCAAATTTTTCTTTATGTTTGTTGTGGAAGCTTTCCGTATGCAAACATTACACTTTCCATTTAAATGCATTGTACAAAGCCATGAAACACAATAAACAATAAACATCTCCATGATTAAACTGTCCCTTCTCAGACACCAATCACAAACAAGTCAAAACTGGAACCTAAATGTGACAGAGATATAGTTATACCCTTTATACATATGTTTATATGTTAATAAGTATATATTAGATAGCTACAACTGATTTGGAATTAAACACATTATTTTATAAAGCTGTTTGTTATATTAAATGTCTATGTCAAAAAGATAGGATAACTGTATTGGACTAAACGACACAATTTTATAATATTGTTTGTAATATTTCATTGTCATGCTAATAGTTATTGCTAATGCTGCTAGGAAAATATGGGACTACCACTACGGATGGTGCTACAACAATTAAAAGTATAACTTAAAGTGAGTCTTAATACAAAACTAATGGTCTTAATATGGCACTATGTATTTAAATATTGCAGAGGTAAAGTAAACATTTACTACAAAAGTACATAAATCACAATTCATCTTTGGAACTTTGATCAGTTGCATCATTTGCAGGTACTTTAAATTGATCATCACCGATCTCGTTGTTCTCTGCATTATCAGCTTGTATAACAACAGACTCTTCAGTGTCAGAAAAATAGTTTGGTTCTCCTGTATAATGTGTAGGGTATACTAAAAGTGGATCTGCTGATAAACCAACCAAATCTCTGGGTGAAAATTTGTCTTTCCATTCAGTTCTGTAAAAGGAATAAATTTAATTCAATTATGTTAAAATGGTATTTTCAGTTGTAGTATACAATTGAAAATACAAATATATGCTAAGTATCAACATACTAATATTTATGACTTTTACTTATTTGAAAATTATGTTCAGTTTTTTTATATTTGTTTTAATGTATAAACTCATAACCTATAAACATGTTTTTTTAATGGTTTTGAAATTTAAAGGTCATGTTTTTCTCTGACTGTTTATGATGTCTTTACACTACATCCATTGCATGTTGGATGTGTACGGATTGATAATTTAGTCTTAGATGCATGATTTTTTTTATTAATTGCTAGTGTCTTTGAACTAGCTGTCAGTAACTGCAAGTACTCTCAGATCTGTACTTAGTGTCTTTTTGTTGTTTGGATGTACAAGTACCCAGCCACGTCCACTTGTATTTGTAGTATTTGTATTTTTATCCATCTGATGAGTTAAGCCTCTTTCAACTGATTTTCATGGTTGGTTCTTATGTTGTACTGTTACACCACTGTCCCAGGTTAGGGGGAGGGTTGGGATTCCGCTAACATGTTTAACCCCGCCACATTCTGTATGTATGTGCCTGTCCCAAGTCAGGAGCCTGTAATTCAGTGGTTGTCGTTTGTTTATGTGTTACATATTTGTTTTTCGTTAATTTTTTGTACATAAATTAAGCTGTAAGGCTTTGAACTAGCTGTCAGTAACTGCGAGTACTCTCAAATCTGTACTTAGTGTCTTTTTGTTGTTTGGATGTACAAGTACCCAGCCACGTCCACTTGTATTTGTAGTATTTGTATTTTTATCCATCTGATGAGTTAAGCCTCTTTCAACTGATTTTTATAGTTGGTTCTTATGTTGTACTGTTACACCACTGTCCCTGGTTAGGGGGAGGGTTGGGATCCCGCTAACATGTTTTACCCCGCCACATTCTGTATGTATGTGCCTGTCCCAAGTCAGGAGCCTGTAATTCAGTGGTTGTCGTTTGTTTATGTGTTACATATTTGTTTTTCATTCATTTTTTGTACATAAATTAGGCTGTTAGTTTTCTCGTTTGAATTGTTTTACATTGTCATTTCGGGGCCTTTTATAGCTGACTGTGCAGTATGGGCTTTGCTCATTGTTGAAGGCCGTACGGTGACCTGTAGTTGTTAATTTCTGTGTCATTTGGTCTCTTGTGGAGAGTTGTCTCATTGGCAATCATACCACGTCTTCTTTTTTTATATTAAATCAACATACTTATATATATGACTTTTATTTATTTGAAAATTATATTCAGTTTTTTAATATTTGTTTCAATGTATAAACTCATAACCTATAAACATGTTTTTTTAATGGTTTTGAAATTTAAAATTGCACACTGGATGTCTTAAAAAATTAAGCGCCTTAAAATACTTTTTTGAGATTCACTCGTGTTTCCCCTATCACACAAAAAGGGCATGGTAACTTCAATGAAAAAGGGCACCTAGAGCACGCAAAAGATTAACAAAAGTGCACATAGATTATGCTAAGCATTAAAGAAAGGGCAATGAATGGTTATATTGCATCGGTAAAGTATGGAATGACAGTTGTTGATGGAATCAGAGCTCAAGATAGCAATCAATAAAAGTGTAATGTTTTAAAATATTTCAAGTTTTTAAATTTCCTGCCTGTAATTGTATTAAAAAGGTCCCTGTAAATATGCCATGCATGACATTTATGACTTTTATCGATTATTTATATGTGCTGTACATATGTTGGATAATTTTTTTCTTAAAATATTAGTTAAGGTAAAACTCCATATGGAGGTGCTCCTAATTAAAGAAGGCTTATCCAAAGAAAAATAAGTTTACCTCCGGTTTACTGGTTTACTATTTTTGAATGCATTACAAGGAAATTAGACGAAGGACCTGTTTAAAATCTTTTCACAAAATGGCATCTTGTCAAAATCAAAAACATTCAAAGATTTTAGTATTTCCATCGATTTTGTTTATTAAACAGAGTAAAACGATGTCAATCTATAATAAAGCAGGTGAAATTGATAATCAGCAGTACTGAGAAATGCTTACAAACTTTTTGTTCAAATAAGTACGATAATTTTTACTAGTTCACATTTTTGAAAGATTTGAATCATCATATGAATTGATCTTTAAATCGTTCAATCCGGATTGAGGAGAATTATGACATCGAAATAAATATCATCAAGTGAAAATAATAAAGAAGTAATAAATAGAGAAACACACCCAAGCCAATTCTTGACTTTATACATCCACTTTCTTGTATTCAATCATTTACGAGACCATGGCGTCATCAAAAGAAGTGAAAAGGGGGCATGGCGTCATTTATTAGGACAGAAAAAGGGCATGGCGTCTATCCATGCTAAACATGCCTTGGGGAAACACTATTCACCAACTATAATTTACCAAATAAATGCTTACTCAAACAACAATAAATGGTCCATTCATTAAAAAACATTTTTCAATGAAGTGAATTCTTGTATCATTGATATATTAAAGATATAACATTTACATAAATCTTTTACTAATACATACGTTGGGTGTTTATCAAACATGATAGGTAAAAACTCATCAACAGGTACCATCTTTGTCAAAGGCTTTTGTTTAAGTAGTTTCTGAACTCCTCTATCAGAAATGATATAGCTCAGCGTCCAGTATGAGTAACTAGGCCATACAAGTGAAGTTGTTTCTTCTACATATTGCTCCTGTTTATGGTAAAGTCTCTTCCGTCCTACGTATCTATCAAAATAATAAACATATCATTTTACACGTGCACTAGAAGCCATCCGTGATTTAACCAGTTTCTTTGCAATCTCAGTGGTTAATGCAGTGTAAAGAAAACTAAAGCATTTCATTGCATCAAGAGCTACTGTATTTGTACATTTATTTTCAAATGAAAAGTATATGAGACTGAAGAAACCAGATAGAAGTAGTCCTTGGGGATTCAGTTTAATAGTGAGCAAGGATTCTTATTGGGCATTATAATACCCCTTAAGTATCTTACTACAATTATTGTAGTCAGTTAAGTTGTTTTTGTTTCATTCTATATTTTACGGTTAAATTTTAAAATGGTGGTTGTGAATATGTTCATAAAGCATACAAATTTTTATCAAGTCTTTATATATATATATAGATTCTACCACTGCATTAAGTGTGATATGATACTTCTATTTTCCATTCTAAGAGAGTAAAATTTTCAAATTTAAAATAAAACTGTAGCAATTAGAGAAATATCCCATGGCACAAGATTAGGTGGTAGAATCTGTTTCTCTAATGACTTTTAGACGATATGCAAATAAAATTAATCCTTTTTTCCCAATGATCTGCAAAAATATGTGTTCTTTCTATGTACATGATAATACATCATCAGGCATGGTTGCTTTTTTTTCCGTCACGTCACGATAGGAAATTCAGAGGAACCCAAGAAAGTTTGACATCATAATTGAATTGTGACCAATGAAGAACTGAAATCAAACAGTTGTGTAATATAAAAAAATAAAAAAAAAATAATCAACAGATCAGAAAAAGGATAAATCGGTTAAAAATTAGAGAAATGTTTTTACAAAACAGATCAGGGTAAAAGAGAGGTTGAAGATACTAAAGGGATATCCAAACTCAAAAGTCCAAGACAAACTGACAACGCTATGTTACAATAAACTGTTGACACAGAGATATGTCTCGCCTGTCCACATAAAATTCAGAAAAAGACAATCTGATGGACAGCAACATTGCTTATTAATTCAAAGTGGCTAGACCATGATCTTGTGGGCAGGGCCTAGAAACGGTCGACAAACTGAGATGTACTGATAGTAATGCAACTTTATACAAAATATCATTGATCTGTCACAAGTGGTTCTTATCAAAATGACTTAAGCAGAAAACTTATCATTGAAAATTATTAATTAATTAAAAGTCACTGGACCATGACCTACATGACTTAGGGGACAGGGCCTCAAAATATTCATCAAACAGATATGAACTGATAGTAATGCGACTTCATACAAAATATCATTGATCTATCACAAGTAGATCCTATCAAACTAACTTAAGCAGAAAACTTTAAAAGTCACTGGACCATGACTCAGTGATTTTTCTAGCGCTCGTCATTTTCGTCATTTACGAAAAGGTTTTCAAAATGACGAAAGTTTTTCAAATCAATTTCATCACTTAAATTTGAAAAGTGTAAAAATATTTTCGCATGAAAATACTATAAATCTACCCGTCTTCATGTTTTTGACAAGTTTATGACCCTCTTCTAATTAATGTTTACAACAGGTGTTACAAGTTGTGATTACAGGTAATCCGCTTACGCCATCAGATGGGTCACTTATCTGTTAATTAACAAACCTCATAAATTATAGACCATCATAATTATTTTTCCCAGTAAAATCGGCCAGTCAGGCAAACGACCACAATTCGAAGTATTTTTCGTCATTTGAACAAAATCTTTTCCCCTGATAGTTCGCATTTTAATTTCAATATTTCTTAAACGATCACAATTTGCAGATTGTTTGTTGTAGTTTCGTCATATGATCGAATTTTCATCATATTTTATATAACTTTACATCAAAAAGAAAGAGAAAGAACTTTAAATTGTTCAAAACGTTCAGAAATATATTTCCATGAGTCAAACAGGTGCTTCCTTTACTATGTACTGCGCATGCGTGAAAGTATTCTTATAAATTAGACATTAAAACGTAGAATATGAAATCATTTAGTATCAAAATAAATGAAGGACACAAATATATTTCTTTACTAAGCAACTTGCTTTAGAAATATGATAATTTCCTGCCTTTTGTTTAACACGAACCAATCCGTAGATGAATCTGGATTCATTCTGAATATATTATTCTCGTCACTTCCGGTTTTTGTTTTGTTTAAAAATCAAAAGTAAACGTGATCTTTTCTTCATTAATTTACAATATGTAGTCATTAGAATCGTTCCAACAAGGATTTGTACAAATCCTTGCTTCCAAGTTTATATATAGAAAGGAATGCCAAATATCGATTTAACCGTTTTTACAAGGATATCAATAATGATTATGCTGTGAAATAGTTGTCACAGTTCGTTCATTTATGCTGTGATTCCTGGTATAAAAAAAGGAACCCCACGTTTTGTTGATCACGAATGTCCCCTAAAAATAACTTAAGTGAAATTGTAAACTATAAATCCGGATCCTTATTAGATCTTATTATAATCTTCATATTTAAGCACCACATCTATCAAATTATGCAATAACTGCCTGAGCATGCCTATGTACTTCAAATAAGTATAGCTAGTAATACATATCTTTGGTCCCTTATTGTTACCCAAAATAAGGTTGATTTTCATTTCGCGCAAAAGTGACTAAAGCCCTCAAAATCCTAGCTAAAACCCTGCATGACTTAAGGGGCAGGGCCTCAAAATAGTCGTCAAACTGATATGTACTGATAGTATTAAATGCAACTTCATATTATATAATTAAATATCAATGATCTATCACAAGTAGATCTTTATCAAACTAACTTAAGCATAAAACTGAACATTGAAAATTGCTAGCTAATTCAAAGTTGCTAGACCACGACCTAGGGGCAGGGCCTCGAAATAGTCCTCAAACAGATTCGTACTGATAGTTATGTAACTTTATATTATATATCAATGATCTTTCACAAGTAGTTCCTATTGTTGATGCCACCACCGCAGCCGTCGCCGAGAAAAGCAATCCCTAAGTCTCACTTTCCGCAATTTTCGTTGCAGACGAGACAAAAATGAAAGAAGACCAAAAGACAAACAACAGTCTACAAAACATAACATAGGAGACCGAACAACATAAGCCCCACTAAAAACCAGGGGTGATCTCAGGTGCTTTGAAAGGCAAAGCAGATCCTGCCCCCACATGTAACTTTACAATATAACAATGATTATTCAATCATCAAAACTATTATAAAGAGTTATTGTACTGTTGTATATTACACAATACAGGAGTCACATTTCAAGTCATTGTTAGGTATCGCCATTTATAAATATTGATCAAATCGACTACGCTACTAAGTCAGGAAAAATGGTAGAAAAATTTGTCTAACATTTACATAATAGACATGATAGAAGGTGTACAAACTCAGTATACATGTATGTGCCAACTGTTTGAGAAGTTTCAAAGATCTGGGTTGAAAACTGCAGGACGAGATGATTACAAATAATTGGAACTCTCTTTTGTAAATGTTCTGAAGTCTTGAAATGGAAAAAAATTCCTCAGATATTTCCATTACAGCAGGCAAACAATGTCAATATGTGTGCTAACTGCTTGTGAATTTTCAAAGATCTGGGCTGAAAACTGCAGAGGGAAGTGTTTACACAAAATAAGAAACCACTTTTTAACTGCCAGCCAGTCTGTGACATCACCTCACTAAAATGCCTTTTTGCACTTCCTGCAACCTAGCCAAAAAATTAATATGCTTTTCAAGTGACAAGAAAAGTCCAACATTCAATAAATCACTGACTGAGCACTAAACGCATAAACCCTTTCTTATAACATAATCCATAGAGTTAATAATAAGTTCAGAGGTGTGGACCCTTGCAATACTGATAAAGGACATCAAGCTCTCATACTTAAACATAAGGTGTCCAATAACCTCTGCCAGTATTGCAAACTGCTTTTAACAAAAGGCTGTCAGATTGACAGCAAACCGGATTTTCCGGCATGAAAATGATGTTTGCAAATCTGGAGCCCCAAACAGGATCAAGTAAAAACAAATGGAGAATGTGTCCCCATGGACACAGATGATGCCCCCACTTGCATACAACATTATAAAGGGACATAACTCAAGAACAATAAAAGTGACGCTACCCAAATTTGTACTTAATCTTAGTTTTGTGGTAATAAGTATTGTGTATAGGTTTCATGTTTGGTTGGGGCAAACTTAAGTTACAGAAGTTTTATCAGTGGAAGGCAAATTAAACATTGCATTGTATAAAGCATTGATTGCAGTTGATTCTACTATAATCATGGACAAAGGAAGATAACTCCAATTTTAAATATTACTTGAACAATGACATCATTGATATTTTTAGAAAAAAAATGAAAAATATAGCAATTTTTCGATTTGTAAAGGGGCATAACTCTAGAACAGTAAAAGTGACGCCACCAACATTCAAACTTGATCTGTGTTTTGTGGTAATAAGCATTGTGTATAAGTTTGATAACATTTGGTTGAGGCAAACTAAAGTTAGATAACGGAAACCAATTTTGGGACTTACTGACAGACGGACAAGGGTAAAACTTAATGCCCCCTCCGCTTCGGCGGAGGCATAAAAATAAATGAATTTTTGAAGGGTTCAGAAATGGAAAGGCCAAAATCAATCTAAGTATCACTTTTTGCTACTTAAAGGTCTACAACTCAACAACGATAAAAGTCAAATTTGTGAAAATCGAACTTGCCCTTCATTTTGTCACAGGAAATAACATATCTGCATTTGAAAAGATTTCGTCAACGTGTTTTCAAGTTATTGCACCGACAATGCTCGAAGTATCACTTTTTGCAACTTAAAGGTCTACAACGTTAACTCAACAACGATAAAAGCTAAAATCGTGAAAATCGAAAATGACATTCATTTGGTCATAGGAAACGATTGATATAAATTTGAAAAAATTTCATCGAAGTGTTTTCCAGTTATTGAACAGACACTGTTTGGCAGCCACCTGCCTGGATGCCCAAAGCCCATCTGCCCACCTGCTGTACATCACCAAATTATTAACTGATATTTTCCTTTGGAAATCCAGTTAAAAATGCATTTTTCATTGAAAATTTTTTACTATCAATAATAATGAGAGACAATTTTTTTAATAAAATTTCTTCTCATGTCATATTACAAGCAAAAATCAAAATGAGAGTTGCAATTACTGTGATGTTTATCGTGTCACATCTTTAGCATTAAGGATGTATACTTTAATAAAATTAAAAAAATCTAGAATTTAAAATTGATACTCTAAGTCAGAAGAACATTAGTTGAGGAACAAAAAAAGCTAAAAATATAGATAGGTTACGGAGCTCCTTTTCGAGATATTTAATTTTTTAAAAATGGCAGGAAAAGGCTGACTCAAGACTTTTACCTTATATTTGTATTGGTATTATTTGGGTCTCAAATTGAAAGAAAATAAATCTAGAATCTGCTTAAATTTTGGTATGAGCTATTGAAGTCTTAAATGAAAAGAAAAATGGGTGTTATGGGGCAAAATATTTTAGCCTGTATCGTAGGAAAAAAACCAAGGAGTCCAAACATCTGACAAAAATTCCTTAACCTGACCCAAGTACATCCTTAATAAAGCTACTGCAGTCATTCCTGAATCAACAGTTCTGTGGATTCAGTAGTAGAGAATTGATAAGAAGTAGTGGATTCGTAAACGATAATCAACGAGCGACTTTAGTCGCAAGTTGATTATCGTTTACGAATCCACTACTTCTTATCAATTCTCTAGCTTAACCCATTTCTAGTAAAAACACTGTCTGTTTTATGTTTTGACAATGAATCAATGAAATTTCATAAAAATGATTTCGTATTTTGTCTTTTTTATTCTATAATAGCTGGAAATGATTATATCCACACGGTTCACGTCTATATTTAAGTTAACATAAGTTTGATATAACTTAAATGGGTTGTTAGCTCCCCTTTTTATTACCAGATTTAATACTTGTATATTTATATTTCATTTAATGTTTTATCATTACAAAGTATTTAAATTATATAGATTTTGGTATTTATGATTTATTCAAAAAGACATATGTAAATATACAGAATTTTTTAATCTTTTTTTGAATAGTTAAAAAAATCTAATTACCAAAATTAAGAAACCTTTCAAATTTACATATATAGTATTTAGCAATCTATGATTCTTTACAGCTGATTAAGGATTACCTGTAATTTAACCGTATTAGGTCAAATACATGTATTTAGCGTAGTTGCCATAATACTACAATTTTATGATGCTCCAGTAAATGATGCTTTCCGAAATAAATAAAATAATTGCTGAAGGTCTTTTTTTGAAAATTATACATGTATTTTGTTTAAACTGTTTCCCTTTCATTAAGTTTAGATTATTTTAACGTTATTACATTTGGCATCCATCGTAAACCAGTCAATAAACTAGAATTTTCTGTGGTACGCATTCTGAATCTCCAGCAGAATAGCTCGTGCTACAGATGTACAATGTATAATTATGTCAATTTTTTACTATTACATTCAAGCTGTTCATAGCCGTGATCGTCTAGTCGTTGGTACCAAAAGACACAACTGTGATATTAGCAGTGCTAAGTTCAAACCTTGTACCGGAATTGAAATCTTTCATTGTAATTTTTTTCTCGACAAAAATATTGTTTTAATCTTAGAGGTATTATATACTTCATATTCGTTTTAAGGCAATGATTTTGTTTCTGGTTTTACAGTCAAGGAAGTAGTTTTACGGTCGTAGCTTATATATCACACTTTATTCAAATTAGAGTACGTTCAATGTTGACGTGATGTATATTTGGACCATTTATAATCAAACAAAGAAGAAAATATTGATAGTTCGATATCATTATAAGACTAAAACCTTAAGTAAGCATTTGCTATGATGAAAAGGAAAAGTCCTTGTACGTTAAATGTGACATGTGTAATTGGCATATGGTTGTTTATTTTATCAAGGAACTGTACTAATAATTACAATTCCTCGATTCTCTAGTGTTAAGAACTAGTGTGTAATAGCCACAATCGTATAAAGACCCATCGGTTCATTATAACGATGTTGAAAATCGACCAATGTTCAAACCTGACATCGTGAATAAACTCTTTTTTAAGATATTTCCATACTGCTATATAACTATACTCAAGAACGTTCAAATGTAGAAAATAATCTTCCTTAAAAAATAACGCATAAAACAATTTACATAAATTTGAAAAGAACATGAACAAATCCAGACATAGTATATATATTTTATTAGATAACAAAAGCGAATTATCTCTGAGATAGAAATACAGTTTATTGACATGTATTGACAGTTGTGCGCTTTAAGAGTGTTAGTTAAATATTGATTTATGTCAGCACTCGTGGTATAGTGGTATCATGCATAGACTGAAGACTCTTACTGATTATGAAGAAAATATGCGCGAGTTCGAACCCTTCATATGCCTCTCGTTTTTGAAAGGATAAAAAATCGTAAGTTAAAAGTTTAAAGTTATAAAATAAGTTATCTTAAGTTAACGAAGTGGTCAGTGGATTCTTGAAAAATAATCTACCGTAAGAACAATAGACTGACGTCAGAGAAATGGGTTAATTACTGTTAGTGGGGTACCAATTTTTATGAACAAATTTTAAAGTTCAAAAGAGTACACATTTTAGAAAGGCTTGTATACAGACTTTGGCAAATCCATGAAATCAAATACCCTCAAAAATACAAGTTACCAAAATCCACGAAAACTGGTACAAACAATAAATAAATTAATCCAGATTATTCAGTTTTAAAACTTACATTAAATCCCAATTTGGAACAGTTCTCTCTACATCAGCTATCATTCTTTTCAACTTTGTTTTAAAGTATGGTTCAAATCTAACATCATCTTCAAATATAAGCACATTCTCATAACCTTGAGCTTCTATCTGTAAATATATTACATATTGGACAATTTGTAGTTTGATTGTAGGATTTCGATAATTTCAGTTTAATTTATTCACAAGGTTTTTAGACTTGCGATGACTTAGAGCTTTACATATTGTATGGAGACCTGCCTATTGATAACGGATTTATGTTGATGCCTTGATGTCTTTTAGCTATTTTTGTCATTGGGTTGCTGTCTTATTGCTGTCTTTTTCAAATCTTTTATTCATTCCTAAATATTTCAAGCCACTTACAGAAATCTTCTACACATAATTTGTTTTGCTCTAACAGCAATCTAGCTAGAGACTGTGTGTTTAGAATGAAATATTAATTATAAATAAGACTGATTGAAAATATTTCTGAAGTATGAGTGAATAGATAATTTAATGTCTGTCTTAGACTGAATATATGGAACAGACAGAGGGACTAATGTACTGACACACAAAGCAACAAAATATAATGTCCCTGTACTGTTGTAGATGGGGCATGAACACATTCAGACATGTTGTAGAAGTTTGTGGTACTTACATCTTTCCATATAAAATAATGACTCAGAAAACATCCAATTTCACCCATTGTTAATGGTCTGCAATAAAAGAATAAAACTTATTACCAATTTAAAATTTAAACTTCATGAGGTGATCATGATCAGTAAAATGATACAAAGCACCAACCATCATCTTTCGTGAAGAGGCAAGGGTGACAACTTTTAAAATAAAATGCTCTACTGGGCGCAGCTTGATACGACCGCAGAGGTCGAACCCTAAACAGTTGGGGCAAGTATGGACACAACATTCAAGCTTGATACAGCACTGAATTTGGATTGTGATTAAATATTTGACACAGCATAGGTTTCTGACACAGAATGAATGTGGTCTAAGAACTTAAAATTTTTTAATTTACCTATTCAAACCATATCATTATTATTTGCTTTTATATATAAATCAGAAATAACTAATTTAAAATGGAAAATTTTAAAGAAAAAAAAAATCCCTCCCCAAAATTTTTTGAACCCCCTTATGATTCATCACCCCCAAAATCAATCCCAGCCTTCCCTTTGTGGTATGATACCTTGCAGTACAATTTCAGAGAGATCCATACACTTGAACAAAAGTTATTGTCTGGAAACTAGAAAAATGCTGGTTTTTAGGCCCCTTTTTGGCCCCAAATTCCTAAACGTTAAGGGCAATTACCCCCAAACTCAAACCCAGCTTTCCCTTTGTGATATGGAACCTTGTAGTACAATTTCATAAAGATCCATACACTTACACACAAGTTATTGTCCTGAAACTAGAAAAATGCTTGTTTTTTGCCACTTTTTTGCCCCTAATTCCTAAAATTTTGAGGCAATTACCCCCAAAATCAATCCCAGCCTTCCTTTGTGGTATTGTACCTTGCAGTACAATTTCAGAGAGATCCATACACTTGAACACAAGTTATTGTCTGGAAACTAGAAAAATGCTTATTTTTTGCCCCTTTTTGGCCCCAAATTTCTAAACTTTTAGGGCAATTACCCCAAAACTCAATTCCAGCTTTCCCTTTGTGATATGGAACCTTGTAGTACAATTATAGAAAGATCCATATGCTTACACACAAGTTATTATTATGAAACTAGAAAAATGCTTGTTTTTTGCCCCTTTTTTTGCCCCTAATTCCTAAAATTTTGAGGCAATTAGCCCCAAAATCAATCCCAGCATTTCCTTTGTAATATGGAACCTTGTGGTATAATGTCAGAGATATCCATACACTAACACACAAGTTATGTCTGGAAGTTACAAAAATGCTTATTTTTTTCCCCTTTTTGGCCCCTAATTCCTTAACTGTTGGTTCCATAACCCCCAAAATCAATCCCAACCTTCCTTTTGTGGTATTGAACCTTATGGTATATTTTCATAGAGATCCATTCACTTAAACTAAAGTTAGAGTGCGAAAACCAATGTGTCTTCAGACGATGACAACGCCAACGTCATACCAATATACGACCGCAAAATTTTTTTGCGGTCGTATAAAAATTAATCAAAATCTCTTTTTTTTTCATACAGGAAAAAGAATTTAAAAAAATTGTTGTCCTTAATTTTCAAAAGAAAAAAAAAACACTTCTTGAATCAAATTTTAAAATTGAGAATGGAAATGGGGAATGTGTCAAAGAGACAACAACCCGACCACAGAACAGACAACAGCAGAAGGCCACCAACAGGTCTTCAATGCAGCGAGAAATTCCCGCACCCAGAGGCGTCCTTCAGCTGGCCCCTAAACAAATATATATACTAGTTCAGTGATAATGAACGCCATACTAAACTCCAAATTGTACACAAGAAACTAAAATTAAAAATAATACAAGACTAACAAAGGATAGAGGCTCCTGACTTGGGACAGGCGCAAAAATGCGTCGGGGTTAAACATGTTTATGAGATCTCAACCCTCCCCCTATACCTCTAGCCAATGTAGAAAAGTAAACGCATAACAATACGCACATTAAAATTCAGTTCAAGAGAAGTCCGAGTCTGATGTCAGAAGATGTAACCAAAGAAAATAAACAAAATGACAATAATACATAAATAACAACAGACTACTAGCAGTTAACTGACATGCCAGCTCCAGACTTCAATTAAACTGATTGAAAGATTATGTCTTCATCATATGAATATCAGGCACAATCCTTCCCGTTAGGGGTTTAGTATCATACCATCATAACATATATGAGAAGAACATAACCCGTGTCATGCCAACAACTGGTTTTTAAATAAATGTGTTTAGTTTGTTTGAAGAAGTTTTGAATTAAACAATGTATCTAAAAAAAAAAACCCACTCATGCCCCCGACAAAAGATGAAGGGTCAGTGAGGTTGGATGGTATTGTAAACATTCTACTGTTAAATTATTTTCTACCTGCAATTCTTATGGACTGTTTGCTTAATTATCAAAACCTAAAGCTTTTTTCAGAGGGTTATATATTTTTAGGTGAATTTGCTAATATGTATTTCATTTATGTTCACGCTGAAAGACTATTATTTGTAGAGTTTTGTGCAAATAAGCAAATTCCATGTTTTAAGTTTAAAGTTATCTCCTATTTTACAGATTACATTTTTATACCCCCCACAAACAAAGCTTCGGGGGTATATAGGAATCACCATGTCCGTCTGTCTGTCCGTCCATCTGTCTTATCTGTCTATCTGTCTTTCTGTCCGTCCATCCTACTTTGTGTCCGGTGCATAACTTTTGTACTGTAATCTTTAGGTTAACCAAACTTGGTATGCAATTGCATCATGAGCTGGGGGCATGTCACATACTTAAGTCAGGTCACTCTGACATTGACTTCGACCCCTATGATAGTAAAAAACTTTAATGTTTTCAATCAGTCTTATTTATAATTAATATTTCACTCTAAACACACAGTCTCTAGCTAGATTGCTGTTAGAGCAAAACAATTGTAGAATTTGTGTCCGGCTCATAACTCCTAGATCTTAAGGGGAATATTTTCCAATACTGGTGCATTGGCAGGTATATGACCTTCCGATGTGTGAAAATACTCCCATCCCCACAATGGAATTAATTAACCTTGAATTTATGTTTCATGGACAATGTTTCTTTGCATATAGCAAAATGATAGTAAAAATATTCATGTAACATAGTTGTTTAGTTATTTTTTTTTTTTATTCTGCGTGATTTTGCTTGTAGTAAGCAGGATTACCATTTTTCCTATCAAATATCTTCAAAAAGTGAATTTTTGTCAACGGGTTTTGAAGATACTCTAAGATACAACAAGACACAATTTGTGTCCATATATAAATGGTCTTTGTCATATAACATACCTTTTGCCATAAGGATCTAGAAACCCTGGTAGCATTTCAATTCCAAGCTGGTCCAAATATGTGTCATTTAATTGTCTACAAATATAATACATTGGTGTAGTAACATTTCAAAAATACTCTACATAACATTTCAAGAAATCTGAAATCACTGAATTTTACTAAATGCTGTGAGGATTATGAGTATGATTAATTATCACCTGTATAGACAAATAATTCAATTTTGGATGTCACACGTCTTCTGATTGGCTGAAAGTTTTTTGTCTATCAGCTCTTAGACATAACCTTGTCATGTGACCGTGACGTCATCAACATTTTTTCATAATTTACTCCTTAAAAATGGAATTAATAATTAAATTATAAGGAATGACTGTAATATTTTTCTGTCTATTCGAAATAACCTAAAAAAGTGTGGTGCACACTTTAAATAACCCGCTACATGGGTTATTCAGTGTGAACCACATTTTTTATGTTATTTCTTCATAGACAGAAAAAGTCATTCCTTAAATAAACTCCTTGACCCTCTGATATAATATGTATTTAAAATGTCAGTCCATGTACATATAGACATTGCATGCAGTGTTGAAGACTTTGTCATAATGGCAGTTTAATTTCATATGTATATGTGCGTCTTGTTACCGCTTTGAGACAGAACTAACATATCTATAATTTACTTTTTAGAAGTATAAAGCTTCATTTTTCTAAATCTGTTTATCAAATTTCCAAGCAGAAATCTTTTACTGTAAATATATCTGATAGGATCAATTAAGCGGTAAATATTGTTTATCTTATATTTAATTTGAACGACAAAGAAAAGTAATCACATTATTCAACCAAAAGCGTTAAATTTCCAGCATATTCCTACTTTACACTAGAGGTCATGCACACTGTGTGCAACCTCATAGTAAATGTCTGTTTCAATGTAAAATGTCAACTATATGAAAGTCTATTAATTCAGATCGATGTAATTGATAGAAAAAAACATTTCATAAAAAAAATACAAATACATTTAAAAAGTTCTTTTTGCACTTGCAATAACTTCAGTGCCATACAAATATAACGTGGTCAAACCCTTTTTGTATGTGCAGTGCCATACTAATCTAACATTGTCAAACCTTTTGAATAAAATTAACAAAAATTGTTTATCATTCCCATTCTTATTAGTAGAAATTTACCGTAAAAAGGTTGTACCTGATAGCCCATTCAAATTTGAACAAGAAACCTATGACTTTCTCTCCGTTGGTGAGCTAGTGTTTCCATAAGACATTTTACATATTGACTCTACAGATTCATAAAAAAAACTTGGATTTTCCTTTACATAAATACATAAAGAAAATTAGAAAATCACCAAAATAAATCGCTGAAAAGCCAGAAAGAAAGAGCGAAATGCAAAATAAAGTATCTGCAAAAAAAAGATGGTTTACTGTAGCTGTTTTAAAAAGGTAGATGTGCAGGGCTAAATAACATTATTTAAATTGGTTCCTTGATGGAATAAAATCTTATCAGAGAAAACTTGGAAGTTTGCTGGAATATGACATCCGTAACTGTGCAAGCCTGGAGGTTAATTGTAATATACATATTATGTTTGTGCAGTCTTTTTAATCACAAGATACATTTCCAAATATACAAATTTGTGTTTTGTTGGTATATTCACATCAGAAGCAGTCTGCATTGAGAAGCTATTCGGAATAAAGTGCATGCACCTATACAGCACTATGTTTAGAAGAAAAGGAAAAAGGCTGAGGGAAAAGAAAACTTAATGAAAAATAAATGAAGAATGTGTCCATGGGACACAGATCATGCCCCCGCTTGCATATCATATAATGTATAAAGGGGGATAATAGTAAAAGTGACGCCACCCAAATTCAAATTTGATCTGAATTTTGTGGTCATAAGCATTGTGTATAAGTTTCATAACATTTGGTTGAGGCAAACTAAAGTTACAGAACAGAAACAAAAAATTCAGCAATTTTTCCATTTGTAAAGGGGCATAACTCTAGAACCATAAAAGTGACGCCCCCCAAAATTAAAACTTGACCTGTGCTTTGTGGTAATAAGCATTTTGTATAAGTTTCATAACATTTGGTTGAGGCAAACTGAAGTTAAAGAACGGAAACTAATTTTGGGATGTAGGTATTACAGACGGACAGACCTACAGACAGACAAGGCTAACACTTAATGCCTTCTCTGCTGCGGCAGGGGCACAAAAATTGAAGCTCATTGTGTGAGACCTGTCAAGGAAGTCAATGCCATTAAACACCCCAATATTCATTTTGATGTCTTCACAACGAAATTATACATTCTCATGTGTGCCACCATATTAAGTTTTCCTATTGTTTTCCAACAAAACCTGAATATTTACATGCTTCTTGGTTGGTTAAGAAGCTTGGAAAGGGAGAAATTTGCTTTAGAGAAACTGAATAAGCAAAGGATGATGACATATTCCTTAATGTCAGCTAAATTTCCTGTGACTAAAAATCATTTCTAGAATTTTATATTAAAGTATAAAATAAGAAAAAATAAATCATAAGCAAACTAAATTTTCTTTACACCATTCACCATATTATTAAAATATTAAATGTGTAAGATAATATAATGCCGTACCTTGGATGCTATATAAATATACAAAGTCTGAAGACATTAACTGGCAGGTTGTGTGCAATATATATGTGCAGGCATAATAAAAAACAAAGGTTCCATCAGTAAAATGTCTATAAATCTTAAGGTTGTGTGCAAATGTTTGCATATTCATATATACATGATGTGAATATATAATGAGTGCATGTTTTTCTTTCTTTATTTTAATCAACAAACCACATATTACAGCGAAATCACTGCTGCAAAACCAAGATATTATTGGTAAATACTACACTAGTAAACCAATTCTGATCTGAAACGGTCATTTTGATCTAAACAGTTCAATTTTTAAGTTATTTTCAGTAAATTTTCAGACTTATCTACTGTGGTAAATTTAGTACTGTTCAGACAACTCACTTGCAGTCAATAAAGATCTGTTCAGTTTATGTTCAGACTATTCAGTAGAGGTTAATTTCCTGTACACATTTTCAAAAATACTCAATTATCTGATAAACTTCTGAACAGTACTGAATTGACTGCAAGCAAATTGTCTGAACAGTACTGAATTAACCACAGTCAATAAGTTTGAAACGTGACTGAAAGACTGAACATGATTTAAAAATGTATTGACTAAAATTCGTTTACTAGTGCTAGTTACAGGCAACTTTGAAATCAAATGAATCAACAACATGACAAATGAGAAAATATTATCTTTTTGATACCTACTTTCCATCTACAGCATCAATAATTTTTGCTAGAATTCCTAATTCTTTAAAGGCTTCTAACATTCTTTTTCTTCTCTCTGGTCTTCTTAAAAGATTGATCATATACACCTAGAAAAATAACTTAAGTATTCAAAATATATAAAAAATAATATAATAAGCATCTTTTATTAACCTTATCAAAATTGTCTTTTTTTTGTCCTGACTTTACCATGTTTATATATTGTTAAGCATTCAATTTACATTAGAACTTTGTTTAATATTTTCATTTACCTACCCCTTCTATTTTGCATATTCAGTTACTTTACTATTCTATTTTACATTTTCATTTACCTAACCCTTCTATTTTGCATTTTCAGTTACCTAACCTTTTTATTTTGCATATTCAGTTACTTTACTATTCTATTTTGCAATTTCATTTACCTAACCATTCTAGTTTGCATTTTCAGTTACCTAACCATTATATTTTGCAAATCAGTTACCTAATTTTGTTTTGCATGTTCATTTACCCAACCATTCTGTTTGGCAGTTTCATTTACCTAACCATTTTATTCTGAATTTTCATTTACCTAACCATTATATTTTGCATTTTCAGTGACATATCCATTCTATTTTGCGATTTTCATTCACCATGTTCACCTAACCATTATGGTGTGCATTTTTATTTAAATGACTAGTTGCATTTTTTATTGCCTAAATGTTATGTTTATATTTTTATTAACCTCACCAGGGTCAATTTGCATTATACTGTTAAACAATTTGCTTCACATTTACATTCCTTTAGCAAACTGGTTTGTATTTAACTTACAAAATTCAACAAGAGTGCACACGCTGAAATGTCTCGCCTTCTTTACTTATCATTGATATTATGTTGATTGTCTTAAATATAAAGCTTTATTACAACTGTCGCATGAACTTAACATTAACCAAGTAAACTAAACATTGACCAATGAACCATGAAAATGAGGTCAAGGTCAGATGAACCATGCTAGGCAGGCATGTACAGCTAACAATTCTTCCATACAACAAATATAGTTGACCTATTGCTTATAGTATAAGAAAAACAGACCAAAACACAAAAACTTAACACTGAGCAATGAACCTTGAAAATGAGGTCAAGGTCAAATAAAACCTGTGTGACTGACATATAGATCATAAAATATTTCCATACACCAAATATAGTTGAACTATTGCATATAGTATAAGAAAAAAAGACCAAAACTCAAAAACTTAACTTTGATCACTGAACCATGAAAATGAGGTCAAGGTCAGATGACACCTGCCAGCTAGACATGTACACCTTACAATCATTCCATACACCAAATATAGTAGACCTATTGCATACAGTATAAGAAAAACAGACCAAAACACAAAAACTTAACTATAACCACTGAACCATGAAAATGAGGTCAAGGTCAGATGACATCTGCCAGTTAGACATGAACACCTTACAGTCCTTCCATACACCGAATATACTAGACCTATTGCTTATAGTATCTGAGATATGGACTTGACCACCAAAACTTAACCTTGTTCACTGATCCATGAAATGAGGTCGAGGTCAAGTGAAAACTGTCTGAAGGGCATGAGGACCTTACAAGGTACACACATACCAAATATAGTTATCCTATTACTTATAATAAGAGAGAATTTAACATTACAAAAAATCTTAACTTTTTTTTCAAGTAGTCACTGAACCATGAAAATGAGGTCAAGGACATCGGACATGTGACTGACGAAAACTTAGTAACATGAGGCATCCATATACAAAGTATGAAGCATCCAGATCTTCCACCTTCTAAAATATAAAGCTTATAAGAAGTTAGCTAACGCCACCGCCGCCACCGTATCACTATCCCTATGTCGAGCTTTCTGTGACAAAAGTCACAGGCTCGACAATAAAAAACTATGTATCCATTTAATCAAAGCACAAAAAAGAGGAATGTGCAATCAGCAACATTTTATATCACACTATATATATAGTAAATGTCCGTATTGCTGTGTGTTTGTTTATTCTACATTGGCTAGAGGTATAGGTGGAGGGTTGAGATCTCACAAAACATATTTAGACCTGCCGCATTTTTGCGCCTGTCCCAAGTCAGGAGCCTCTAGCCTTTGTTAGTCTTGTATGTTTTTTAATTTTGGTTCATTTATATGTTTCGGAGTTTAGTGTGACGTCCATTTTCACTGAACTAGTACACGTTTGTTGAGGGGCCAGCTGAACCCCACCTCCATGTGCGGGATTTTCTCTCTGTGTTGAAGACCCATTGGTGGCATTGGGTTGTTTTCTGCTCTTTGGTCGGGTTGTTGACTCTTTGACACATTCCCCGTTTCCAATTTCAAATACCATACCTGATCAAAACCTAATTTATCTGGTTCTGGATACTCAATAAAGACATGTGGTGTCTTTATCAAACCTGGTCTATCAACTGTTAAAAAAAAGTATTATTCATTAAAATTAACCCATAACTTATATTAAAGATGAAGGTAAATAATAAAGTCATTGAAAGTTAATACTAGTTATTGAAGTTTTTAAAAGCAACACTTTATGCAAAAAATTTTTGACTTGTGTTAAAATATATAAATTTGTCTATTATGTAACCAGAGAGTAAATGGGTCATTCTAAATACTGCAAACCAACTTATTTTGGCAGATATCGCAGATACTTTCTTTTGCGTTAAGCAATTTTCAGCCTACTTCGCTGCGATTTCTTTTTGCGGTTTACTCATTTTCTTGATGTAATTTTTATAAGAGAAGACCAAAGTGCTATATATTAAATAAATCTCTAATGAAAATTTGTTGGTTTACAGTAAGTTAGTCCTATAGACCTGATGCTTCCAATTTCTTAAAAAGCTTGCAGAAATATTGAAATTATATTATAAAATACTAATAGATCATTTTCCCCAGCAATTCTTTTATGTAACCTAAGATATAAGGTGATAATCATCCTGCTCATAAACTGTTAAGTCAGAAATTATTGTGTCCATTTCTTATTGCGATTTTTGAAGAATAGACAAAAATGTCAGATTAATTATTGTGATTCCAGAAAAATCTGCATACAGATATATGTATCAGATATCAAAATGTGAGTTCTTATTATTGTGATACTCACCCAGTTGCATTATTCACATATAAATAATCCTCGCAATAATTTCTGAATTTACAGTAATTCATAACAGCTAAAAACTGCAAACATCCTTCATTCAAACTTTAATCATAATAAAACTATACACAATGAAGGTGAGACACTGCAATCTTAGATATATTTTCTTGCAACTGCATGGCTCGATGAATTTCGATAGGAAATATTAAAATTATAGTGGCTATTATAAAATCATCAATTTTTACTTTATTACTACTGATCTTAAGCTTATCTATAAGCTTAAGGTTACTGTGGAAACAATTATTTTTTGGTATCAATTTTCATATTTGAAGAAAATTTTTTTTGAGGGTATCTATATTCCTTAGGATCATCATTTCTTCTTCAATACAAAAGAGTAGGGGCATTAAGGCCCAGTTTTGGCAAAAGAAAATAAGAGTTTTTTAGAACTATTTCAAATTTGCAAATAATGTTTGGAAATGCATAAATTCAAGAAATATAAATGATCTACACTAGATTTTTTATGTTATGACGTCACCATGGTCACCATGCATTACGTCATAAAATGTACCAGTTTCATAAAAACAAAGAAAATAGCTAAGTTGATGCACTTTTATTATTTCCTTTGTGGAAACATCGTGCGCAGACAAGAAACAACAAAATAATTTATAAATATCGACATAATCTGACCAAATATAAAGTTGTTTCCTGGGTGTGCACATACTTTTCCAATCTAATATATATCTAAAAGTTTGCATAAAACAAGGAAAATCAAGAAATTTTACAAAATATACACATTTTGTCAAAGTGTGTAGCCATGGTGACTCGTTATATGTGAATTTTGTTTTTATTTTCTGAACACCTTGTACGTTGGTGTAGTTTGGGCATATAAAAGAATATGTATGGTAACTTTTCAATTTGCACTAATATTTGGGCCAAATAAGGGCCGTTTTGCCCCTACTCCTTTGTATTTTGTTGAGAAGTCTATTATTTCTCTGATGTATGAAAGTCTTTTTGTGACTGCAAGTTCCACAACTCCACTTAAGTACCAAGAAGGCCTTCAGATGTCAGAGTTATCTTGGGCTATTAGTTGAGTACCTGAATTTGTGGTTTCTCATTACACATGAAATTAATGAAAATTTGCATCCCACGCATAATAACGAATCCACAGTACTTTTATATATCAGCGTACATGTATTAACAATTTGAACTTTATCAGCTATCAATTTTTTTTACAGCTTAAAACTTTTTTTTTAAATTTGATTACTATTAATTCAGAAATTTTTAAGTGCATTTATTATTGTAATTGTTGAACAATGAACAAAAATGTGAGATAACTTGTTTCGATTTTTCAGAAAGTCTGAATACAAATAATGCTTTTAAAATTCAAACATTGAGTTTTAATTCTGGTGAAACCTATCCTATTGCATTTTTTGCAAAAATGAGAACATTGCAAAAATTTCTGAATTTATGATCTGACAACTCTGAAAAGCTGCAAGAAACTATATGCATGAGGATTACAGGTCCAATGGAAGTATTAAAAAGGTCTTTGCATACCTGATGTACTAGAAACAGTTACAAGCACTATAACAATTTGGTACAATATACAAATTATACACATTGGTTTATAAACCAACTCCATCCTCATCCTGAGGTATTTTTTTCAAAATGCTAATTCATGAAAACTAAGATGATAATATCAAGAAGCTATAACCAGACAGATGTTATTTATCAATTCAGATCTTGTCATCAATTTGTAATAAGTCCACATCTGTTCCAGCAATTATTCATTTTCATTTTTACATTTATTGAAAATACAGATTTATATTTATTTATAAATTGAGACATTATCTAATTCTAAAACATTCATTATAAGAATTTAAATACTTGGGTGTGGTAATTTTGAAATGATGCATGATCACTTCTGTGTTGACATGAATAATATTTAATATTGATATGCTCATAATTATAAATTAACTGTGTTTTATAGTTTACAAACTTTGAATTTTTCAAAATACTTAGGATTTTCTACCCCAGGAAAAGATTACCTTAGCTGTATTTAGCAAAACCTTTTCAGAATTTTGTGTCTTAAATGCTCTTCAACTTCATACTTTATTTGGCCAATTGAACTTTTTTGATTCGAACATCACTGATGAGTCTTTTGTAGACACACGTGTGTCTAGCGTAAAATATAATACATAGGTCTGGCGTAAAAAAAAATACATGATGATAAAGATGAGCCACATATGCTCTTTCAAGCATCTTACTTCATTAAAAATGGCTTGAGGGTGGCCATTGTTAAAATGAATGACAATTTTACATTATTTCCTGTTACAAAAAAAATCTATATGAATGCTTATTTGGTTGATAGATATGGTAATTGTAAGCCCTTTTGTAAAACATCTACAATTAACAATTATTTCCAAGGTCAATTGACCTTATATCTTTATTTTGTAGTGTTGCAAGGTTTGTCAAAACTAGCAAATTTACTACTTTTTTTAATTCTATGTATGATGCAGTTAGAAGGTAGATATATATTAGTTGTTTTAACTCATTTATACAAAATAATGAAATACATGTAGCATGTCAACAATAGAGTGTAGTTGGGAAAAAAATTTAAATGAGCAATTTAGCCATTACAAAAAACATCTAAATTCTCATCCAACTGTTTTGATCAACTGTGGTGAGGGTGGGGTAGGGAGCGGGTTTTGGTGGAGGAGGGGGCAAATATCTATTTTCTATTTTCCCCCAATTTTTTGTGAAAACTTCTAGGATTTTTTTTTATTATGGGCATAACCATAAATATGTAAAATAAGAAGGAAGTAGAAAAATGTTCCTTAAAATGTAACTAGTCCAGGAATGAACAAACATGGGAGTACACACAAGAACTCATAAGGGGTAGCTCTGACCAGGTGTGTGACCAATTTCTCCTTTTATCCATGCATCACTTGTCATAGGATTCAAAAGTCATACCCATAAGTAAGTCTCAAAGACAGGAATATGTCAAAACACAGTTAAAATACAACTTTCATGAACAGAAAAATAACGTGAAAGTATTTGGTTGGGAATATGTAAAACATTTTCTTAAACAAGTGCATTAATAATGTTATAAATTTAAGAAAACAAATTGATACAAAGTCAGCTCTCAAGGGTTAAACACGAAATGAGGTAGTGAATATTTTTTGTAAGTTTAAAGAAAATTCAGTTGTATATAGGCATATAGCAATAGGACTGAGCTTTAAGAACCAAAAAAAAAATTCCCAAAAAAGAAAACAATAAAAAGCCCAAATAAATTAAGCAAGGAACCTTTATCCATCATAATATAAACTAAATGCAAAATTATATGTCAAAACAAAGCATCAAAAACTAACTATAATAATGACCAAATTTCTGACCCTCCATCAACTTACGTTTTAAACTTCAACACAAATGAGCAAATATCAATCATTAAAACATGCGAAATAAAAGGAATAATAATCATTTGTAAAAAATATGGGTATCAAGCTTTTAATATGTTATGTTATTGTATCTAAAAGTATTGAACATTATAATGCATGTTTTTAGGGAAACTCTGATTATGAATAAAAAGTTAACTGTTGAATTCATATTACCATTTTGTTGAATTTTGAAATGTATTATGATAAATTTTGGTCAAATCTTTTGAATATTTGTGTTGCTGAATTTTGGTCAACATTTAAATTTCATTGCATACATTTAAATTTCATCTTTGTGGAATTTTCGATAAACATTTTAGAGCTAATTTCCTAATGCTTGTAGAGTAAGACTTTGGTTGGGCTTGCTTGCTTTGTTTGAATAAACATTGGCTCAAGTACTGTAATTAGGATTAACATTTAACAATATAAATTAAACCTGTATACATTATACTTTAATTTGATTGGATGTTATCCAGGAGGTTAAGAATCTAAATATAATGTGAATCTAAATTACAATGCTTGAGCAAACATTTATAAAAACAAAGCAAGCAAGCCAACCAAAGTCTTACTCTACAAGCATTAGGAAATTAGCTCTAAATTTATCTACATATATATCCATGCTTGTAACGCACTTTAATGTTATGAATTAAATCATGCTACCTTTGGAATATTCAGATTTTTTCAATGTATTTAATCACTGTCTTTTTGAATTTTGGCATTTTTAGAATAAAATTTTTAAGTCTGAAAATGCAACGAAAGGGAATATATATATATATCAAATAAAAAAGCTCCGAAAATATATATCCTGTATAAAGTAAACAAACAGTGATTAATATATACATGTATTATATTGGATCTAACCTGGAAACTTTCTTCCTGTAAAAACCTCGTCAACATGGTTGGCATCTAATTTTGTATAAATTGTAATATAAAGAAACAGTTTCATGGTAATAATTGATTTTTATACTGCAGCTAGAACACTTTCTGCTGTTTTTATTCTATATTTAGATTGTCAGGAGAGAATGGCAAGATTAACCCACACATCCATCTCTATCTGCATCTGACAGTGTATTACATTTCAACTTTTTTTCTAAACAAAACTTCTTCATTTGAAACATATCATTCTTAAACCAATTTTTCCAAAATTTATTAGATTCATTTAAATAATGGCTAAAAAACCACAACAAATAGTAATAATACAAAAATATTCATATTAAAATCATTTTTTCTTGTCAAATCTCTATCAAAGGTGTTGAATTTCTGGTTCATTTACAATTTAAAAGCCAATATTAAAATGTATTTAATGTTTCCTTTCCTTTACAAATTAAAAAGACAGTCTATCCCATAACTCCTTAAGATGATACGACAAAAAAAAAAAATATACACATAAAAAGATATTTATGTAATCTCACCTCTAGCTTCTAATTTGATAAAAGTAAACTGATCGCTTTCATCCTGTAGTGTATTGTGTTCATCCATGGGTATCATCACTGTTCCAAAATATTCTGTATTCAATATGTGCATGGATATACCTGAAAGTACATTACTGGATGTTAAGTAAGCAACAAATCAATCAATCAAAAGCCTACAAATGATTTTTTTTATTTCCTAAAGGATATAAAAGTATTTTGAAATTCACATATAATTCTTCATAAATGACCTAACCAGGTGAGATATAAATTTTATAGAATGCACTTTAAAACTGATGCTAAGGGAGATAAATCTAATATAATATCCTAGAGAATCTATTGTAAAATGCATGCCAATTATCTGTCCTGAAGGAAATAAATGGAAAACATTGTTTTCGTCATTTTTCTTCACCTACCATATATCAGGGTTTTTTCGTGTGTGTTTAATTTTCGCTTCGTTCGCGACAGCTTAACAAGCGACAATCTATCGATTGGTGTCATAACACGATAATTTTGCATTTCATGTGAAAATGAAATAAGAATAAATCACATTTACACGAATATTTGTATATCAGTAATGCTCAAAATATTTAATTTTAAACATGCCCCAATGTACAAAATTTACGTCCTTAGAAAGTTCTCTGAATTATGTGTATTTTCGTTTGTAGTACTCATATTTATTTGTAATCGTTATTTGCAGATCAATTAATTTTATTATGTTTAAATCTTTAACAACATGTTACAGTTATTTTTTTTAGTGCATTTTCTCCATTCAGCGAAAAGTTATACACAGTGAATATTTAACCTGCCCGATTTGTCATCAAATCGCAAAAAAAATGCTAACGCGAAAAAAACCTGATATACGGTATATTGCAAAGAATGAAAATATAGAGATAAATAAATAAATAATTGTTTGTTGCCATTCATGAGTTGTTTCATAGAATTGAGATTTTGCATGACTCTTATATGGACTACAACTAAAATATTAATTATATACCAGATAAAATAATAAGAGTATCTGAAGTTTGTGCAGTCATGACATGAATTACTTCTTTGTTCAAAACAATTTCGATAAAGTACAGTTATCTACGTCCCTTTTAAAACAAATCTATAAAAAAGCTAAACGAAACTGACTTTGAGCTCAACAGGACAAAAGGAAAGTATATATTTTAACAGTTGTAGTCATGTGACCTTACAAACAACTATTATCTTTAAGTGTAACATACCTGCATATTTTACTGAGTGAGCAAATATAATAATATCATCTTTGGGGCCTTTATATTCTTCTGAAGATTTATACGAAAACTTTGGTGACACTGATCTGTGCATGTCTATCAATAAAGCTGAATGTACCATGGGAACTGGAAAACAACCCAACACTTTTCTCCCTACAATGTCAAAATACTCTGGTACTCTCCTGTAATATCCCTAAAAAAACAAGCACATAAATATTGATTAGTTTAATGATTATTTTTCTCTTGTCTACCGTACTCAGCATTTTACTGTGAACAAAATATACACATGATATATAATAATTAGCTTGGTAAATATAAGGGCTTGCTCACATTACAAACTAACATAGACTTTTAGGTAGCTTTCTAGAACTGAAAGCATTGATATGGTAATCTATAGCATAGCGAACTGTAACAATTACGACTGCTCCAATGACATAAGGTCACTAAGGATGTAGCCTCAATCTGGTTCTCCTTGCCATTTTTATCAGTTACTGTCAAATATGACTCATTACCAGATTTTTACGTGCCACGAGCAACCTGATCAAAACCATTAGTTTAGATGATATGGATTACTTTTATGAACCCTCAAAGTCATAAACATGATAAACACTGGTAATCTGTGGGTTCATGATGCTGAATTTTGTTTTTATCAGGTAAGTCAACAAAGGTATCTTATACAAGAACAGTTTTATATAAAGTGCAAGGGTAAACAGAATTCAAATCTGTTTATCTTATTTTTAAAGGAACATTTACCTCATCTGTCATTCCTCCCCAAAAGTTGGAATATACTTGTCCATAACTGGCATTTAACATAGGTCCAACTATTATTCTGTAATAAATAATATCCTTATTAGTCAATTCAAATAGAGATAGGTTTCCATTTAGAGTTATCTCCCTTGGTCACCATTTTCGAGGGGTAAATGGTTGATTTTCTTATTTGGTTTTTGGTGGGGTTCGTGTTGCTCAGTCTTCAGTTTTCTATGTTGTGTTTTGTGTACTGTTGTTTGTCTTTTTGTTTTTAGCCATGGCGTTGTTGGTTTATTTTCGACTTATGAGTTTGAATGTCCCTTTGGTATCTTTCACCTCTCTTTGACTAACCATATTGAAACATCTGGTGTAAACAAGTCTGATGAATCAAGCAAGGCTAAAAGAAATTAAAATGGTTCAGAAAACAACTTTTTCTAAAGTCTACAGTGTTCTAGAATTTCCCTTTCCCGTCACCCGTGGCAAGTTGATTTAGTTCATGGGAAAGTGGAAATTCACAACTTTGTTGTCCGTGGGCAAGTTAAATTAAATTACAGAAACTTCCTATTCATACAGATCAAACGATCAATGTAACCGAAAGGTATTCTTTTATTTCAATCAAGGTCTCAAAACAATATTATGTTGGTGCAAATCATGCAGGGGTTCTAAAAGTCATGGGGAGAAAAACGTGCGCATGTGTTTCGCGATCACTGTCATAAATACGCTTGCTAGCTCAGCAAGGAAAATTCATGATGTCAAGTATCCATCCGATCTAGATGCAAAAACCTAATAACCGGAACGCAAATGGTAAAAGATTTAATATCCATATCTCAAATTTGTAAATTTTTGCGTTAATGTTTGACGATATTATCCCTTTTATGTGCCAATACATTTGAATTACTAGAGCCAGAGCACAAATAGGCATGTGTCAAACTAAAATTAATATATTTCAAAATAAAATTAATATATTCCATCAAATGATTTGTATATCTAGATGAACATGACATTGAATTATCAACACAATCACAAGCTAGTTAGACAAACTAATTAATTTCTAAGGAAATAACAGAGGTCATAATTTCAAATGAACTACATGTATAAACATGCGATAAAAGGAATAACAAAATTATGAAAACATTTTTAAAATAGTAAAAAATTCAGGGAAAGCTCATTCAACTTGTAGGAAAGTGAATTTTTTATATCAACTTTCCCGTGGAAAGTTGCATATGTATAAAAATCCTAGAACACTGGTCTATTGGTCAGTATAACAAGTTGAATTTGGCTGATTTATGAAAGAATTGGTGCACCTAGACCTCCAACATGGTGACAAAAGGGAAGTAACTCTTGCTCAAGTTGTGTCAATAGAAACCTATCTATTGTTGCTTCCACTCTTACTTTTTTTATCAGTAATTAAATGACTTGTGCAATTAACAGCTTTGTAAATTAGTATAAAACATAGGGGAAATATTGTGGATTCAGAACAAAAAAATCAGAATGTTAAAATTGAAAATATGACATGAATGAGGCGATTTCTAACCAAGAGAAACCTGAAAAAGCATTACAAGATTTCTTTCCTGAGAAAATTGGAACCTTTGATACAAACAAAAAATAATTTGATGAACTAAGAAATTATTCTAATGTCCAAATAAATTTCTGTAATAAATCAAATATTAACTTTTTGATGAATGATAAGTGAAATTTTTCTTATTAAAAGTTTATCTTACTTATCTGCCTGAACTAACAAGGACAAGGTTTCTTTGTTTTCTAAAATAACATCTGCATCCAACATCTACAAACAGAATAATATTCAATTATACATAACAAAGACACATTGTAAGCCAACTTTTTTATCGTGCATAGCCATTTCTAGCCAACTTCACTGTGACTATTTTTTTGTGATTTTGATTTTTTTTTATATAATTCTATTAGGGAATACCCAAGTTTGACATCTTTAATTGTGACCATTTATATTGGCCTTATTTTTCTATTCAAGAAATTTTCAAATATGAAATTCTTGGAAATATTAGTTGATTTACAGTATTCAGGACATTGATTCTTATATTTTCAAATGTAACTATTGAAAATTTTTATTACAGGCCACTCCTTCAGAGCAGGGAAATAAAAATAAATGAATAAATATTGTTCAAAGATACATATCAAATTTAAAATAGAGGTTTACCATCATTTAATAAATTAAAAGTAAAAATTTGCTTACAAACAAGTAATCAGACCAGTTCTCTCTGGCAGCGTCTAATGCTTGATGTCTCAGATCAATCACATGTGCAAACCTGTTATCTGACCAGTCACATGGTCCAACTTCATCAGCATACTCTACAACACAAATCACATGATCAAACATGATTAAAGTCATCTGCAATCTACAATCCAAGCATAAAAAGATAGGAAAAAAAAAAAAAAAAAAAAAAACACTTTATAATTAGGTGTGTACATGTGCAAAACGCTTTTTGAACTGTACCTTGATCAGACATGTCAAAAAGGCTAAAAAACAAAAATTTGAAAACCATCCATGTATAACAACCTGAAAAATCAGGAAGCTATATAAATAAAAGGGACCATAAATGAGGAAGCCAAATGCATCTAAGATCAACTTTGCCTGACATGCCTAAGGGACTGTGCAACTTAAGAGGGTCTGGATGGGGGCTTTTGTGGCCCAATAGCTAATACAAAATTCATGGTCCACTTAAATCCAAGTGCTTGTGAGCACTGAAGGGTAAAGATTGCATTCATTTTGCAGTGGAAATTTAAATTAAACATAGTGCATTTTAAGCATTGGAAGGCAATACTATGAATTGGAGATATCATTGTAGTTAGTTCAACTACAATTAGGGACAAAGGAATAATTATAACTGCAATTTTAAAATAACTTTAACAATGACGTCATTTATATTTTTAGAACTGATACTAGATTCATGCATCATGCACAATTTATGTACTTTGCTTGACAAGTATCGTTATACACACACACATTATTTTGTAACTTGCATATCTGAGAATATGTTTCATTGATAAAATTTCTTGAAATGATCATGAATAAGATGTACAGAATGTTGTGGTCAATGCACTATGTTTTGTTCATCTCAAAAGTAGTGATAAAGTTTGGAAAATTGATAACTATCAAGCCAGCCACATAAGCATGATAAAGGTTTTGATTGTATGAATGCAATCTTTACCCCAAAAACAAGCAAACATAAGTTTCATTAATGATGTTTATGCACAAAGAATACAATCAAACAGTTCAGCTGTTAATCATTGTAAAACTGTGCAACTTAAGAGGGTCTGGATGGGGGTTCTAAATTTTATATTCTCATGGCATTTTTCTTTATCTTTAAAATAAAAAATATCACTTATTCTGTTAATTCTCATGAAAATGATTTTCGTATTAAATTTTTTGTAATAAATTGATTTTTTTGTTCTGTACATTGTTCATTTCTGTAATCAGTATTGTATTACCCAATTCTTTTATTTTCCACAGTTATACTTTTACTCATTTTTCTCTATTCATAATTTTGTTTGCTCATTATTCTCTCTTCTGTAAATCCCATATAGACCCTCTATTATTGGTTGTAGTTAATATATGACCACTTATTAGCTTCAATACACATGTTTATTGCCTGCATACATTCTTATTATAATATACTTAAGCTTATATATCAATTATTTCTAAACATGAACATGATGAACTAGATTGTAAAATAAAACAAAAAAATAAACATTTAACATGCTTAATGATCTTGTAATTCACACATGTTTGTGTAATCTAATGTTAAATATATTCTGTAATCTCTTGTTACATACATGTAATACAGATGTACATGTGTGTTATGTGTAATCTGCTTGCAAATATATTTATTTAGCTGTTAAGCACTGCTGATTGAGTACCTATCATAAATATGCTAATCTAAAACCTTTATTTTTTTGTTTGCCAACATTATTCTGGTACAATTACAATTTTAACAATAAATATTTACATGCACATAAAATTAAAAAATTTGTATTCTCACATTGATCTGCACAATTACACCTATCAGTCAGAACTGAACCTGTGTGTTTTGCATTTGAACCATCCCCAAAAATCCTTCATGGGATATCAAATTTTGTTGGCATCGATAAGTAAACCAAGAATTTAAATATTGAACAACAAAGTACAAATTTTCTATAGGCTTGTATGCAGACTTTGGCAAAATCCTGGAAATCACACAAAAATAAAAAAATTCTTCAATCCACAAAAATTGATATCCACGAAAATATATGAATCTCAGAATAATGAATACCTCATTTGCTCCTAATTAATGATAATGAAAACATTAAATAAGAACATGATCTTGCACTTAAGGATTCAGTAAATAATTGATCACATGATCACTTTAAAGACATGGATGTCAATCAGAAACCAGGTCAAATTCATATTTTTTCAAGCAATATCAGATATGATACATGTTATGTCATGTATGTATTATCATGATTAAATAACATAAAGGGTACCAATTTTACTGCACCAGATTCACATTTCTACAATTAATGTCTCTTCACTGATGCTCGAGGCCATTTTAATATTTGAAATTCCGAAACTAAATACAAACATTGAATATGCTGAAGAGCTGATCAAACCAAAAAGGACCTAAAGTTGAAGTCAAATCCGGACAAGGAACCAGGGCTTTGCATGAGGGAGATTTACATGTATTCCTTAATTTAAAACAATTTTCAAAAATTTATAACAGCCAATTTCAATCAAAACAATATGTTGTTTAAAATCTTTAAAATGTAGAAAGACTTTATGAAAGTATGCATCTGACTTGTCATATTAAAGTGGTGTTCAACATTCGACATATTTATTAATCATGTGTTAACTTAGATTTATAATATGGCATAGATTCTTTAACATGTTTTAAAGTCCAACAGAAAATGAGGATGATTTTTTTTATGCTGGTTGATTATACCATCATTGTAGATTTTTCTCAGATACATTTGTAGAAACAGCCTTGCTTTGTCTTGTCATCATGTAGATACAATTGCATAATCCAATGCATTTTTTATTTAATTATGTAAATTGATTATTTCAAAAATTGGTTTCCGAATAGATTAACAGTAGCAGTAATCAGGTCCTTAAATGTCTACATTGTGAACCTAAACACTATTGAGTTGAGTGTGACGTCCATTTTCATTGAACCAGTACACATATTCCTTTAGGAGCCAGCTGAAGCCCCCCCCCGGGTGTGGGATTTTCTCGCTGTGTTGAAGACCCATTGGTGGCCTTCCACAGATATAAAGATTTGGTTTTGAAGTTTGGTTGTACCTGTAGAAAACTTATTTCAAATGGGATTGCACATCCTCATCAGGGCTCACACTACTTCAGAATCATAGGGAGAAGTGACTTCTCTTTTTGAAACTGATAGGGAGAAGTGGTGAGATTTGAAAGAGAAGTGCTCGTTCGCGCGCTTCACTACAATGTTTGGGTTTTACTATAGTATAAAGGGTCATATGTAAATAATGTTCTTTTTATATTGTTCAATTCATATCTGAGTATACAATTAAAGTAACAGTTCAAATTCAAGGTTATTTAAGTTTAGGTTCTTGTGAGAAACTACCAACTAAATATCTAGCACTAAAAGGATTTTTTTTTATGTAAAAAAAGGTAAAGAAATTATAATATATCAATTACAATTTAATTAAAAACTATCTTGTTTATGAAATTCAGTGTTTCTCATCAAAAGATATACAAATTTAAGCTGGGCTTTAATATATGACATATATTGATATTAGTATAATAGTCTCAGAGTTAAGCAACTTTAATCAATATTTTGAAACAATCCATATAAATTATATGGAATTATATACATTAATCAATTAGATGTCACCAAAAGTCTGTAAATGCGTGTGGAATGTGTAATTTTTCCTTTTGACAATATTCTTCTGTCAGCTGTTCCATCCATGCGTCCGTAGATATTATTGTAAAAATACGGATTTCGGTCATAGCTAGTCCGGTCCCGATCCGTAGTTAGAAAACGGTCAATGGCAGACGAATGGAAGAAAAATTACAAAAATAAATGATGTTTGACAAGCTATTTGGAAAGGAATATGACGTTTTTAATGCAATAAATGGATTAAATATTTACTGGAGGCAATTTTTATCACGTTTAAATGAAGTAACAAACTTATTTTGCCGCCGAAAGTTAGATTGATGTACGTTCTCGAGTACTGACAAGTACCGGAAGTGCACGAAGTGATCAAAAGTTGTCTTTTTATTAAATAACCTGCTACACACTGTAAAGACAATGCTTCAATCTCTTTTCTTAAGAAAATGAATCGTTTATGTCTGAATTTCTTTAATTATCTATAAAAAATTGATGTTTCATCAAATTGGTAAAAATTGAAAATGTCCGATGACGAAAGCGACTGAAAGCGAGTATCGTAAACAACAGGGCGACTTGTTTTCGCTTTTGATGTTCGGCAAAGCGAAGTGACGGACGGGAAAGCAACATCTTCGCCCTAGTCGCCTGGTAGCGTGAGCCCTGCCTCATTTTTACGGCAATATTGTTTACCGTGCCCTGAAATTTAGAAACGATCCTGGTAAAATTATCGATCCTTTAAATAAACTTATTCTAAAAGGTTACCAATTCAACACTGTAATTGGATCATCAAATATTGTTTTTATTGGTACTAATATTGATTTTGTTATCAGTAAATTAAAAGCAAACTAAATATTATTGTTATACATGTATACATATACACATTCATGGATCTACAATCTGTCGATACCTGTATCTTGGCATTGCACAAGGTCATGTTTTTCTCTGACTGTTTATGACGTCTTTACACTAAATCCATTGGATGTTGGATGTGTAGGGATTGATAATTTAGTCTTAGATGCATGATTTTTTTTATTAGTTGTTAGTGGCTTTGAACTAGCTGTCAGTAACTGCGAGTACTCTCAGATCTGTACTTAGTGTCTTTTTGTTGTTTGGATGTAGAAGTACCCAGCCACGTCCACTTGTATTTGTAGTATTTGTATTTTAATCCATCTGATGAGTTAAGCCTCTTTCAACTAATTTTTATAGTTCGTTCTTATGTTGTATTATTACACCACTGTCCCAGGTTAGGGGGAGGGTTGGGATCCCGCCACATTCTGTATGTATGTGCCTGTCCCAAGTCAGGAGCCTGTAATTCAGTGGTTGTCGTTTGTTTATGTGTTACATATTTGTTTTTCGTTCATTTTTTGTACATAAATTAGGCTGTTAGTTTTCTCGTTTGAATTGTTTTACATTGTCATTTCAGGGCCTTTTATAGCTGACTGTGCGGTATGGGCTTTGCTCATTGTTGAAGGCCATACGGTGACCTATAGTTGTTAATTTCTGTGTCATTTGGTCTCTTGTGGAGAGTTGTCTCATTGGCAATCATACCACATCTTCTTTTTTATATTCAGCTGTTTTCTGGTCTTTGGTCGGATTGTTCTCTCTTTAACACATTCCCCATTTCCATTCTCAATTTTACTTATCATTTTTTGCAGGCCTTTACATGTGCCTTTTGCCATGTACACTTTTACATGTCCATGATAATGTCCAAGCAGACTTTTTTCCATGAGTGGTTTCCTATAGAAACACATACTTCTTAATGTACAGATCTACAAATGTATCTGAGTTCACAGGAAAGCAAATTTCTCTCTTGAAAGTTTGAAAAATTGAAAAGTCTGTGGTTAAATTTCTCTCTTGAAAGTTTGAAAAATTTTGTCAAAATTACCTTGAGTACTTGTATCAATTCTAAGATTAACTGAATGGTACTGATCTTCTACAGCTGTTAACCAATCTCTTAGTATTCTATTGGAATCATCAACATTGTGGTCACTTCTTATCCTGCAAATAAGTGGAGGTTCTGTTATGAAGTGATCATGAACTGGTGAGAAGTTTTATTCATGTCCATAAGATATGATGATGTAGCTCATTAAAACAAAAAAATAGTTGATAAATTATTGTATTTTGAACCAATGAACTAAATGGAATGTACAATAAGCATTCATCATTCAATGACATTTTTTTGATAAACACACATTTTAGTATACATGGTATATACATGTACATTCTATATAAAACAATAATTAAAAAAGAAAGTTTCTTTTCAAGGCAAAGGGGGTGATGGATTTTTTTATCCAATTTTCTCTATGAATAGCTAGCAAACATTTCCAAACTTTGATCAAACAATTAACTACCTATATTTCCATTTATACATGTTATAAAAGTTATCAGAAAATGAAAGTATAGGTACTTGTACCAAAGATCTGGAATGTTTGCGTTTTACAAAGAAATGTGTCAATCAGAAAGTTCTAGACTCTATCAAGGTCATGTCTATACTGTGTATCAGGTTGCCCACAAAAATACCCAAGGTGGAAGGTTGAATTTGATCACGTTGGAGCCATGTAATTAGTAATTCGCCTTTCATACACATTTTGTTGTCATAGGACAGTAATTAAGGGGTAATACTTATACAAGTTTTTTGTATTTACTTGAACAGGTGAATTATTTTGAAGATAATAAAAGGTAGAAGTTCCTTAGACATTCAAATAATTTTTATTTGTACAAGTAAAAAAGTCATATTTTCTTCAATTGTTTTTGTGAATTTCTCTTGACTACATTTGTAATTGAGTGTTTAATTGTTGTCTTACTAAATTTTCATAAATGTATATTTTATGGACTATGAAAATATCATTTTAAAAAAAATAAGGAGATGTGGTATGATTAAAGAAATTCTAGAAAAAAAGAAAATAATGCTAAAGGCATGTTTTGACCTATAGCTACATTGTACCAACACTTGAGAATTTAAGGTGTTGTCTAAGTGTGACAGCCTGTAAATTTATCTATTTTGTATATTTTTATATTCATTGTACTTGATATTAGTATATAATGAAATAAACAATAAAGTTATATGGTTAGGTTATTAATTACATTTTGTAATTAAGGATTAGCATTGTGTATTATTCTATTTCAACTTATTGACAGCAGGGACTATAGACATGAATGACGGACTGATTATCATCTTTTGTTTAGGTTAAGTTTGGTTTCACTGTACAGTATACGTAGATAGTACTTTATTTTCACGGTTAATTTGAGCCCAACCTAATAATTCTAAAATTAGTAAGTACATTTTGGCAGTTTGATTCTTTTGTTCTATATATTACATGTATTATGGGAAGACATCTTGTCATGCTTGTGGTCAACATGTATTAACCTGTCTGAAATTAATATATTTAACTAGTCTAAATTTAAGAAGAAGATTAAGGGGAAATTAATCAAATCTTGAAATGAAAATTAAAATTTTACAAATTACTTCTAAGTACTACATGTATATTAAATATTACATCTTCAGGTAAATAAACATGAATTACATGTATGTCAAGTATAACCCCAAACTGTAGAAGATCGACTGAATATCAAGAAACTCTCAACCCATAAAACTTCTATTCTGGAAACAGTAATCTGTTAGTTCTTTGAACATCACTATCCAGCTCATACAAATATTTAAGTTAAAAATTCTACATTTACAATATTATTCAACTTTGTTTGTCAGAGAGATACTGACTTCATCATGCTGAGGAATCAGTCTCAAATTTAAATGATACTTTTAAAATACGTTGAAATTTCTTCTTAACTAAGTATGAAACATTGTAGCATACACGTAATATCTTACCATAAAGAGATTCTATTTTTGGGATAATTCAGATTTTCAAGATGACCAAAAAACCATGGAAGAACGTGGGCTTTGTTTCTTATCAAAATCGCAATCGTCACAGTAGGTTGCAAATATTCATTGCTTTCTTCGGAATTACTATTCACAGCTAGCAAGGTTGTACTAAGCAAGAAAAGTAAGGATATACAGCGACACGTCAGCTTCTCCATCTTCAAAATTCTGATATCGATTAAGGATGGGGAGAGGAACGACGTGAACGTTCTTATCTTTGGCACTGATCGTACTATCGATATATTTGAAGTAAAAGAAGTTTGCACGAGTTTTGTATGTACAATTTACTTATAAATATTAAGATAGAAATAGCTATTTTCATTTATAATGTCACGTAGACAACCTAGTTAAAAGGTAAAATTGTGTATTTTCCGGAAATAATACACCGAAAAACCGTGAGCGACCCCAATTTTATTGTTACCCTCTCCTATCAGCTGATTGTGAACCTATTTGTTAATTTGCTGTTTATATCGTAAGCGTTGTGTATTTCTAACTTGTCAGTATTTCATTTAAAGTGACAATGTGTTGTTGTAATTTAAGTTGACACTAAGCCTCAAGGGTTGACTGGGATATAAAAATATGGTTATCCCTTGGTTTCTACCTCCCGAATGACGGAATGTACATACAAATGTCAATGAGCGAATGACATAACAGGAACAACCCCCCATATTAGGGCTGTGTTTGGATATACGCCAGAGGTGACCTATGGTTATCCATAGGTACCTTTGGTTTGATATTCTATATATCAAAATATCAAACCATTGGTACCCAAAGATACCTATGGGTAACCATAGGCTGCCTTAGGCGTATATCCAAACACAGCCTAGGAATATCCCTTTAATCAGGGACTTTCCCTTAGACAAGGGGTTATTTTGCTGTTGTAGAAAACTAAAATTGAAAACTTAGCTGTTTTAATTTCAAAGCTTCAGGGAAAAATTATTTGGAACAACTTTTCTAAAAGAAACTGGTCATCTTATTTTCGATAATAAAGATGACTGAAGTCCATGAATATTCCAAAATCCATGGGCATATTCTGTCAAAATGATACCAGAGATTATTTTTGTTCTTTGGGGAAAATTTCTGGAAACAATATAAATCTGTGCCCTTTTGTACATGTTGTACTCAGAAGTGGTTTTTCAAAAAAAAATTGTCACTTGAAATTAACCCCTCATAAAAAGGGATAGTCATTGCCTTGAGGGGGTTATTCCTCATTTGAGGGGTTGTTCCCAACCTGCATATTTTTGTATTTCTATACTGCAGTCTGAGGGGTGCCTCTTAATTTATGACATGAATCACTCACTGATGACCTAACTGTTTTTATAAACTTTTTTCATAATTTCAAATTTTGTTTATTGCAAGCCGTTTAAATACTCAGTGCTTCAATGACAATGCAAATTATTATTGATCTAAGGACAATGACAAATTTGACAAATCTTTACCAATTTACAGTAAACCAAGGTATTTAATTTCGATACAACATTTATGCAAACAAATAAACAACAAACATTTGTTTATTTGTCAATTATGACACCCCAAGGGAGTAGAGCAACTAAAAGTGTACAAAATGATTATGGTTTAGTGATTTCCATTGATTAGAAAATATTACAAAAACTAAAATTAAATGAGGAAAATTTATAAAAAAAAAAAGGGAGACAACAAACACAGAACAAATGTATATTTCTAAATAGATTAATTGCATGAACAATTTTACATTTCATAAATCTTCATAAATTACAAGATCAAAAGGAAAACAGTTGTAATATAAAATCTAATCACAATCAGTTAAAACTTTTACAGTTAATATTCTTCATTAATTCAAATACTTTTGTTAAGATTATTAAAGAAACTATTTAAGTAAAAATTTAAGCTTGACTTTTCCCCAAATACAGATCAAATCAATATGGGTTTGGCCCCCAGGATATAAAATTTTGAAGTCCTTTGAATAAAGAAGTATGAGAGGACACTGTTAATATAATGTTTGAATAAAAATGAAAGTGTTTTTAAAACATGTAAACGAAGATTACTTTTAAATGTAATTAAGTTTACAGTAAATCCCAGAGGGTTTCATTTTGTGAGCATGCGCGCATGCTCATAATACCTTTAGCTTTTAAGTATCTGTCATTATGTTTTGCATTTATCATGTTTAATATAATGTCCATAAGAATAGGTATGTATTTATCAGTCAGGGGACTTATTGAAATAAGTGATTTTTAAATCACTTATTTAAGTAGCGAATTCAAAGTTTTGTCACAAATTGTGATTTAGTAGTTTTACCAAAATTTTAAACACATAGGTTTAGATAATATCTTTTCATTAGTAAAATTGAAAAAAATGAACTTTTTGCTTCTTTTAAGCAGCAAGGTTTATGTCTTTGATGGAATCATTTAGCTGCAAATTCTATTTTAGTTGAAAAAATGTTAAAATTTCACTGTTCGGGGTGTTGAAATTAGTGGGGTTTTTTAAAATAATGATACTTAAAGAAGTGATTTTTTGGAAGGTAATTGAGGTATGATACTTAAACAAGTGATTTTTATGTCATTATCCTAGATTTAGTACAAGGTCATCACCTGACATGACCCGGTCATCCTATCAACACAGATGTTGGTTCTGATAATTTTAGCAACATAATTAGTCCCTGGATCATTAGTATTCTATATTTAAAGCTACAATAAAATTAAATCACTTAGTCTAGTGATTAATTTGTACTACTAAAATAGGTGATTATTAAAGAAAGACAACTCTTACTTCCAACCTTTATGGACATAATGTTACTTGAATCAGTGATTTAGAAAATCACTCATTTAAGTAAGTCCCCTGACTGTTTATGAAATTATACATGCATGTATGACTGGTACATTTCACTACGTACAAACCAGTAAAAGTCTGAAATGGGCTATATCTATACTCGACTGTACCGATTTTTACTCGAGCAGTCTGAATTGGTCTGAATTTTACTCGACATTACTCGACCCCAGTCTTAACCATACTCGACCATACTGATTTGTACTTGACCCTTATCTTTGCCATTGAAAATAGTCTGAACTATTACTCGACCAGTCTGAAACAGTCTTAACCCATTCTCGACCTGTACTCGACCTATTTTTTCAGTCTAAACCATACTCGACCAAAGGTCTGAACAATACTCGACCAGTCTGAACCATACTTGACCAAATAACCTCTACTTTTTTTTAATTTTAGCTGTTAAAATTAATTTCTTTTTTTCTGACATGATAACAGCCACAATAAATTAAAGATATATATAAAAACATATTTTTACATCCTTACATGATTCTCAGATTTATCAAATAGAGATAGTAAGTTAAATCAAGTTATCTTATATAATAATTTAATTATATTAATTTTAAGTTTTAGAGTTTTGTTAAAAAAAAGATTCTTTTACCTAAATACCACACCTCTACTGAGGGTAATAAAACCTTATTAAGGTGCTTCTTGGTTGGCATGTGTTGTTTTTTTTTTAAACTTTATTTTCCTTAATTCCTAAAGAAAAACTACATAAGTTTTATGGTTACATACAATAGTTATATAATTATCTTTTTAATGAGTTAACAACAGCCAAAAAATCAATGAAATTGTTTAACCTTATATTAGAAATATATCTATTATTATAATTTGGGATATATTATATATAATATATATCAAAAAGGGATATAAAAGTTAAAGAAATAAATAAAAAAAAATTCTGAATAGTGTTAAAGTATAAAGTAATACCTCCTGCTTGGGGAAACTCATTAAAAAGATCACACCTGGTCAGAGAGAATTAATTTCTAATTAACATTCAGTAAAAAATTGCAACATCCTGTAAAACTTAAATCGCAAGGACTTTTGAATTCACTAGATAAGTAATACACGAGTTTAAGAAAAATAGGGCTTTCTTTTTACCTGTAAAACACACATGTACTGAGGTATTTAACCTTATTAAAGTTCTTCTTGTATGCCATGTCTTTAATTTTGACAAAAGTTATTTAAATTTAATTGAAATAAATTTTTATTGCAACTTTGGAACACATTTCCTTTTTTAAATGGTTATCAAGGATTGCTACGGAAGTTCTATTGTCATGATTATATTAAATTCTTGGTTTTACAAAACAAAGGTGTGATCTTTTAAATTTATTAAGTTAAAATTGCTTTATATACCATTCTGTATACTATTCTAAATATATTTTAATAAAAAAAATGTTCACTGCATTATTAACTAAACTCAACTGACACCATAAATCTATACAAGGCTTAAGTAAATGGTGAAAATTGTCCAGTAACAATAAAATATATCTGAAACATTCAAAAAATTTTGAATAACATTGAAAATATTAGTCACAATTCAGTTTTGAGATTATTGGATCAGCTTGTTTTATTTTTATTTTAAAGGTGATATATATATATGTAAGTGTTGATGAATATGGTGTTGAATTTATATTATGTTTATTGTGAAATTTTGGTTTCAATGCCATATTGAATACATTTTAAATTTCAAATTGTTGTTCAAATTTCTAGCCAGGGGAAATAGCTGTTAAAAACAGTTCCTAAATTGATGAAACACAATAGATAGATACAAAAAATATGTCTAGGTTGGTTAAGACTTGATCAAGTATGGTTCAGACTAGGTCGAGTATATAGTTCAGACTAGGTCGAGTATGGTTCAGACTAGGTCGAGCATTGTTCAGACTAGGTCGAGCATGGCTCAGACGCAAATAAAATGGTTAAGTACTGGTCGAGTGTGGTCGAGTACATGTTCAGACTGTTAAGTATGGTTCAGACTATAGTCGAGTATAATCAAGTAAATTGCAGACCAATTCAGACTGGTCGAGTAAAAATCAGTACAGTCGAGTACAAATATAGGCCATTTCAGACTTTCAATGGTTTGTAGTGAATTTGTGTATATGAATATGTATCACATGCTGAAATTTCTGGCAATTGTCTCCTTCTTTTCTTAAAATTGTAAGCACAACCACAATTTTTATCAAATTGGTTAAGATTGTAATTATCATTTTCCAAAATATTATATTATTTGGCTCAAAAATTTCATACTCAAAACCCTGAAATTTTATTCTTAGATACATGATTGTTTTTATTAGTTTATGTTGGCTTTCAACTAGCTTTCTACTTGGTCTTCATTCGACCTACAATAAAACCCTCGTCAAAGTGGGGCGTCCGTTTGGCTGTGCGGGATGTATAAATACACAGTCACCGTGAGTCACGTCTGGTCAGAATTGGGACGTTAAATGCAATGCCTAGTGTAGAGAGAATGTCACACTCTCTGCACGTTAAGAACACTTGCAACAACTCTTTGAGGGGTCCGTAGGTGGTTTGTTTTAAAGGCAAACTTTCTGTCCCTATCAAATAAACCCTCATTTATTATTATTATTATACACACATGAATGAAACAAATACTCTTTTCTCCATTTCAGTTTGAAAATGACATCTGCAGGTATTTATACAATTTAAACTCAGATTGTACATTTGATTTCAGTAGCGTAGCTGTCGTTAGTCACTTTAGGCACGTGCCTAAACATAATTTTTCACAAATATTTTTTTTTTATTAAAAAAAATAATTTCCACCTCGCTGTATATTGCTAGAAGTAAAGTGCAGTTGCTTTCTGATGTTGATTGTCAAATTATATATATTTCTTTTATTAAAAAAATAATTACAACGTTTTCTGTAAATGCATGTGAAGTCGCCAAAACTCTTTAATTATCAAATGTCATTTGTACACTAGTCTATCATCCTTAGTGAATGGAGTATTGGATAGGATTATATATTCCTGCTTATATAGAAACTAAAAACTAGAACTTTGGTTCAGATCATTTCACTTCTATCAACAAATACTTGAATGAATCTCAACATGCTCAAAACCCTGACATTTTATTCTTAGATACATGATTGTTTTTAACCGGATTTTCGAAGGAAATATCGGTTATTAAAATGGTGATATACGGAGGGCGGCTGGGTGGTTTGGCGGCTGCCAAACAGTGTCCGCACAATAACATGAAAACGCTTTAACAAATTTTTTTCAAATTTAAATATGTTGTTTCCTGGGACTTAATGAAGGTCTCTATTAATTTCCAAGATTTTAGTATATCTCCTTTGTGAGTTATCACCATTTTTAATATCCAAAAGTAGAATTTTTATTAGTTTATGTTGGCTTTCAACTAGCTTTCCACTTGGTCTTCATTCAACCTACAATAAAATCCTCATCAAAGTGGGGTGTCCGTTTGGCTGTGCGGGATGTATAAATACGCAGTCACGTCTGGTCAGAATTGGGACGTTAAATTCAATGCCTGGTGTAGAGAGAATGTCACACTCTCTGCACGGTAAGAACACTTGCAACATCTCTTTGTGGGGTCTGTAGGTGGTTTACTGAAAGGCAAACTTTCTGTCCCTATCCATTAAACCCTCATTTTTCAATGGCATTTCCAGATTTCCATACCTTCATCCTGGACGACCCCTATTACAGGACCTACCTGTTATATTTATTGTAAATTTGTTTTTGTCCTGAACATGCATGAACTATTTGCCACTGGACATTTAGCAATCAAACAATTAACTAGCTTTCAGTTACTTCGATTACTCTCAGATCTACATGTATTGACCGTAATTATTCAAATTCCTAAGCAGGTAGAGATTTTACAGTACAGGATATCAGAAAATATGAATTTCTTTAACTTTGTTAGATAGTATGAACAGAACCGAACTTCTGCATTAGGCATCGACTGTGTGTGTGTATATGTTTTGTGTGGCAGAGGGAGGGTGGAGGTTTAAGAATCAAAAGATGAATTGTCGATGCCCAGCCCAAAGGATAGTATTATTATATACATGTTTTGTAGTAGTCTCAGTGTTTATGTGCCTATTTTTTAATGTAGGATCGTCAATATGTACTATCAATTGACTGAATATCAATTGTCCTTAATCAGAAAGAAATAGATATGAAAATACTAAATGTACTGCTTAATTAAAGGGCTATGCTGATCTACGCTGGGCAATGCATATTGTAATTTTTTTTCAGTTTAGATTTCCCACTGTACTGCATTAATTCATCAGTCAGATGTCATTGTAATATTATTTATAATTCTTCAAACTTTTATTCATGTATATTATCATGAGTCGACAAAATTAATTTACCAGTAAATTTTACGTTTTTTGTACACAAAATTTTGTAACTAAAAATGCCAAAAAAGACCCCCTGCTGCAATTTGTGCCTACAGTTTATTGGATTCATAGCTATGCCCCTGGATTTCATTAAAATGCATGGCAGTCTTTTATGAATGAGACCATATCAAGATTCAGTTATCCTATTGTGATAAGTCCATAGGTCTCAGTCAGGCTATCACAATTTATTATGTCAACTCTACATTGTATATCTTCAGAGGAAGTGTTAACAAGGGGGCAGGGGGCCAGGGCCCCCTTATGGAAGTAGATATATATGGTTAATGCATAGGTTTTTTTCATGTCTCACTCCAAACGTTACCTAGTTTAGTGCCCAAGGTCCCCCCTTTTTCAAAATCCTGAATCAGCATCTAATCTTGGAGTACTGCTCACTTGCAATCACTGTGAAATATGTATAATAAACATAGCAATAACTAAAACTCACATTTTTTTTGTGCAAAAATATTTCACTTTGTCATATTCAGCATGTTCAGGAATTGCAATAATTTATCACACATTATTTTGAATTCAAATTTTTTACTGATGCAATTATATGCATGCATTGAATCTTGAATTTGCAGTAAATTTAATTTTCTTTTTATTGTTGGCATCCAGCACAGAAGGTAAAGGTGAATGTAAAACCTTATAAATTATGTTGTTATCTATTTTTTTACGTCGTTTTTGGTCATATAGCTTTTCAACTGTTGCTGTTCTTATACATCCTCTTGGCTTTCAAATAATTGGCTTTGAGCATTCCTGATGAGGGTAAATCCAGAAAAGCACTTGGTACTCGTGTAATTTGTTGAGTGTTGTTTTCATTTTTCTCTGCCACACACATAAATCATGTACTGTACTCTTAATTGACAAAAACACAAAAAGAGACATAACACTATATTTATTGGTCATGTTGGTAATTGAAGTACACATAAGAATAGCTAATCCATGTTACTGTGGATTAATTTATTTTTTGTGGATTGAGTAAAAATTGTATTTTTGTGGATATTTGATTTAGTGGTTTTCCATAGTTTGCATACAAGCTTATAGAAAATTTGTACTGCGTTAAACATTTCAATTCATGAATAAATTTACCAACGAAATTGGTACCCCACGAATAATAATTAATGAATCAAAAGTTATATATTTATACAGACAACTGAATTCACAAATAAAATTGTATTTATGGAATTAGAAATATCTTTTGATTCAATTATTTGTTGAGAACACTTTGTTATAGATTTCCAGTATTCACCTGACTTTCAACCGTCAGATAAAATGAAGGAAAACTTTGAAGAACATGGGTATATTATGGTAAGGTAAGTAGGAGTGAATAGACAGGTCTAAGTAGGAGTGAATAGACAGGTCTATCTTAAAATAAGGATAACAGTAGCAGTAACACTTAGAAAATTAACTTATATTTATAAAGTTCACATGTAAAGAAAAAATACTTGTAATGACACATGAATGAGGCAACAAACCAGTAAAAATAAAGGAGAAGGTTCTGTCAGGGCTTATTTTGGCCTAAAATTTGAAGTACATCTGACACATGTCTGATGAAAGATTTTTGACATTTTTTAAACACTTAAGTATCTTCCTTAGTTGATTTAGTTAGTTTATGTAAAAGATTTGAACTGATTTGATAATTAAAGATGCCCAAATTCAAGCTTAAATATGAAAAATCTATCAAATATATTGCCACAAAAGGTCACTTTTCAGATGGTTTTTGTCTAAAATGGAAGTGGCCTCATTCGTGTTCAGTCTCAACCTTTATATATGTTATGTATCATCATCAAATACAATATATATTTAAATTTTCAGACTGAACACAAGTTTGGCCACTTCCATTTAAGACAAAAACCATCTATTAATGCTGAAATTGTGAAGATTTATCATTTGAGTAATTTTGCGTGCATTAATGATGCTAGTACCTGTTGAATGTGCAGTGTAATGTCAAAAACAGCCCATATTAATGTAATAAAATTATTTTACTTTCTAATAAATAGCTGAAAGTTTACATTTTGAACAAATTTTTGAAATGCTATATTTTGGGGCCAAAAAGGGGTCTTACCTGGCCTACCCCTTTGAAAAGGTCTATATTGTTTGTCATCCATCATGGATGATTTAAACTTTATTAGAAGAATTAAAGTAAATGTCGGGTGCTTATAACATCTGACTTGAAATCTCTTTTTTGTTGAAAAAAACGATCACATCCTTCATTAAACTATTTGGGAATTAAACCCAAAAATTAAACTGGAAAAAAACAAAAGTACATGTAAGAAAAATAGAAAGCCAAATACCAAAGGGACATTAAAAACTCATTAGTCAAAGAGAAACTGACAATGCCATGGCAGCAAAAAAATCTACAAACAAGTCCAAATAAACACTACATATAGAAAGCTAAAGAGGAGCAACATAACTCCATGATAAACTGGTGTTGATCTCAGGTAATGTTGAAGGGTTATTATGTTTTTTTTTAACCTGGAAAAGCTCATTAGTAAGTTAAGTCTCAAAGCTTAGTCCAAATTTAAATAATAACAACAAAACAACATATAAATGAAACAGGCAATAGTTTGCTAAACAAATTGGGCAATGATAGAATTTTCTTCACACTACATGTTGAGTCGATTTTTTTTGTATCAGTGAGACAAGAACTGAACAATATGCCTAAAAAAAACGAGTTAAAGTCTCTGAACTTTATTCATCCTCTCGAAAACTCTGTTGATCATGATCCCATTTTATTTTTGAAAAATCAATGGAAGTTTGAAATAAGCCATGCTGATTCTACTCTTAGTGTTGATAATTTAGACAATTTTTACTGTATATTCAATATACGTATTGTGAGAAAAAATTGTTTACCTGTATTGTGAAGTTGTTCTTGTGTAGCATATTAAGTCTATTTCAAACGATTCTTCAGCTAAGAAAAGGTTCAGACTGCATGGACTGCATGTGGCTCTCTAAAGATTCTTACAAGAAAAAGTATTCATATGTCAGGGGCTCTAGTAAGGAATTTATATCAGGGTACCCTCTTAGGTCAAAAGATCACTTTTAAAATTAGGTCATTTCGCCATGTCACTTTTAGGCAAATTTTAGATAGTCATATTTGAACATTTTTTAAGGTTAAAAGTCACAGGTGGCCCGCTGATCCCCGAAGGTTTTCAGGTCAGATCTGACCATGTTGGAGCCATATGTCATTGTAACTTACTATAATTTATATTGTAAGATTTTTCTTGAAAAGAGTCACAGTTTTTTATTAGGGTTTCACTGCATGTATATACAATTTATAAGAGAAAACACATAAGCTGTTATATGTAAAGTTTTCCATGACATGCTGCATATTTTGTGGCACTTTTCTGGTTCTTGCAAAGTTTTGTATCTTAAAATATCAATTCCAGAAAGCCTTAAATAATCAGAATTTTTTTCAGAGGACTTCTAGACCATGATGAGCTAGAGAAAGTAAAGGTGGCATTAGAAGATAACAATGCAATCAGAAAGCATGCTTTTGGGGTATTTTTAGAACTTTGTTATACTGTATTACTATTCATGGGAATTTAACATACATCATGAACATGATTTGTGAAAACCCCATTTTACTTTAGTCAGTTTTATGAATAATTAAAGAATACAAGTGAACATGCTGCTGTTTTTGTCATTCATAATTATTGCCATTATATGGCCCAAAGAACATTCACACATGAACTGTTTTTATAAGGTAATTTACTTCAAAAAAACAAAATTTGTTTCTGAATTCTTATTTTCCATATAAGAGAGTACATTAAAGGTCTTCTTCCCCTTAGTTGATGGGGACTTACACTATATAGGCTGAAATGTATTTTCCATATCCTATCTGTCTTAAAGTTTGCTACCAGATGAACACATCACCTGCATATACTGTCAATTATTTTAAGGTTCCTCATCATGACATGATCATGAATGATATATTATAAAAATATTCTCCATTTTCATCATAATTGCTTAATAGTCTTCAAATTGACCATGATATTTGAAAACTTTTATGGGATTCACAAAGAACTAATATATGTTTTAGCTGTGAAAATTAAACCATAAAATGTGCATATACATGTTTAAGGTTGCAGATGGTAAAGGGAGAGAAAGCATGATGGCTCTTTGGAATCATCCAGGTTCTGATGTTACTGGCATGGTAGGAAGGTGTGAGAAAATTGTAAATACATGTGAAAAGGTAATTATCATTTAGGGGATAATGGGTTTGCATTTTAAGTTTGGCCATAGTGATACAGGTTCACATTCAAGATTCAATATTTTATTATAGTCTCACCACATACAAACATAAAATAAGATTCACAGAAATAAACATAAAACATTTATAACATTTGCAATGTATACACCAATCTTAAAAAGATTTATGAGAGACTTTTAAGACACAATATATACATATAAACATATTTTTACACATTTACATTTAAAATTTACAGTGTCCATCTATACTATATAGATATATCGATACATCTGTTTTACTGAGGCAAATTGAGTTCACCTATCAACTTTTTTTAAGGTTTGTTTGCACTTCACAATGACATTAAACTTTACAAAAAGGAGATTTAAAGGTGAAAAATGTTACTTTTGATTTAAGTACAGAATTTAAAATGGCGGCTTTCCTGGAGCTTTTATTTAACAGGAAATGACTTTCACTTTTCCTGGACAATCAGACAACCTTTAATGATGCTGCTTGAAATTTAAGAATTTTGCAGTTTGAATTTTTGATTTATCACATACTATTGAATTTAATGTACTTCATTGACTGGATATAAATAAGTTATTAGTAATCCATAAGTGAAGTACATTTTGTTTAGAATTTGAATGAAGATTTCATTGTTCATTGCAGCTTCTTGGTGGAGAGGTCTACCATTATCATACAAAATTAATGATGAAAGAGCCATTCACAGGAGGCAGCCATTTGTGGCACCAGGATTATGGGTAAAATCTTTGAAACACACAGTCAAGTGTATGGTTTTATGATATTATAAAAATACACAGTCAAGTGTGTGGTTTTTATGCATGATATATTATAAAACTACACAGTCAAGTGTGTGGTTTTATGATATATTATAAAAAGAGAAAGATTTGTCTTTTTATTTGTTTTAAGAAAGGTATATAGTCCTCAACAGAATTTTCCACTTTAAATATTCACAAAAGAAACAGCTTGTACTGATATGATGATGTCATCTGGTGTAAACTCAGATATGATTGAATTGTTTATAATATTGCAGAAATTGCAATGGGAATTTTTTTATCGCGACAACAAAACTCATATTTTGAATTTTGATAGTATTATTTGTATGCAGAATTATCTGAAATCGCAATAATTAATCCCACATTTTTGTCTTATCACTTGGCATTGTTGTTGTCATCTGTTAACTTTTACAAAAATCTTCTCCTCTGAAACTACTGGGCCAAATATAACCACACTTGGTCGTTACCAAACTATATAGTTTAATAGTAGACATGGTAGATATATACTTTAAATATCAAAGGTGATCTGCAAGAAAAGATCTGCAAATAAGTAAATTTTGGCTGAAATTGTTAGTAGACTTTATAGGAATTAATAGGAATGATAACCCTTAAATGATTATTTTTTTTACCCTTTGTGTTTTGGGCAAAAAATAAGAAGATAGAGTGAAACTGTAAACAGAAAAAATGATCAATAATACAAAAAACAAGATCAACAAAATAGAGGTTTTTGTCACGAATTCCAACTAGTCTAGTCCCAAATGTAGGAGTTTCCATTTTTGGCAATGTACATAGACCTAGGTTTGTGAAACGGGCTACTGTGGATTCATTTATTTTTCGTGGGTACCAATTTTCAGGGATTGATGAAACTTGTATTTTCGTGGATATTTAATTTTGTGGTTTTGCCAAAGTCTTTAGTTGTACATTATTCAACAATCGCAAAAATAAATGGTAGCAAAAATTACTGAATTTACAGTATATAGGAATAAGGAGATGTGGTATGATTGCCATTGAGACAACTATCCTTAAATACTAAATGATAGAGATGTGACCAATTCAATGGGCATTTTACTACAGAGTTTAATTTAACACTTGTCTATTTTGGAATTTATTTATTTGTCAGAAACTTTTTGAGTTGATAGACTTTTGTCTCTTTTACATATATCCATACATTTTTGTTTGTTTACTATGCTAGAAAGCTAAAGAGGTTGTATTGTTTTTTACCCATCCACCTGTCAGTCAGGTTGTCCATCTTATTATTAACTATCAGCCTTAATCGTCATAGTCACAATTTTTTTTTCCAAATGCTATTATTTGCTCTTCATGGCAATGCCCAGTTGTTGAAGTGTGTTCTTTGGTACGACATTTGGTCCTTATACCTCCTGTCATGTAAAATTTCAGAAATGATAATAAGAATTCTCATATTCTTGAAATAAATTTTGTTATATTTTTAATATTATTTTTATGCCCCCGCCGTAGCGGAGGGGGCATTAAGTTTTACCCTTGTCCGTCTGTACGTCAATACGTCTGTACGTACGTACTTCCCAAAATTGGTTTCTGTTCTCTAACTTTAGTTTGCCTCAACCAAATGTTATGAAACTTATCCACAGTGCTTATTACCACAAAACACAGATCAAGTTTGAATTTTGGTGGCGTCACTTTTTGTGTTCTAGAGTTATGCCCCTTTACAAATGGAAAAAATGCTGAAATACTTGTTTCTGTTCTCTAATTTTAGTTTGCCTCAACAAAATGTTATGAAACTTATGCATAATTACCACAAAACACAGATCAAGTTCGAATTTTGGTGGCGTCACTTTTACCATTCTAGAGTTTGCCCCGTTATAAATGGAAAAATTGCTGAATTTTTCGTTTCCCTTCTCTAACTTAAGTTTGTCTCAACTAAATATTTTGAAACTTATAAACAATGCTTATTACCACAAAACTCAGATCAAGTACAAATTTGGGTAGCGTCACTTTTACAGTTCTTGAGTTATGTCCCTTTATAACGTTATATGCAAGCGGGGGCATCATCTGTGTCCCATGGACACATTCCCCATTTATTTTTTTTATTCTAGATATTGGTATAAGAATGGTTGTTTGTACCCAGATATGATGACAGTTTTTATTGCAATAGACAAAATTACAAAAGAGAATGGATGTTTACAGGTATTAACTTTATTTCAGTTTAAATTTTATAACCAAAATCTTATAGACATCGGTTCAACAATTCTCTTGCATGAGATCAATTTTAAAAACAACTAAATAAATTCGTCTTATGTTGAAACTAGAATTCACTCCTGTTAAAAAATAAAATTTGATGTTTGCCTTTGCTGTGCATATTTGCTGATGCATATGCTATAACTAAAGTCATGGTCAGTTTACCTAAGTTACAGAAGGAAAGTGTCAAATGCTGTTTTTGAGTGTCTTAGTTAGATTTTTATTTCTTTAATTTTCTAAAATTTTAGATTTTACGGGGATCACAGAATTGTGGCAGAATAGAACATATTATGGTTGGAGGTCAGACTGGGGCTGATATGGAGAGGGTTAATCAACTGAAAAAAGTCCTGAAATTAGAATATGTAGAAATGGAACCAGGTATTCCTGATATTTCATTCATTTGTAAAAAAAATTTGCTTATTATATATATGCATGCACTGTTCCAATTTGATATACATTGCACCAAGGGCAAGGACTTTGTAATGGTAATGACAGTTTCATGACATGTAAAAAAATACTTGAAAGAATGAAAATGCTTTTTAAAATATTAGAAAGAGCTCTCTGGGTCGGTTTTCAAAGTTTTCTGTTTGACTGCTCTTAACATTTTATTTTTTACAATCAAATTATTTCTCTTTGAAATATACACTGGAAAATTGTAGGCTTGCATCCCATTGTCCATTTTTTAGCTCACCTGGCCCAAAGGGCCAAGTGAGCTTTTCTCATCACTTGGCGTCCATCGTCCGTCTGTCGTCGTCATCTGTCGTCGTCCGTCATCGTCGTCCGTCGTCGTCGTCCGTCCGTCGTTAACTTTTACAAAAATCTTCTCCTCTGAAACTACTGGGCCAAATTTAACCAAACTTGTCCACAATCATCATCAGGGTATCTAGTTTAAAAAATGTGTCCGGTGACCCGGCCAACCAACCAAGATGGCCGCAATGGCTAAAAATAGAACATAGGGGTAAAATGTAGATTTTGGCTTATATCTCTGAAACCAAAGCATTTAGAGCAAATCTGACATGGGGTAAATTGTTTATCAGTCCAAGATCTATCTGCCCTGAAATTTTCAGATGAATCGGACAACCCGTTGTTGGGTTGCTGCCCCTGAATTGGTAATTTTAAGGATATTTTGCCGTTTTTGGTTATTATCTTGAATATGATAATAGATAGAGATAAACTGCAATAATGTTCAGCAAAGTAAGATCTACAAATAAGTCAACTTGACCAAAATGGTCAGTTGACCCCTTAAGGAGTTATTGCCCTTTATAGTCAATTTTTAACCATTTTTTGTAAATTTTTGTAATCTTTTACAAAAATCTTCTCCTCTGAAACTACTAAGACAAATTTAACCAAACTTGTCCACAATCATCGTTAGGGTATCTAGTTTAAAAAATGTGTCCGATGACCCCGCCCGCGAACCAAGATGGCCGACATGGCTAAAAAATAGTACATAGGGTAAAATGCAGTTTTTGGCTTATATCTCTGAAACCAAAGCATTTAGAGCAAATCTGATGAGGATAAAATTGTTCATTGTGTCAAGATCTATCTGCCCTGAAATTTTCAGATGAATCGGACAACCTGTTGTTGGGTTGCTGCCCCTGAATTGGTAATTTTAAGAAAATTTTGCAGCTTTCGGTTATTATCTTGAATATTATTATAGATAGAGATAAACTGTAAACAGCAATAATGTACAGCAAAGTAAGATCTACAAATAAGTCAACATGACCAAAATTGTCGATTGACCCCTGAAGGAGTTATTGCCCTTTATAGTCAATTTTTTACAATTTTCATAAATTTTGTAAATTTTTGTAAATTTTTACAAAATATTTTCCACTGTAACTACTGGGCCAAGTTCATTATAGATAGAGATAATTGTAAGCAAGAAGAATGTTCAGTAAAGTAAGATCTACAAACACACCACCATCACCAAAACACAGTTTTGTCATGAATCCATCTGTGTCCTTTGTTTAATATGCACATAGACCAAGGTGAGCGACACAGGCTCTTTAGAGCCTCTAGTTTGTTTTTTCCTTAAGTTGTTATTGCTAATCTGTGTAAAACAAAGAAAAAAGAGGGAGAAGATACTAAGGGACAATTAAAAACTCTTAAATGTAAAAGACAATACCATGGCCAAAAAGAATAACAGTCCAGGAAACTAATGATTGAAATGCATCAACCCACAAAGACTGGTATTGAACTCAGGTTTTCTTCTTAGAAAATCAATCTTCTACAATGCTTTATTGCGAACCAAATGAAAGTTTTCCACAGCGCCATCTCTATCTTGACCAGGTATTTAAACTTTTGTAAGTTCACCTGTCCTATTGAATAAATACAATAGCTAGTTTGTTCTCCATGTAGTTTTTTCACTGGGACCTTTAAATTTCTTCTAAGAGAAATCTATCACTCATTGATTAATTTACCTGAATAAAAAAAAAATCTTGTAAATAGAGGAAAATAGATATAGGAAGATGTGGTATGAGTGCCAATGAGACAACTCTCCATCCAAGTTTTATAATCAAAACTGCATGTGATGTTATATTTATTCAATATTGATAATATATTTTCAATCGGTTGAATGTAAACAGTGATACAAAGTTGAAACATTAATAAAATATAAAAAAGAAGATGTGGTATGATTTCCAATGAGACAACTCTCCACAAGAGACCAAATTACACAGAAATTAACAACTATAGGTCACCATACGGCCTTCAACAATGAGCAAAGCCCATACCGCACAGTCAGCTATAAAAAGCCCCAAAATGACAATGTAAAACAATTCAAACGAGAAAACTAACGGCCTAATTTATGTACAAAAAATGAACGAAAAACAAATATGTAACACATAAACAAACGACAACCACTGAATTACAGGCTCCTGACTTGGGACAGGCACATACATACAGAATGTGGCGGGGTTAAACATGTTAGTGTTGATTTATGTTATAATTAATAATATATTAATAATATATTTTTATTCAGTTTAATATAAACATTGATTCAATCATAAAAAGTTGATTTCTGACAAAACTTTCAACATTGTTCCTTTTAAAAAAAAAATTTGTTTGACATGAATAAAAACTTGAAAATTATGATGTTCAAATGAAGATCTTCTAGACAAAAAAAAATCAAATTTCAATAGGAACATTGATAAAACTTTTGTTTGAAATCAACTTTTTATGATTGAATCAATGTTTATATACTGAATGAAAATATATTATTAATATTGAATAAATACATCATCACACGCAGTTAATGAGTATAAAAAAAGTATTTTTGTCTATATATAAGAAATATTTTTTACTCAGGTAAATTAATCAATGAGTGATAGATTTCTCTTAGAAAAAATTTAAAGGTCCCAGTGAATAAACTACACAGAGAAAAATAACTATTGTATTCATTCAATAGGACAGGTGAACTTACAAAAGTTTAAATACCTGGTCAAGATAGAGATGGCACTTTGGAAAACTTTCATTGGGTTCGCAATAAAACACTTTGTGATGAGAAGTCTGGGTGTTAGTTTACAGTCCATTCTTTTTGCTTTGTAATTTTTGTTTAAATATGTTTGTAAATATTTTGTTTGTCTAACCTCCACTATTAATAAGCACCGTTTTATTCATTTACTCGTTTATAACATATCTGAATTGGCATTTATAATTATACATCTATTAATTAAATGTATAGTCATGTATATAATTGATGTTAATAGGTGATGCCCTGTTCTTCCATTCCAACTTGTTACATACAAGTAATGCCAATGATAGCAAGTACAGACGATGGGCATTTTTATGTGCTTATAACAAGAAGAGTAATGACCCTACTATAAAACACCATCATCCATGTTATACACCATTAGAAAAGGTAGGTACAAGTCACAGTCATTCTGCTTGATTGTTTATTGTTGGTATTTTACACTGCTTTCGTATATGCTATGTCATGGTGATCAGTTTTTAAAGGTGGAGGAAAACTGGCAATCCTACACACAATATTAATAAGAGGATGTGGTATGAGTGCCAATGAGACAACTCTCCATCCAAGTCACAATGTATAAAAAGTAAACAATTATAGGTTAAAGTACGGCCTTCAACACGGAGCCTTGGCTCACACCGAACAGCAAGCTATAAAGGGCCTCAAAATAACTAGTGTAAAACAATTCAAACAGGAAAACCAATGGTCTAATCTATATAGAAAATGAGAAACAAGAAACACTTATGAACCACACCAACAAACGACAACCACTGAACAACAGGCTCCTGACTTAGGACAGGTGCATACAAATGCAGCGGGTTTTAAACGTTTTAACAGGCGCCAACCTTCACCCTAACCTGAAACAGTACTGTAACATTACAACATAAAAAGACACACTATAAAATATCAATTGAAATGCCATGAACAGGGTTCAAACTCAAAACCTCATTGTTGACAGGCAAGTGATCACTGTAAATTAAATACTAAGACCACTTGACCACTGAGGACACTGTCTCTGCTTGACTGCCCGCTGGATGTTAAGCAGCCATCCAACATCATCATCATCTGCTTGACTGCTATACTTTAATTGTATGCTGTCAAGATACTTATAGGTTTCATATCAATGAAAATTTTATTCTTGATATCAACACATGCTATTTTATTTCATACAATAATAAACCAGCCTTTTGTCAAATTTACTATTAATATTAAAATTATATGACAAGAGTTAATATCAAATAATTTACATTGCTCGTGCAGGAGTTGTAAAACAAAGTTCTCATGGTAAATTCTCTTTGTGTGGCCTATATTATTGTAAAAAGTAAAATAACAAAAATACCAAACTCCAATGAAAATTCAAAACGGAAAGTCCTTCATCAAATGGCAAAATCAAAAGCTCAAACACATCAAACAACTGGAAAACAAACTGTCATGTTCCTAACTTGGTACAGGCATTTCCTTATGTAGAAATTGGTGGATTAAACCTGGTTTTATAGCTAGCTAAACCTCTCACTTGTATGACAGTCACATAGAATTCCATAATATTGACATCCGTGTGTGAGCAAAACAAACAGACATAATAGGTAAAAATGTCAAAAATTGGGGTATAGCAGTCAACATTGTGTCGTAATCTTGAAAACAAATAACTATTTTAACAAAGAAAAACAGAATTGCATATAGAAACTTTTATAGAAGAAGTACATAAGCAAAAATGAAAGACAAGAATACAAAATTGACCATAGCACCATTACACAATGGCGGGATGTATAGATACTAAGCCATGCCAAACTTTTCATCAGATGAGACACAGACAAATATGAGACTTCAGTTTGGGAGAATTTGATGTTTTGGCAATTATGACTTTCATTGTACAGTTTTATAAGTCCCCCTTTCTTTATTTCGACCATGATTGAGTAAATGATAATGCAGAAGATAGCTAAAACAGAAAGTAAACAAAATTTTGCCACAGATAAAAAGCAGTCTTTCCATACAAATACCAGATTGTGGCAATTTCATATCTCACTTTGATAGGCCAACTAAGATAGTGCATTCATAGTCTTGCTTTTCAAATTGCACTCTTTATGCAGGAAATATATGTAACAGATCAACATTGTAAGAGAAATAACAATATAATTGCCAGTATTATGAATTCATTATATTATTTCTTATTTTGATAGGTACCCAACAACGCCATTAAAGAGTGTATAAATTTCAATGATATATCAGGGAAAGATTTTATGGATCCTACCAAAGACAAAACAATCAAAGTGAAACCAAAAGAAGAGGAAACAAATTGAAATTTCATTTCATTTACAGCTTCAATATCCTCAAGATAATTGGCTTTTAAAAATCTAGCATCAGATAATTTGTATATTTTTGAACTATTTAAGTAATTGTTATTGTCATGTTTCAAAATATTTAATTTAATGTTTAAGATTTTTCATATAAAGATACATCAAGATTTTATTTTTTTTAAAACTAATGTTTTTTTTTATGAATCTGTTAACTTCTTTGTACCAAGGTATTTAATGGTTCTCTTTTTCAAATTAAAAACTGTGCTTTCTCAATTTCTATAATCTTTGAATGTATTATTTTTGTGTGATGACAAGTGCAGTTCCAATAGGAAAATTAAGCAGCTTGACATTTTCAAGGGGAGACAAGTCATTCTTAGAGAGGAAAACACTAAAGCAGATATATTTAAGTAAATTAAAGATTGTAAGGTTAAATGTGATTTTTTTATTACTTGAAAATATATTTACATTGTCTGTTTAGATTTCCCTTGATTGTGTTTAAGTATTGTATTGCATCTTTCATTATTGTGTATTATTGATGTTTAACCATACTGATTATCTTATAAGGGCCGTCTGCTTCACTACCTTGAGTTAAATATAATGTATTTCATGCTCAAGTTTTTGTAAAAGGTAAAATCGTCAAAACCCATCATATCAAATCTTCAAAACCAATCAAATCAGCTCAAAATCAAATCAAAAGCTTTATGAAGAGTCAATACATCATGCTGTATAAATGGGTTTTTTTATTGTTTTTTTTTCACAGTAAAGTTTATTTTTTAAGAGCTTGATCACTGTGTCCTACATCTAACATAATCAACATTAAAAATTTTAGTAAATTTCATATTTTTCTCATTTCATGCAGAAGCCCATTTTATAAGAGTACATGAATGATATGTGACAACTAAAATCTCATTGTATTTTAAAACAACATTTAGTATTTAGATTATCATCATGACTTACATTAATCACTTGGTTAACCTTGTGGAGGTTGCATTTCGTGTCTCTATCTTAGAGACCAAAGACCTCTTAAATAGAAGAAAACAACAATGCAACAACTTGAGTAAGCAACATGCAATTTAAAATCTTTTTTTTTGCTGCTAGACATGAGGAAAGCTTTTCATCCTGTTTATGAAGCTCATAAGATAAAATATTTATACGTCATGACTTTCAAAATATTTTGGTTTGAGAATTCCTGATGAAGATAAATCCAGAAAAGTGTTTTGGATGCACCAAAGTAAATTTATAAAGTGTTATTCTTATTTCATATTCTAATACATTTTATATATTTCAACAATGTACCTATATAATGAATGTATTACTAAGAAGTTGACATAGTATAAGACATTTTTTATTTTGTTTTTTATACAAATAATGTTGATTCATAATGTAATTTAGAAATAATATTAATATTTGTTTACTGTGTTTGTTTTTATCATTTATCTCCTTGAAAGAAATTTTTTTATGCCCCACCTACGATTGTAGAGGGTCATTATTTTTTTCGGTCTGTGTGTCCGTTCGTTGGTTCATCCATCCATCAATCCTTTCGTCTGTCTGTCCCGCTTCAGATTAAAGTTTTTGGTCAAGGTAGTTTCTGATTGAGGTGAAGTCTAATCAACTTGAAACTTAGTACACATGTTCCCTATGATATGTTCTTTCTAATTTTAATGCCAAATTAGAGTTTTGACCCCAATTTCACGGTCCACTGAACATAGAAAATGATAGTGCGAGTGGGGCATCTGTGTACTATGGACACAAAACTTGTTTTAAATTCATTTGAGATTATGTATAAAGACTTATATTTTAAACTGAATGATGGATGTGAATTCAAGACCTGAACATATTGTACCAAATGATTTTATATTTTTTATAAATGTGCTTATATTATATATGGAATGATAAGAATCATAAGAGGCAATATTTTGTAGTGGATGATATAAAAAGGAGTTATGAATCTTAAAAAAATAATACCATTGAATTATACTTTACATGTTTTCGTAATTTTTACAGCAAATATAGATTGACACAAAATTGATAGAACCTTAGCGTTAAGTACTTTGGTTTTATGTTGAATCATGTCAAAGTTCTCAGGATCTTTAAAATACATCAATTTTGTTGTTGGTTTTGGTTTTATGTGTTTATATTAGAGATTTCTTAGGAAGGGTTGCATCATGACTTAACATATTTATATCATATAATGCATTTAAAACTTGAGGCCTAAAAACAAAATCAATATGTCAACATTGTTTGTTTTAAAGGATGTATTCTTCTGGTGTTTCAGACTTGTTGAAATCTCGTTCTGGAATTATTTCCAAAACATGCGATACAAGCAGAAAATATTAATGAACTTAAAAAATATTATAATCAAACTAAACTCTGTAAAAAAATGTGTACTTACAATAAGTAGCTTTTGAGTAATAAAATTTTCAAATTTTACAACCAATCCTGTAGGGGTCATCAGCCAAAATGTTGAGAAATGATTTAACCAAAAATATGTACATCACATATCAATTTATTCTTTTCAAAATTCTTAGATATCTTTTTTTTTCAATCATTTATAGCAAAGAAGTTGAAATAATATGCTTTTTGTTCTAAAAAAAAAGAGAAAAATCCCAAATTTTCAAAATTGAGAGCATGGTCAATTTGACACGAAAAAAACAAAAAAAAATTTATAAAACTTTCTATTGTTAACACCAACCTATAGTTTTTTTAAATTAAATTTATTCAGATTGGTCTACTTCATCTTAAGTAAAAGTACGAAACAAAGTTTATTTGTGAAACTGTGATTTTTTTCATAATAATAGCCCAAAAATGGTAAAAATTGATGAAATATGGGAAAATCATTAAGAATAGGGTACTTTCAAATGGCCGTAGCAAAAAAATAGGTGCACCATCATATGATTTTTTGTCATCAATTACTTTCTTACAGTCATATAAACCCAAAGATCAGATTAAGGAAAAAAGTTTAATTCTAGAAATTTTTGGCTCCTCAGAGGCTTACATCCTTAAGTATCTTAATATTATGTTATAGAGAAAAACACACATGCAATATACATGTTTTGCAAGAAACAAATTAGGATAAAATTTATACATACATAAGGGAATGGAAGTTGAATCTCTTCCTACAGAAAATCAGTTATTAATACAATTGTGAATCTGACTTCAAATTCATACATAAAGTTTATGCGTATCATACATTACATACAAAGAATTCTGAATTGAGTTTCATGGTCATAATTGACAACATGATTATTGGGAAAAGACTCAGTTGTTCAACGGAGAAAACACTTCACAGATTTTGTTAAATATTGGAAAACCTACGAAACAAATTTTTAAACTAAGAAATATCTGAGGATCATTTAACATGTTTTTTTTTTAATTTTTTGTCCTTTTTCTAAGCCTTTTATTTGTTGAAAGTAAAATTGATAACCACTTATTAAAATGGATTATTTGAAAATGATAAATCTTTGAACACTATATTGATTATGCTATGATACAGAAGGTGCAGATATTAAGTGCATTAAAAATCCACTTGTTATAGGTTGCACTTCTGTAAATATAGAAAATGAAATTTCCCATAGGAACTCCTTGTAAACTACAAACTGCTCAGAGTCTGAAAAGACCATATTTTGTGCTCGACCAGAAAGGTGAGTTTTATCCTTGAGAGATCAAGATTCTCGGAACATCTTGAAAATTTTTGATCATTTATGCAGTTTGTTATTTATTTTTTTGATACCGTCCCTCCACAGATATGCTACCAGATAACATTGTATATTTCAATGATCAAAGTTTATTTATAGATTGAGAGATCAAGATTCTCGGAACATCTTGAAAATTTTTGATCATTTATGCAGTTTGTTATTTATTTTTTTGATACCGTCCCTCCACAGATATGCTACCACATAACATTGTATATTTCAATGATCAAAGTTTATTTATAGATCGGAAAGTTAGAAAGTTTAGCTAAATTGCAGTAAAAAATCATTTATATATTCCAACCTATTAGCCTTTTGACAGAACATATGCGTTCTAATGTGAATGTTTATTTAAAAATATTAAGTGTGATGATAACACAACTATATATGTTTTGAGACAGTCCCTGCACGAGTTGTGTGTGTAGTATTTAATATATAACGCACTATTGTGTATAGTGATAATAAACCTGGGAATAGTATACAGACAATATAAAATTATCATGTCCCAGAATAAATTCATTATTTGTAAACGTTTACCACGTGATATTTTGTATTTCCAGTAAGCCTGATTAAATGTTGGAAAGCAAAATGAAAATTTACAAACTATATTTCTGTTAAAAATATCTATCTTGGGTCGGAAATGTATTGATCGGAAAACAGAAAAAAAACAAATTTGGTCAAAAATATTTAATTCATTAATAGATACTAACAAACCAAGGGAATATTCATTAAAATTATGAAGGTTTAACTGAAACTAAATTGATCATTTCTTTATAGAATATGATTAATAATGTTATATTATGTCCCACAGGGTTTACCAGTGTATACATTTATGATAATTATATGCAACATGTGAGCACCAAGTGAGGGATGAACATATATAAATTACTATCTAAACTATAGTTTAAAAAATAGTTTCATGGTTTTAATTCACAATGATTTTAAATCCTTGCATCTCACATTGAATTATTATAAATTTAGCAAAAGCAAAAACAAATAAGCAACATTTTTTTTTGTGACTGCAGTCTCGGTTCACGAATTGCTTTTCTTTTTTGAAAGAAAGCAACTTGTTCTACCTATTGATAAAATCTTTAGATTTGATAGAAATACATAGAACTACCACATAACCTGGTGTTTTGTAAGATCAATATAAAATTGAGATAGCTGTAGAGTTTTGTCAAAATCCAAGTTAATTTGAAAAATTATACACATTTTGAAAGGTGACTATCTGAATTTAGTCTGAACTGAAAATCCTAGCTTTGTTTATCTATTAAATAAATCTTTAAATTTGATATCAATGAACAAAACTACCAAAATAACCTGGCACTCTGTAAGATCAATATATAATTGAGATAGCTGTAGAGTTATATGAAAATCAAACTTGATATGAAAAAAAATATAGAATTTTTCCTACATTTAGGATCAGGTTGTGTTTAAGATTTTTTTAGACACCTATAACTTTTAATAAAATTGAGAATGGAAATGGGGAATGTGTCAAAGAGACAACAAACCGACCAAAGTGCATAAAATAGCCCAAGGCCACCCATCATGGCATCATACAAAACCAGGACAGGAGCTTCTTCATGCTCAAAAGACAGTAGAGAGAGCAAAATATTTAATATACATTTTTCTTTTTTCATATTTTCTTTTTTATCAACAAGTTATTGAACAGAAAATAATTATATTTGTAAAATACGGTTAACAAAATATTCTACATTGCTCATTTAAGTTGGTTTACAATGCCAATTAATGGTCTTCTCGAGATTTAGTTTTTCTTGTCATGTTGAATTTGAAATGTTTCAGCTTCCAACATGAAATCTTCCAAAAGATCAGATTCTTCAAACAGTGAAGACTGGTTTTGAGATTTTAGAAATTCTGTCAGTTGAGTTTCAATATGGCTGTTATTGAAGAGGCGAGGTTTGACTCCTTGTGTTTCATACGACAACGAGGACATCTGGAGTTTCAAAATTAACTGGAGTTTCAAAATAAATGAGTTTCATTCAGTTCATATTTAGAACATTTCTTGCTCTGTGAAACTGCCATCTGTTTTGATTCGAACTCAATATCATGATGATTGTTGCTAAAATATTCTGCATTGAACAAGTTAAGTGCGTTGCACAATGCCAATGGCTTTCTATAGATTTTGAAGATTTTACTTTTCTTATCATGTTGAATTAGGAATGTCTCAACCTCCAACATGAAATCATCAAAAGGATCAGGATCAGGATCTTCAAACAGTAAAGAGTGGTTTTGAGATTTTAGAAATTCTGCAGTTGAGTTATATACAGAGTGTATGTTGTGTTTTTCTTGCTTTCAACATGGCTGTTGTTTACAAGGTGAGGTTTGACACCTTCTGCTTCATATGACAATGTAGACATCGGATAGTTGTATCTGGAGTTTCAAAATTAATGAGTTTCATACATTTCATATTTGAACATTTGTTTCTCTTCCAAACTAATATCTGTGATAGTTCTAACTGAATAAGATGATGATTCAGTAATTGTGAATCTTCAATAACTTCATCAAATAACTGAATTTCTGTTATCTTGGTGGAACTAGTGGTGTTTATACATAGTTTTTCATTATAATTTAAATATTTGGAATCAAGCATTAAATACTGTATAATGCGTTTTCACATTCATCAATCATCAAATAACAGTTTATCAAATATTAATTAGCAAGCGTTTCATTTGTCAGCAATAGCTCACAGTTTAGTTTGTTTTATC